GAAGCAAGTGACTTCAAGGATACTCCGTACACAGGTGCCGGCAATGTGTCGCGAGGTGGTGCAACTCGCATCATCGTGTTACTTTATGTTACGACGACTCAGTACCAAAGATTAAGAATGTATCGTCCATAGCTCAAAATAATGAAATATAATTCTGGAAAAAGTTACAAATTGATTTACATTGCATTTAAAAGTGATGCGTCGGAAGTTTAACGGTAATTCAAAGCCTGGATCAAAAGTTACATTCCACCTTAAAGAAGATTGGAAAGTGAAACGAGTTTGATATGAACTCAATGAAAAACTTGCGCCGCATATATATTGAAATATTATCTAACTCCTTTCTTGTGCAATTAGAAAAAGCTTTATATATATACACATATTTAACGGGCGATGCATCCCTTGAGTTATCGACGATCGAGATATTCACTATCGGGAATCGAATCGCCGGAGATCCGAGGTCGGATCTGCGTCACTTTCCGGGTCGAGTTTTGCCAGGATCGCGTGCCGGTGAAATAATTAAAACTCTAACGAAGTTAATTGACTGAATTAGCTTTCGACGAAAAGAAAGAGAGAGAGAGAGAGAGAGAGAGAGAGAAGAGTCAGCGCCTCGATCGATTTCCCCCCTTAGGCGGATCGAGTCGCGTTACATTTCTCGATCGGGCCTCGCCGACGCGCGCGGCCTCCTCCTGCGCACGTCGGCGCCATCGTGAAAAATGCGCCGCCGAGAAATACTGTTGAGACATTCCCGGCAACGTCGTAGTATGGGTCGTCCAATCGCCGGTTATGTGCGAGCTCACGCTATATGCGACGTCGCACCGGCTGATCCATTCTCTTTCTCGGACGCGTCAGCGTACGAGCCGACAGCACTTCGATCGTTGACGCGCCGCGGGCCTCCGCTTTCCGCGACGTTGTGGAAGCCGGAGGGAGGGAGGGAAAGAGAGCGGCTCGTGAAAAAGCTCTACGAACGTGGTGGCGGCGCAACTGGTTGGAACGGCGCGGAAACACACAGCTGCCGCGGATTCGGGTCAATCAGTCGCTCAAAGGCCAAACCCCGCTTGGCACCCTTCCGTGCGCGCCACCCCACCCGGCACATCTGCGACTCTTCCGCGCGCTCTGTGAATCTCCTCGGTTCTCTCGTCGGCTCACAGACGCGGCTCCAGGGATTCCCCTGGATTTACCTACAGCGCGGGAGTTGGCAATTTTCTTCCCCCCTTTTCTGGGTCCTCGTCCGGGAAATTTGCGCAGAAGCCGCTCTGGTGTCTCCCTTCTCGAGGCGGTTCCCGTAGAAGTTCTGTGATATTTTCCTCATCTTCTTTCGAATCATTTATTGCTTGCGGCGACCGTTGTAATGTTTTAGGTGAAAAAAGAAAAATATATTGGTCAATTTATGTTGCATGCTGCGAGAGCGCGACGAAATAATAATTCAACAGAGGGGCGCGCTCAGAAAGAGAGAGGGAGGAAGGTGAATCGCGTCACGTGGGATCCCCGGTACGTACAAACCCTACGTTGCCGTATCGCTGTCGACACGTGCTTTTGTCGTTCAGCGTGTTGCGGCCGGCGAAACGCGTGCAGCAGCCCCGACGGGAGTCCGTGGCGACGATGAAGAGGAAAACAGCCGTAAAAGTTATTTATAACGGCGCGTCGACGACGATCGACCGGCCGTCGCGATACTCTCTCTTTCCCTCTCTCGCGTAATCCAGAAGCTCGATAGAGCCGAGGCTAACTCGCTACGTGCATTCAGAGAAAAAGGCAACGTCGACACGCGAAATTATAAAAGGTAGCGGATAACGCTTTCGCGTGCGTGCGCATCGTCGCACGCTCATTGCGGCACGAAACAGCCAGTCACCCCCTTCCTCCTTATCACACGTTATCGAGAAATCTCGCGATCGAGCGGACGATAATCATCGTAATTTGATAATCGAGCGTAATTATGATAATTAACGTGACCCCCTTAAGGTTTCTCCGGTCGCGCGGATAAGAAAGCCCAATGAAACCGCGGACAGGTGCCGCCAGGTATAAAATTGATTAAATCTGAAGAAATCTTTTTTTTTCTTCAGTGCATACGCAGAAATAAAAATCAGCCGATCGACCAGTTATATTTCTTCGCAAAATGATAAAATTTGAGATATTAATGGATCTGAGAATTGAACGGAAAGATTACGTCCTTTTGTACTTCGCTATACCTGTACATCTGTTCCTTCCTGCTTAGCTTCGATTTAACAGGTTTAAATCGTAGAGTACGTTTTCACCTGTTGTAAATAGGTGAAAAGGTTTAATGAGGAGATCTCTAGGCCGCCTACTTATTTATCGTTAGTCGCGTTTATCTTCGTGCGTCCATCGATTTCCCCCCGTCGCGGTGGCGTCGGAAGTGCCACGGTATGTCTGAATCGCGAGATTTAGCGGGGACCGTCGACGGACGGGGAACAACAGGTCTGTTCTTTTTAACTTCTCAACAACTGGGCTGCACTTTTTGCCTTCCACGCGTTACAAGTGGGTAACTGAGTGTGACTAATGGGAGATAGGAGAAACGGAATTCCAGCGCGGCACCGGGGCCGCTGGAAAGATAGAGTTGAAACGTGATTAGCGCGGCTCGATATGCTTCTTCAACGCCGTTACTCGGCTGGCGTTGATAACACACACCGTGTATGAGCGCGTTACGCACGACGAATAATAACGTTTGCACGCACAATCTTCACCTTGATTGAAGAGCCCTGTGAGTCGTTCCTCGGAGGTGATCGAGCCTTCGGATCGGTGCCGGTAGAACAAAGAGCTTCCCGGTGCAAACGCTACCGTTTTCGAGATAAGAGGGAGAACTACTGGAAAAATGCACTCCGAGTACGAAACTACTCGAAATCACGTACGAAATATAACATGTGCACTCGCGTCTTCTCGAGTGTAAAATTAGACGGCCTGTCCGGCCGTGAATAATCGATGGATGATTAGCTGGAGCCGGTTTCCTCCGTTCGATTTTTATCCCCTCGCCGACGGCTGAATAAAGCGATCGATAATCAGGCTTCTATTCTGATCACGTTTCTCTGGTATCACGAATCGAGTGGTCGGAATATCGATCAGAGGAAAAAATTGTAATTAAAATATCGCCGCAAGTAGTCTAGTTAAAATTAAAAACAAAAATAGTATATAATAAGTATAAGAGAAAAGTCGAAACTAAGGAATTAAAACTGCTAGTTTTTTTTTTTTTTTTCGGGCGGAATGGGAAAGAAGGATATCACATAATTCTGGTAAATATTCTCTGAAATTTCGAACCATTTTACACTTACAGATTTAAAAACCTGAAAAATAGATCATTGCGTTTACTTGATTTGTTTTTTTTTCCTGTGTAGTTACAAATTCCAAACACTTTGCTCTCGGTGCATCTCGAAAGGAAGGGCTTTCGCGCTTCGAGTTAATTTTCAATTACGGGACGTCGCGGTTGCAGTGCGGAGTTCGCGGTTGATAACCGGCGGCGCGAAATGCTCCTTCCCGTCTAAATATAGGAGCGACCGCGCACGATTACGAACGTCGTTAAGAACATCGGGAGAATTTATCTGCCGGATAGTAGTCGGACATTGTCTCTTGTTTAATGAGTCTGCTCATGCGGCGGCGACGGTCCGCGGTTTCAGCGATCGGTCATTGTTAGCCCCGGGAAATAAGAAAATAATAATACAGTGCCCGAGTTGATGCGCGGCGCGGATTTAACTCGCGAGCGTCGGGCGCGTCTGACGCGTTTCTTGGATGCTCAACTTTTTATTATCGAGGCCATGGCATTGTTTCCCGATATCAAACGGAATATAAGTGTAATTAGCTGGCCGATATCGCAAACGCGACGAAAGGAAAATAATTAAACGCGAACTTTACAGACTTAATATACGCGCGCGCGCACACATACGAATCGTGACTCACAACTGACCGTGTGTGTATGTATGTTCTTATGCCGTTGTATATCGCGTATGAAATCGATGACCCAGTTCGAAATCGGACCGACTGAAAATTCCTTATTCCGAAGAGGCGAGCCGTTAAAGAGTCGAAATCTGCACAACGCGCAGGCTCTTCTTCTCGCACAGAAGGCTTTATTAATGCAATCTCATTCCCTACAGAGAGAGAAAAGTTTCTTTTGGCTTTAATACACGTGTTTGTTTGACTTGGGTTTGTTTAAGATAGACAATATAACTTAATATCAGATATTATTTTGTTTGAATGGATATGTTATTTTATTAAAATTAACCATGTTGCCTGATAGAAAAACGGTATTATATATATTTAGGGGAAATATTTCGTCTTCAATAAAAAAAGAAATTTATCTCATTATATATTAAATATCGTTCCATTGAGAAACAAACTTTAATATTTTTCTAACATAGCGTTACTTCTTTGAAATAATTGATCGCTCGTGATAGTCAAATGTCCGATCGGGCGCATTATACGCGGATATTCGTGATCATCATGATTGTTGATTACTCGGCGAATTGGCGACGACTCGCTCCAAAGCAGCAGTGATGCAGAAACGTTCAGAAATAATGCGTCTGATTGGAGATTTTCAACTTTACTACGCCCGGGGAACAGCATTAATGGAGTCTTACGCGCTATTAAAAATACTTTTCCACGAAGAGGTCGCCGCCGGCATTGTTTACGAGACGGCGTGTGTGACATTTATTTGCACAGATCACGCTGTACTGCGCATATGGGAGCGATGCTACGACGCACGTCGTGTGTGTGTGTATGGCTGGCCGTTCGCCAAAGGTTATCCTTGAGCATTCACTCCTCCGCCATCCGCTGCGAGCGAGCGTCCGTCTCATTCATAGACATATAGAGGGTTCCTCGCGCGAGATTGACTCATCTTCGTTATCCGCGTCCACCCTCTTCCTCCCTCCCTTTCCCTGCCCGATATCCGGCTGATTCGTGTTCTTTCGTTTGAAACTGATAACAGCGGCGACACATAATATTCTTCGTCGACTTCGCAGCGGGAAACCGATGGATAAGATGTACTCTCTTTTGCTCCGCAGGAGGCCGAGTTGCTGGACAAGAGCAGGGACTGGATCTACGAGTGGAGCTCCCGGCCGGATCAAGTGCCACCAAAGTATGGCGAATTCAGATTCTCGATCCCACGGTCGCGAACTGTACTGGCTAAATAACGGGGTTGTTCACTGCGTGGAACAGTTTGCTTGAATTTATCCGAAATATGGACAAACCAAACGCGCGTTGAAAGGAACGGAATTTCTTACGGTTCTTATGAGTCACGTGACTCCCGTGGTCAGTGTGTGCGGCTCTCGTAGCTAGAAATTCTGCTTCCTTCGACTACGAAACTCGTTTCGTCTGTCCGTCAGGTAAGTTCGACCGAACTGTTTTCTCCCGTGCGAGTACGCAGAGAAGAAAGTTCTTTTGGATTTAGTATGTATGTTAGTTTGTTTGTTTAATATAACCAACATAATTTAATATCAGATATCATTTTGCTTGAACAAAAATGTTCCGCCAAATCGTGTTGGTTGACAGAAATAATAGTATTATTCAGAGGAAATAATATTTGGTTTTCGAACAAGAAAACTCACTTCATTATACATTAAATATTGTTCCTGTAAAACAAAGAAATCCTTTAACATTCTTTTGACACGGTGTTACTTCTTCGAAATACTTGTACTGCTTGTGACAACCGTTGTAACGTTTCGACAAGTTTGTTTCAGTTGTAAGAAGCTTTTATCAAGTCCAACAAATTTTCCTCTCTGTCTAATAAGTTTTCGACGAGTCAGAGAAACACTCGAACGTCGTTCGTTGTGTCGTTGGTTCGTTAACGTATCGGGGGAGACGTTAACTCCCGTGTAATCGAGCGAACGAGTTCTCCTCGAAAAGGAGGCCTTATATTGCACACGTGTGCGTTGAGTTTCCCCAGCGTTTAATGATCCTATTGTGTTGCAGAGACTGGAAATTCAAGCATCCGTTGGGCATGGGTAAGAGGAAAACGTACAGCATCCGCACAGCGAAGGTCGGAAAGAACGGCTTGTTTTCCAAGGAAGTCATCTACACCCTGTTCTTCACGAACTTCTTGTCCCTGCTCATCGGGACCGGTCTTGGGTACGTAACGCTCGAGCGAAACGCGATATCTGTCGCCGTAATTGTCGCGTTTCTTTTTCATCCTCAGCTGAACACTGACAAATAAACTTCATTGTCGTAACTACAATTTGGCAGGCTTCACCAAATGATTTGGCTAACGTATACTCAACGAAATGTTTGGTTACTGCAACCCAAAATTTTGTTCCTTAATAAAAGTGAAGAAAAAGGATACATTGAGAAAAAATACTTAAAAATTCATTTCTTCGGTGCACGTTAAATTGGAATTGCCGATTTGACACAATCGCGTATTTAATTGTAACATCGGCGTCTCGGAGGATCTCGCGTTGCTCAATCATACTCGCCGATGGAGTCGTGTTACGATGATATCCGATCGTGAATGCCTCTCCTTGTTGCAGCGTTCTGCTCACCAGGCGGGGCCTTTTCATGTCCCGCGTCGCTATTGAGTAGAGGACACACGATCGTGGGAGTATCTGCATCGGTTTTGGTCACACTTGAACGGAGAAGAAGGGAGGGAGAGAGAGAAGGGCCGCGACGGCGGAGAAGAGATATCGAGAATGCAAGAAAGACTGAACATGCCGGTGGGCGATCGAGCCTAAAACAGAAAACACGCAGCACATAATTCGATTGTCCCGATTTAACATTAGCACTTTGTATTTTACTCCCCTTTCCCCGTTCCCTCAACTACATACGGTGTACTTCTGATATTGCGTATGTGCTATGCAAGTAATACGCATAAATATGCTTAGGAAGAAAAAGCTAAAGGAAAGGAAAACGAAGATACGAGGAAGAGGAGGAGGGAAGAAACGGAAGGAAGAATAAGAAGAATCTATCGTAGTCTAGATTTGTGTTGAAAGGAAAGAAAGGAGGTGAATGCAAACGAAACATGTCCATTTTATACCGTTTCTAATGCGTTTCTATCTGCGATAGTTCGTAGGCATAGCTTGAATAGTATTTATCAGATAACTAATTATATACATATATATATAAATATATATATATATATATATTATTTGTTAGAGAGAGAGAGAGAGAGAGGGNGGGGGGGGGGAGAGCGAGAGAGAGACTGAGCGAGCGAATGCGAGAGAACGAAAAAGAGAGAAAGAGTGTGTGTGTGTGTTTATTTGTTATTGCATGGACGAGTGTGAAGCGGCGAGGGTGAGAAGAAGGAGGAGGAGGGCACGGGTTGCGAGTGAGGGTTGAACGAGAGCGCGGTTGAGAGAGACGGAGAAGCACGAAGAGTAAAGAACGGGAAGAGTTGCGATCCGGAAAGCGCGCTGGACTCCAACTCGTCCTCTTCATGCGGGTCACGCGTGAATCTCTCGCGCGTCGAGCTCTCGGGGAGCATGTGGGAATTCTGGGTCGCGGGGGATGAAGAGGAACGCACGTCGGAGAAGTCCGAAGCGAGACAGCCGTGTGCGTGCGCGCGTGCCGCGGTTTTCTTTCGAATTGTCACGCGACGCCTCTGAGTGAGACGATCCTAACCGGGAGCGAGTTAGAAGAATAGTTCCTACGGAGGAAGATGTCCACCCTCTCTCGATGTCGACCACGGGGCAACCACGGGGAAAGGAGGGAGGGACCACGAGGGCGTGCGCGAGCGTGCGAGCTCGCTCATCTGCTTACGGTTGAACGACGAGGCGGTTTCGGAGCGGCGGCGTTTTGTACGATATACATATATATATACATATATATATATATATTATATATATATACATACACACATATATATCTTAATACCAGCAGTTTTGTAATTTCCTTGTAACAAATTCACACGGAGAGAGCGAGGACCACGCAAGTACGTTTTACATCCCGCGATCGTTTGTTCAAAACGCTTGGCCACGACGCGACTACCGACTCTCTCTCTCTCTCTGTGTGTGTGTGTGTGTGTGTGTGTGCGCGCGCGCGCGCGCGCGCGTGTGTGTGTGTGTGCTTCGAGATTCTCGGACACGAGTATCCGTGAGATTCACTCGGGTCGAACGAGTATCACGTCACGGAGATTCGCGAGCTAACACGCCGATTGCCTTCAAGCCCGATCGCATCGGGCCGTTTCGACGCGTTCGCTGCTATCACGCGTTGTCTACGGTCTTCGGGAAACCAAATGCGAGTGAGTTTGTTTCTTTCTTTTCGCTTTGATTGTTCATCCTGTATTCTCTTTCGTGCAATTGTCTCTCGGACAAACTTGGTCCACGCACGCATGGAATTATCGTTCTCGTATGTACACAACGCTCTCGACGGTCCCTCGTGAGAATTTACGCGCGTGTTTACGTTCTGCTTTGCTGGTAGCGAACGTGTAGAGGAAGCGGTCGTTTGGGATAGTGTTCACAATGCTGGATCTCAGCCCGAATCGTTGGCCGAAAGTCACTAGAAGTAACTGGAAATTTACCAACATTCTAACGCCTTTCAAGCATCTACCAACATAAACACTAGATCTCGGTCCGAGATCCATCATGGTGGAAAATACCACATCTATGTAATATACTAGACTGCGCTGTCTTATTTCTTAATTCTTCTTATGTAAAAATGTTGTTGTGTAAAAACAATGTGCAGAATAAGGATTGGAGAATTACCAGAAGGAAAACCAGAACATCCGATATGTTTGTTAACCTCTGTTTATATTTGTTTGCGCTTGTTACTGTCGAAAATATTCCTTGCAGATCGGCGTTCATTTATATACCTGTGAAAAAATGATTGTGTACGTTTATATATAATTATGTAAAATCATATATGAATTTTGCCCGTTTACGTGGTCACGTGTATGATCATATATGTCTATACGAGAAACAAAAATGATGCTACGTTATTTAATTAAATGTCGATATCATGCGATACGAGAAGCACGAGTGGCCTCCAAGTACTCCATCTCGCGACGTTCCGGACGTATTTTCGCCTTGTGTACATCGAGTGATCGATACTAACGCGATATCTTGACGGTTGCATCGTCGTCCACCCTTCCCTCCCCCCCTGCCTTTCTTACTCACGTTATCAAACGCTCTCGGTACGACTTGTGATTGTAAATAAATTTATATCAAGGAAAAGAGGAGGAGAAAAATGAGACAAGAGGAAGATCGCGCGACGAAATCGACGTCGTCGTTCTTCTCCGCCAACGTGCTCTCCTTCTGTTCCCTTCCGAGAGAGATCCGGCTTCTTTCGTTTCCGCGTGTCGTCGCCAAGGGTTTCGACTTCCCTCTCATTTTGTTCCGCGCGCGCGCATCCGATCAGATATTGTCTTTCAGCACTTCGCGCGTACCTCCCACCCTTTGTTTTCGCCGTGTTCGGAACGCGCCGCGAAACGCAATCTTCTCGACGAATCAGCGCAGCTCGACGACTATGTGACTACTATTATACTATCACTATTATACTACCACGCCAGGAGGACGAATTAGAATATCAGTGAAGAGCGAAACCACGTGTGACTGGGCAACGGTGACAGGGGAGATGATACGTAGGAAGAGAAAGAGCGTGACAATATATACATATATACATATACATATATATTTGCGAGATATTTTGCGAGATCTATATATCTGCGAGATATTTTGTGAAACAGGGCTTTTTTTTACCTATTTTATAGTAATCTCAGCTTAAACGGATTGAGAGCGAAAGAGTGAGAGGGAGAGAGAGAGAGAGAACCTTTACTAAAATTAATAAATTAAAAAGAACATAAGAGAGACGAGGATGTTGGAGAGATGATGTATAAGCAGTTGATACGGTCTGTAAATGCGTACATACATAGATTAATGCCGACGTTTAAGGGGGACGGTTTCACCATAACCTGTGCTCTATATTTCTGTTTATGTTTTGCGCCTTAACCCCTTCCTATTATATTACATTATTTTATAATTATTACGAATTATTTTAGTGATGATTATTATATGTTTTGCATTCTTATTTTCTTTACTTATTGGTTATTATTATTATATTACACTACAATATGTTATATTGCGTACATCATATATAAATTGTAAAGATAAATTATATATGGATAAGTGATACGGATCGGTGTAGCAGAAATAATCGCGAGAAAAATACACAAATCGAGATTTTACAAAAAGTTTGTACACGGTAAAAAATATTTTGTACTTGTGTTACAATTTTTGTGTGAAATTTTTAACATACTCATTTAACATATTTATATTAACTCAATATTTTCTATTGAGTCATTATTCAACATATGTAAGTGTTAAAATAACACATTTTATAGTTCAGTGTCGATTGATGTATTCATTTTGTACTAATTTTTAACATTATTAATACTTATATTACTTCTCAACATATATACATCTTGTGTGAAATTAACATAAAAACTTGAGTGAACCGTTTGCGACATGTTAAATTTATCCTAACATTTTTTATTGTGCAAAGCGTTTATATTATCTCAATAGTTTGTGTTGAGTCGACATTCAACGTGTGTAAGTGTTAAAATAACACTTGTAACTATTAAAACAGCACATTTTATATTTCAACATATTATGGATATTATAATTTCTTGTTCATTCTTGACATAATGTTTGCGTTACTTTTACTGCTGTTATATTGTTTTACTTTCCGACATATTCACCTTATGTTACAATTAACACAACATTCGTGCGTGGACTATCTGGGACGTGAGAAATGTGATAAACTAGCGCACAATTTTTTTATTTTTTTTTTAGTGTATGTATGTATATATGTTAATATCTCACCGACTAATACGTGCTTATCACGTCGTTTCTCCTTCGCTGTTATCTTCTCCAGAGCACGACCGACAACTCCGCCAGAAACATCACGACGGAGACGCCAAGTCCGAGAAACAATACGTAAAAGGCGAACAGCAAGTCGCTCGTGTTCATCGTGCGATACCGCTTCGTCTTCATCTCGTACGCCTTCATGGCCCACCGGTTTTTGTACACGGCCACCGTCCGCTCCTGCCAGTGACTGATCAAACCGCCCTGAGACATCGACATCAGTACCCTGCCGATCCTCATGGCCAGCGGAAAATTAGGACGCGTCACGTAGCCCATGTACAGATTGGTTATCCGGTGCTTCGAGATGTGCAGCTCGTTCTTGAAGGCGATCCTCATCAGCCTCGAGCGATCTGCCACGCACACCGTGTCGGGATACTCGATCACGTATCCACTGCAATCCCGTCTGTCAGTTTCCCTGACGCGCAATCGCAGCACCGGGTCGGGGATTGCGTCCCTGTAGCCGGCGAACGCGTAGATGGGATAGCCGGCTCTCTTGAGCGCAGTGTTGCTGTCGATATCGGGTTTCGACGTGGACGAGGTCAGTATGGACGACAGGCTGCTCTGGAAGGTCGAGCCGGTGATCAGAAACAGGAGGATCACCGTGATCAGGTAGATTCTCAACGGTGCCCGTTGGGGGAAACGTAGGACGGACGAGTTGACCATGATCCGTACGACTTCGAGACAAGCCGAGCTTAATCCTAGACCGGCCAATATACCGAGGACGAGCACGGTGAGGATGGAGGCTAGCAGGATGCCGGCTATCAGCCGTGGGTTCATGAATTTCAGGATCTTCATTTCGTTGGAGTCGAAACCGCTCGGTCTGAAGGGGAGGAACGTTGGCTGGATCATTTTCAATTCTGTTACTGGTTCTTTTTTTCTATTTTTAAAGACACTCACCTACTGAGCGTACTTATTCCTGAATCCACATGAGGATAGGTCATTGTATAATTCCGCTTGTCGAAGATGTATTGCGCGTTCATCAACATGTCGTATTCGTTGGCTGTCACGTTTCGTAGCAACGTGTGAATCCTAGTTTTGTTGTCGAGCATCCTCACCGACATAGTAGCGTTCATCTTGGTTATCAGCGTATTCAGAATAAAACCGTTCAGGCCTCCGTACTTCGCCAAGCCCTTTTTCTGAGGGTCGAAAGAGAGATTCGGAGGAGAGATAACACCCACCAACTTGATTCCGTAGCCGCCTACTTTAATCTTCTTGTTGAAATGTAGATCCTCGCAGGCTGTGCTGTCTAAAATTATTCGGCCGCTGATTACGCGAGTTACTGATGTTAGATCCTGGCAACCCTATCGCTTCAGTTCGCCGTTATCTCTCATATAATCAATTTGGGAAAGTTCATGCGGCGGGGAAACGGGAGATTTAAAGCCAACTAACTCATTTCGTCTGTTGGAAAAAAGACCGGCGCTTTGAAAGACCCGCAGAAAAGAAAATTCGTGACTGTACATTCTGATACCCGTACTTTGAAGTTTGTGCTTCAACACGTCCCAGGTACGATTCTCCTCGTCGACGGAAGACTCGACCGTGTACCAGATCCTGGGCGCTGGATTTCCATAGCGATTGTAAGTGTACGCCACGTGGCCTTCGTCGGGATCGACGCAGAAGAACACGCTCGATTCGAGATCCGAGTTCCAGGCGGCCGACAAATAAGCTTCCGGCTGCCGGCAGGTGTTCTCCCTCGTGTGGATGATAGCGTGAAACGCCCAAGGATTCCACCATACCGATCCCATTAATCTCTCGACCACACGTCTCAGGCTCGATGGGGACGAAATAAACAAGACGAACGCGTGCAGTTTGTCGTATCGGGCGGAACAGTCGTGGTGTGTGCTCCACGAATAAAACGGCTTGTCGAGACTCGCGACGGGAATTCTCAGTCTGATCGTCGGGGTGGTTTTCATAAAGCCGGAGGACCAACTTCCGGGGATTTCGGCGTCTCCGAGGAGACCGATGTAATTCATTTCGTCAGCCAAGCAGTTGCTTAATATCGTGTCCTGTGAACCGGCAGAAATTACGCGTCGAAGACAACACTTTCGAAGGAGAGGCGAATACTTTACCAGTCTTCCGAGCATAATATCCTTTTCCGTGAGTTTAGCGGGCGCGTACGTTAAAGACTGGTATGAATATTTCACAACCGTTGAAAAGAGAATAAACTTCCATCGTGCTAATGTCATCGAAATCTTCACGTGGAAATGGTAACTCTCGACTGGTGTGCCTGAAGAGTTAGACGAGGACTAGTCGGGAATCGTCGGTGCAACTATGTGGCGAGGATACTCGTGTTCTTCTGCGCTACGAGCTCGGGAATTCCGGAAAGTTGTATTAGCGAGCGGCAATACATCCGGTTGATAATGCGACGGAATTGCTGTAACAACATGTTACCGCTAATAGCGACGGAATTGCTGTAACAACATGTTACCGTTAATAGCGACGGCCGAATCTCCCGTGGGATACGCAGTTTACGCAGTATCCCGTTCCCGCTTCGCGGAAGACAATCGATGAACAATGAACGATCGATGAAGTCAAGCTAAAAGATAGAGAGCTGGGTTTAGATAACAATTTTGTATTTCTCTCTCCAACGCAGTGCTATTTATTATTTAACGACATCAGACAGAAATTTACCACCTTATGGGTGTCTAACTAATTCCGCTATATTTCTACCCGAAGACCGACATTTTTGTTCTATATCCAGTCTAGTTAATTCAACATTAAATCTTCGTGCAGAAAAGGCAACAACCTGCCATTCGTAGCATCAAATGATCGTTACTGCGCTTTGAAGATTTGATGTAGAACCAACTAGACTTAACGTAGAACTAAAATCCCGACTCTGGGGACTACCGGGACAGTTCCTTAAATTCCGCATGCAGTCCGATTTTCTAATTCCAAGCTAGAATGTTAATATCCGTTTCAGTCGTTCGCTTTCTTTCCCTCGCTCGTCGATTGCGACCGGATCCACCGAGCAACAGCTCCACTGCGAAGACTATGGTGGCGCAGGTGTATCCAATACCGAGGATGTAGAAGCTGAAAGCAAGCTGCGACAGCAGCATCACATTGTAGCTCTTCTTCGTCTTCGTTCTTCTCCTCATCCTTTCTCTCTTGATCTTTCTGAGCCCGTCTCGTCGAAACTTGCCGATCAAGCCGCACTGCACCATCTGCTGGATAGCGTTGTTCACTGGTCTGAACAACGGCCAGTTCTCGCGAGTGACGTACGCCAGCGTCATGTCGCGCAAGTTCTTCGACTTGTACAGATCGTCGTTGCGGATCCTGTAGTACAAATGATAGCAATCGCCGGCGCACACGGCGTCCGTCGAATTCTTCACGAAATGTTTGCACACGTGGTTGTTGCTCACCGCGACGTAGCGCGACTGGAGCACGTTGTCGCTCAAAAAGTCTTTCAGAATGTCCGGCCCGTATATCTTGTATTCGTGTTTCTGAAATAATACAGAGGAATGACTGGCCCCGCCACGTATCACACGTGCTTCTATATATATTATGGCATTTACGAATTTCACTTCGCTAATATTATTGCGAAATTACTTCTTTTTTTAGCCATTTCAACGATTTTATCGATGAGGACTGACCGACCGAGGGTTGACGCTAGAATCTCCCTGATAACACACACAGAAATATCCATACTGCACTCGGTAAATATTGTCTGTGTCAGGTATTTCTCATAAGTTTATCGTATATAAGCATTAAATTTATTCCAAATATTTCCGTCACTGTTTCGTCGAAATTCGTTCGCGTCGTTGGGTACTTAAGCGACGTTGGAACGTTACCTTAATACTATCCAAGCTGTCGACGGTGCTGTAAAAGACCGGTACGGTGAGCAGGGACGACCAGCGACTTTGGAACAAGGAGTTCACGTTCAGGAACAGAATGAACACCGTACACAAGAAAATCCGGACGGAATTGATTCTCGGCGGGTGCAAAATTGCCACGCAGATCAGGAGCCTTAACAACTCAAGCGCGGCCTCGCCGTAACCCTCGTTCCATGTGAAAATCGCGTAGGTAAGCAGACAGATTACGAAGACCCCCGCCATCACCGGCGGCTTCAGAAACGTCATTAGTTTGGTGAACTCCGAAATTTGTTGATTCGGCTGCGATATCACGCAAAGACCCGACCTTGTGTGAGGGTAAGTGTACCTGCGTGATAAGATTTACTTTTTATCATTTCTGTCGATCTTTCGATACACAGAATAGAAAGTACTGAAATCGAGTAAACGTAATTATCGGTTTTTTAGTCTTTTAAATCAATTAATATTTTGATTAATTTAAGTATTTAAATTTTAATAGCTTGTAGTATAAATATTTGATCGCGGTAATACCTTGATTTGCGACATTGGAATTTAGTTTGTCGGAAAAATTGTTTCTCGTCCTTGATTCTACAGAAAAAAAAAAACACACACTCAGACACACCTGAACTTCCACAGTACCAACAAGGATCTCGTATTCATGCCCATGTCTACCTGCCCATCGCCCACGCTGGTCAACATCCCGAACAAAGTGCCATTGGGCTTTATACCGCCGAGATCGTAGGTGGTGCCGTTGTAAATATCGATATAGGGGGACGCTTTCAGCTTGCGAAAAAGCGTCTTGATGACCTCGGCGTTTTCACCGGAGAATTTATCCAGGCCTTCCTTGGTCGGATTGATTTTCAAGAACGGCGCCATCGAAACCGCGTTCAATCGAATCACGTAGCCGTTCAGATTCGCCACTTTGTCGAAGTCCAGGTCCTTGCACATGTCGTCATCTGCTTATCATCGATCGAGACTCAAATCGCTTGAAGCTCAACAAAATTCGTCAAGTTTGATTTTACATGGAATATATCACGGGAGTAATTTTTTGTTTCTTTTCCTATTCTTGCGATTATACGTACCGCGTACGAATGTTTTCTTGAACATTATCCAAGGATGGTCATATCGTCCTTTGAGTCTGTCCACCTCGTGCCAGTTTTTCGTCATGTGGCTCGAAAACGGATTGAACGTGTAATGGACGATCCCGTCGTCCGGATCGATGCATATGAACACGACAGAAAGCAAATCGTATTCCCAAGCCGTCCAGAGGTACGACCGGGCGTTTATACAGCCTCGCTTTGCGGTCTGCCTGTCGATCAGGATGTAAAATCCGTCCGCGTTCGCCCACGGCGAGTCTTTTGTTCTCTACGACGAGGATTAATATGTCAATTATAATACGTACACTTGATATTTTTCTTCTGACCACAGATTAAAAAATATTAATTTTTAATAAAGTTATTAACATTCGAAGTCAAAAGTTCGACTTTTCGCCACAGAATTTCTCTACTTTCCGTTTCTAAAGAAAACTATGATAGATATTTGAAAAAATCTTAAACATTGGGCGTTTTTATCGAGCCGTTCGGATTGTAGTCTTTCAACGGGAAAAAAATTTTAGATTTTCTCACCTGCAGAATAGATCGCAGGTGCGACTGCGAGGACGTCACCAATATGAAACGGTGCGCTTTTCGGAGGAAATGGATGAAGCGATAATTTAAATAGTAATTGTAAGAATATCTCGTCCGGACGAAATTGTCAAGAGCGCTATATTTCGACTCCGCTATTAGATTGACTGGCTTAATATTAAAGAGTGCTCGTCTAAGAAAATCATTGTATTCTCCACCTAACAGTAAAGTTTCCTCGGAGATGTCCGGTGGTACACATCTGCTTAGAATCAAGATCTACGGAGATAACACGGTATCATTTTCATAGTAACGAAACACATTTCCAAATAATTGTTTTTACCCTTAATTAACTAGTTAAGTGTGTTTGACGACTATATCCGTTATGGAGATGTGGCAAAATCTTGTGTCATGACGACTATATCCGTCATGCGTAAAATTTTATACAATTTGATATTTAAATTGTAATTCTGGCGAAAACTAAATTATATTCGTAAATTTTAATATGGGTAAAATGTTTAGAGGTCAAGACGAAATGAAACAAACAAATGAAAATTATAAATAATTTGAGTTTGATTTATAACTTCCTGAGAGCTAACTCGCTTGATTATCGCGACACACACTGGTGGGCGCTTTGCAAAGAGATCGCCACAGTTAACTGGTAAAAAAAAAAATGTTTTGTCGGATCGCGTTGAGATATAATATTATTGTAAAATACACATATAATACGGTATAACAAATTATTATTTAATATATAATGACACACACACACACATGTATAAATTATTAAATATAACAATACGTAATATATATTATCTAATTATACAAGTTAAATGGATAAAATCGCTTACATATATGAAGTATTATATTGATTATATTTTAAATAACTTCTTGAAAATTAAGCTCACCGTATTATCGACCACATCATCGAAGCAAAGCCTTTCCTCACACGGTGCAACGCTCGCGATTAATAACGAGTGGAAAACGTGGAAAGACACGTTCGACATGTCGTTTTCAAGTGCTTCCTCCCTCACAATTGTACCAAACTTTTTCAATCAAAAGTTTCTTCACAGCGTAGATCCGCGGGAATCGCAGTTCCGTTGCGAAATAATCAAACGTCAAACTGTCTTACAATTTTACCTCCGGTGGGTAAATACTTGCTGTTCTTTTCACCGGTGCGATCGATCGATCGTGTGTAGATAAGCGGCCGCCACATCTTCCAACTATCGTTCGCCATTATTGCGCGTTTTTGTGCCGTTTCGTCCATTTGGATAAAAAGATAAAGCGCGACGCATTAAGTTCCTCGCGCATTATTATTATACAAGAGAGAGAGAGAGAAAGAGTGAACAGGGTGGTGTAAAAAAATCTATAAGAAATATGTAAAATATAAGCATATAAATATAAATATATAAAAATAAAAATATAAATATATATATGCAACGATGTTCTTCCGGAACGTGCAACATGACGCGACACGATAAACGAACATGCCGGTATTTGTCGTGTGTGTAATACGGGTTAACCATCGACAATGGACTTTAACACGACGGAACAGGATGAAAGGTATTTGACTTCACTCGTTATGCACTGTTAAACTGTGTATTCACAGTGCAGCGATGTGATCTGTACTTTCACGCTAGTAACCTATTGTTGCTCGATCGCCTATTTTGTCTGGCGCATATTTGATTTCGCGCGTCGCTTGTTTTTTGCAAAGAACAGAGAAGTAGTACGCGCTCTTGTGACGAGTCCGCTCTTACAGTCTTGGCTCAGATCACGATTGAGCAAAAAACTTTTATTCAGTTCTTCCAATACTGCCGCACGCACCTTCGTTCTTACGAAATCAAGATTTTAGAAGAACAGCTTCCCCGAGGTAAGTAATTAATTTGCTACTGTGTGTTTATTTATTTTCGGCAAGAAAAATTCGACTCTTTCTTCCATACACTTTTGTTTCGATTATATCATTCTCCTCGCAACAAATATAGTCGTTCCATTATTATTCGCACGGTGATTACGCGATGGTGCGATGACAAGGAAAGTTCGCGCGCGTCGACGCGCTTTCACACTTTTATGTGTTTCCGATAGAAAGAGGCGATAGGGTATACAACGGTTTCGGAAGGAAATAATTATACATCTAACTGTTACGCTACCTGAATTACGGGACACGTAATAAGGAGCGATAGTATCTCGACGGTATAATTTAGGGGAATGTCATGCAACCGCTCGGTCAAGGCGGGACGGTGTTATTATGGCGCGAGTTACATCCGAACTTGTGAAATGTTTTTCTAGAGGAAAAGACAAACGCGCTTCTGCAAGTCTGTCTCTGTCGAGTTTTTCCCGTGCACACGTGAAGAACATTTTTATTGCGTTGCAAGTGACAATTTACGTATATTTATTTAGTGCAAGAGGAACGAAATATCATCATACAGTACAATTGTAGCTACCGATGACTGATTTCCTCCTGTTTTTCTTGTTTATTGCTTAAGACGACCGGAAAGTAATCAGAAGATCCTTTTTTACGTAATAAAGGGACAGCGTACATCGTAAAATTTGTAAAATTTTAGAAAATACGTGGAATCAAAGATAATATGTAAAGATATATAATAAATATATAAAATAATGTAATTTCAGTGCTTTCATTTTTTTGGTAATCTCCTTCCTAATATCATGGGAATGTCGGTTTTGGAACTTTGTTTCTGGAATCGTCAATCCTCAAGCATTAAAAGAATAGTTATTTATAAAGAAATATGTAATCATTTTTATAAAATTATCCTATACTTTTTTAGAGAAGTGTTGCTGTGATCTGCGTCTATGCACATAAATTTTAATTCTGCACCTTCAACAAAACTTCAGAGTCTAAAAACGAAATAGTATGTCGATTTTCGTGCCTTATTTCTACTGATTTATTTTCCGAACAAATTTTTGAACAATACGCGGTATCAATTCAAATAACACATGTATCTAAAAGTCGTCTCAAAGATATCTTTTAGACTCTATCTTTTTATATATATCTTATACTATCGGTATCTTATTATCTAAAAGCCGTCTTTACCTCTTAGGACATCTTAATGTTATCTAAAGAGCTTTCTGGAGTTTGAGTTATGATCAAAGACGCCGTTCAATAACGATTATCTATATCACTGAGTATGTATCGATAAATATTTATTCGCACTATCGGCGGAGTTGAATCGACGAATCGATTAATCTAGGCTAAAAGTTCAAGTTAGAGTCCGCTCTTGAATTTTGACGTAACTGGAGGATTTTGACGTAAGCGGAGATAAGCCTTCAGGAAGTCTGCGAACAATTCAAATTGCATATTTCAAGCTATTTTCACTCGCAGATAACGCTAGAAAACGCAACTATTTGGATCACCGTGAGCGAAGGAATCAATAATAAAACTGTCGATGATGCTAAAAATCCTATAAATTGTTATTTTAATGATTTTCCTTCACCTTTTATCATTTTAAGAGCTTGATTTATCAAAAACATATAATATATTTCGGTCACGTTGAAGCGTTTTATTTTTATCTTAAACCACCGCAATCGCCAATATGGCACTTCCTAGTAAAAATCAGTGACGTAATATCAATAATTTCCCCCTCAACAATATAATTGTTACACAACACACGCGTTATATTGTATTTACATTGTTGAGTGGGAAATTATAATATTGATATTATGTCATTGTTAGATGGTGTTTACTGATAATATTGATATTATGTCATTGTTAGATGGTGTTTACTGATTTAATGTACAGTCCGAGAGACTAAGCGGAACATATGAGGAAACGATGAATATAATCTGAAGAAACGCGAATAATATGAAAATAATTCTTCAATAACGGAAAATAAAAAACAGGAGCCGAACTGGCAGCTCCGAATGGCGGTCCTAACGGGATACCCGAACTCGGCGGTTCTAATCGGCGTTAATAATCACGGATAAACGGCGAGAAAATTGGCGTGACGAGGTGAGGTGAGCGAAGAGGATTCTTCAAGGTGGGAGACGCGCCCCACTATACTCGCGCCCGGAAAAAGACGGCTCCGAGGAGGCGGGAGTGGAAGACAGTTTCGTACAACCGATCGTGTCGCGCGTACACGCATCGTAGCGTCAGTCTCGTATTTCTTGTGGGTGGAATCGGAAACTGGTTCTACGGAGCACGGAAGACTCAGGTCCGGAGGAATCAGGATGCGCCGTCCATCGTCGCTGGTGATCGCCCGGTGGGCATCTCTGATCCTGCTGTTTGCGATGGCTCGCACGGCACTGGCGAAGCAGCCGCATATTATTTACATCTTGGCGGACGATTTGGCAAGTTGCGTCCCCTGTATAACATTCCGCGATTAACAGTAAAGGACACATGAATCGGGCTTTCTTAGGATGTACAATCTTTAATCGAAAAAGTAAAAGGTTTTGTTAAAAACGGTCCACTGAAATTTTTGTGTCATTTTAACGCGGGGGATATTTTACAAATACATAAATAATAAATTAATATATTCACCTTGTTAACCTGTTATTTTTTGTTATATTCGTAGGATTATTAAAGTAACACACAAATTTCAGTGGGCTGTTTTTAATACCAAATTTTTTACCGTGTAGTTGCGGGACTAAAAATGCTTGGACTTGAAAAGTCGATGAATCCGAACGTTTCGGTCGTAGGTTCCGACCCTTTTCAGTGACAGATGGTAAGAAGAGGGTGGTTAGTCGTCATTAAGTGATACTGAGTGAGCTTTGTCACTGAAGAGGGTCGGGACCTACGACCGGAACGTTTGAATTCATCGACTTTTTATGTCTGCATGGTAAAATCTTTTGTGCTTAAAATGGTCCACTGAAATTTCATATCACTTTAACATGGGAAATGTGCGTTTAGAGGTATACAAATATATAATATTAATTTAACACATTCACCTTGTCAGCATATGTTTAACATTATATTTGTATATTTTTCAACGCATCATCCTCAACCCTCCTTCCCTCCCTATATTATAGTCACACAATATTTTAGTGGACCGTTTTAACGCAACATTGTTTTCTGCGTAAGAATTTTCAATCTCGTAACTATTTACCAGACTCGCTGTGCTCTGACTCTTATTAATCTCTTAAAGTTCCATGATTAATTAATTCGTTTATTAGTCAACATTCAATCTAGAAGTATATTGCGAAATTTATCAGATATTTAGGTCGCGTTAGTGAAGGGAAAAGTAGAAAATATGAATAAAAAAGCCGACCCTCATTAAAGCGCGGCTACTAATGGGCGGCTTCGTCACATGAATTACGATGAAGGCAATAGGACTTTGCGCAAACAGATCATTATCAGTCAATTAAAATCATGTCATGCTCTCCTTTCTTTACATAAAATAAAACATATAAACTATGTTCCGCGCGCGAGGAGAATTCATTTTCATTTCCCCTGGAATATCTAAATGTATATTTTACATAATGTCTCAACTCTCTTATGAAATCTTGTCTTTGTAACATGACTTTTCCATTTAATTTGACGATTAATATGGAGGACAAAATTGCATAACAATGTGACGGGAAGGGGTCGATTTTATAAATCAGCCGGGATTCACTCACGTTCGGCAAATCGGCAACGACAAGTGCACAGAGTAGACAAATTTAAGGAGTTCTCAGGGCAAATTTACGTTTGATTATTTCACGAGGTGACGTCGATGTTTATTTTCGTGCGTTATCAGGGATGGAACGACGTTGGCTTCCACGGCTCCGGTCAAATTCCGACGCCAAATATCGACGCTCTTGCATACTCCGGCCTGTTGCTCGACAGGTATTATGTCAATTCGCTGTGCACACCGTCCAGGAGCGCTCTGATGACCGGCAAATATCCTATTCACACTGGAATGCAGCACAACGTAAGTGCCAAGTCCAGCGTCTCATCACGCGTTCGTGTCGTCATGCTCTATTCAGAATTTAAGCAATAAAGATGCGAATAATAAAGATGCAACAGGAAAACGGTGTCGTATAAATGAGTGGAATCTCGACGATTCTGTGATAACGTCATTTTTCATTCTGATTCAACTTCATTCAGATCGGACTCTCGTTTATCCCGTTTATCTCGTTTATCTCGTTTATCCCGGGACTGAACCTCTGTTTCAATTTCTTCACGGTTTAGGTAGTTGGTCCGTTAAACCGTTTCTTTAGGAATCCTGTGAAATTTTAATTGCATATTGATGGGAATATTGTCTACACGTCTGTAAATTAGAAAACGATTGACCGTTCGGAAACTGAGAGAAACTGAAGATTCTTGCAATCAAAGACGACATTTTTCATTACGTATTCTTTGTGAGGTTAATATTAAATTTTTAACTTCTATTTTTAATTTCTTCTGTGATCCTCATAAAGCATTTTTCGTAAATTGAAAGATGAAATTTTCACGAAAAACTACCTTAAACCGATCAGTAACAATAATTGACCGAACCGTCAGTTTGTTTTCATCTCTCGATCGCCGTTACACCTGTCAATAAATCATCACAATTGTAAACCATCAGCTGGCGGAAACGTTGTTGTTCTGCTCGCAGCGGCATATAAAGGGGATATTACAGGCTCGCCTTTTCGCCGTGTTGACCCGGATAGTTCAATTGGAAGTTATCATACCGAGTGGCAGACGTTGCTACTTTATTCGCTCGCCGTGTCAGCTCGTATAAGTGCATGCGTGCGCGCGCGGAGTAAATAAAATTACGTGTATACAGTAGAATCACGTATCTTCGCCGTTGCCAACGTTTCCTGTCGCGCGAACGTTCTTTCCCGAACTCTCTCGTCAAATCTCGTCATGTTGAGTTACGATCATGTCAAATGAGTATGCGTTTTTCTCGCGGCTTGATGGTTCAACGATAAACGTTCGAGATCTCGAAGATCGCGTGCCTCTTCACGAAGTGCTAGTTCGACTAATGAAATATTGATGAGCCGTCGATTTCCCTCCCACTTCCCACATTTCCCCGAAAGTGGCGCACCGTAAGATATGGAGGTCGGTCTTACGACGCTTGAATCTCCTTTATAATTCCAGGTTCTCAAAGGTGCCGAGCCTAGAGGACTGCCACTCGACGAGAAGCTCCTGCCGGAGTATTTGCGCGATCTTGGATACAGCACGCACATTGTCGGCAAATGGCACTTGGGATTTTACAAGAAGGAGTACACGCCGATCTACCGAGGATTCGCCTCTCACGTTGGCTTTTGGACAGGTCATCAGGACTATTTCGATCACACGGCTGTTGAAGAAGTGAGCAGCAGTCAGAGATAAATCTAGCTTAATTTGCCGCGCGACGAAGATGACAATGACGGATGTGATGGCGACGTTTGAGATCTCATCTCTCTCTCGACAGAAACTCGACACTTAAGGTCGCGCTTAAGCTTAATGTGCTGTCGTTCATTCCAGTTGTTATTAGTCTAGCTTGGAATGAGCGTGAAAAGCACGCGCGAGAGACATGCATTCATGCGTTTAGTGTCAAGTGCGAGAAGATGATTCATCGTTACGTTTGATTCGTGTGAAACTGAGAGAGTGAGGGAGATATTGCGAGATCTTGTTCGATGCACAATCAAAATTAAAGAGAGAGAGAGAGAGAGATAAAACACTTCCCTTTAAGGCCTGTATATTGATTCCATTGGGGTAAGAATGAAAGAAATATTAAAATTTTCATTTAGAAAACATTTATTTTCCGCTTGTTTACAACATAGTCGTTCGAGAATATCGGACGAAATTTTCATAAATAGAATAGAATAGAATAGAAATATACGTTTATTCATACTTACGTTTTTTCATCGAGATTTCGAATATCGCCGTCGTTTCGCCGAATATCGTGAGATCCCTTTACGATTACATTTTCAGGACACAAACGTGTAGAGAAATGCAAAAATGAAGCTTCAATTTCCTCGACAAACTCGACAGACTACCCCACCTTAATTATTGCAAGTTACTTAATTATTACAAGCTGACGTCGCGCATTGTAGATGAGGAGGGATAAAACTGATATTGTTACGCAGCCTTTCTGGGGCCTGGATATGAGACGAAACATGGAGCCGGCATGGGATCTTCACGGGCAATACTCCACGGACGTTTTCACAGAGCAGTCGTTGAAAGTGATCGAAAAGCACAATTCTAGCAAGCCTTTGTTCCTGTATCTGGCCCACACAGCTGTGCACTCCGGAAACCCCTACAACCCGCTTCCGGCACCGGACGAGGACGTTGCCAAGTTCGATAATATCATCGACTACAATCGCAGACGTTTCGCAGGTGAGTGACGAGAGCTCGCGTCTTAAAAAGTAGACGCCGATAGTCGCACAACTGAAATTAGAACGAACGCGACATCATTGTTGACGAGAGAAGTTATAATAGTGAATAAATATAAATTTCCACGGAACAAGAGGAGCGAATAGAGAGGCAGTTATTGACAGATAAAAATATACCGTGATTTTAACGGTATTTTTTACTTACGCTAATTGTTGAAATCCCGATGCAGGTATGATGAGTAAGCTGGACAAATCGGTGGGTCAGGTGGTCGGAGGTCTGCGTAAAAAAAATATGTTGCAAGACAGCATAATCATTTTCACGACGGACAACGGCGGACCTGCCGCTGGATTTAACTTGAACGCGGCGTCTAACTGGCCTTTAAGAGGCGTCAAAAATACTCTCTGGGAAGGTATCGTCCGACAATCTAGCTTGTTCCGGATTTGATAAACTTATACCGTCGTCCAGAATAATTTCATTATCGCGACTGATTATTAACCAAGGCCGGGGGCGGTTTTTACGATCGACGTTATATAATTGATTGATAAATGATTTCCTTCCTCCATATTTTAGGATATAATATTTCCGTGAAACACGTGAAACAATTTGAAAATCTCACGCACTTTGCGCCATTATAAAAGAAATGCGCGTTTCTATAAAATTATATTAAATATTATATTCATTATATGTAATTATATATTAATATAAATATTTATATATAATCAGAGAAGAGATATTGCTACGACGTATTTAAAATTCAGCCAAATCCAGGATGTCAAAGGTTGATCGTGTCTATGTTAATTGTACGTTAATTTGATGAATAGAGCAGTCGGTATATTAATCTGCCACGTAACACGACTGTGTGAAATCAATGTTAATCGTTCGCTAATAATTAGGTGGCGTCAGAGGTGTGGGTTTGATATGGTCACCTAAATTGACCCGAACCGGCCGAATAAGCAGGCAACTGTCACACATCGTCGATTGGCTGCCGACGCTTATAACAGCCGCCGGTGGCGATCCGTCGAATTTAAACATCGACGGCATAGATCTGTGGTCCGCGTTCCGCGACGACACCGAGTCGCCGCGCACCAGCGTTCTTCACAATATCGACGATATTTACGGCGTGTCTGCTATTACGGTCGGTAATTGGAAACTCATTCAAGGTAAGAACATTCCGAAAGTTGAGGTCTTGCTCAATGAGGCGGCTCCATTTCTACATTCACTTATTACTTCATTCCTTTTGATCGTTGATTATTCGCGGCTTGAAAGGAACGAATTAAATTACAAATGCAGATCGAAATAAATTTAATTGAAATCTCTCATTTGATCGATCGTTTCATTAAGATTCAATGAAATTATACATTTCCCGTGCGACATTTGATGTTATAAATAAAATTCTGACATTTGTTCCCCGATTTTTGGAATTACCATATCGTGCCGTGAGAGATTTCAATCACGCGTAATGAGACATGTGAAAAATTTCCAACGATTGTACATACGAGAAATTCAATTGTAGCATTTAGCCGTGAAACTCAACGTGACGAGATCCTGTGTTCTCATCGCAGGATCTACCTACAACGGGGTATGGGACGGCTGGTACGGCCCATCCGGCAGAGAATGGGTCTACGACGTGGGTGGCGTGATCGGCAGCGAAGCGGGATGCGCCATCAGCAGCGTAGGACTAGGCATTACCGCAGAAAGGGCGAGGACGCTGCGGGAGAGCGCGTTGATTAAATGCCCGTCGAGGAATGACAGCTTGCCAATGTGCAGGCCGGTTCATGGGCCGTGTCTCTTCAATGTCTACCAGGATCCTTGCGAGAATAACAATCTCGTGGAGCAGTGAGTAGAACACGGCTAGACGGCATTGTCTCGTAAGATCGATTTTACGTCGACGGTGTGCGTCCGTAGAGCTTTGCGTGACTGTATCGCCTTGGTTTTACCTTACGCGTACCCTTGAAGGTTCCCGACGATCATGCGGAAGCTGCAGGATGAGCTGAAGAGGTTCAACAGCACTGCGATTTATCCCAACAACCTCCCGTGGGATAACAGAGCCGATCCGAGTCTATGGGATCACACTTGGAATAATTTCGGTGATTACGTCAACTTTTTAACCGCTGTAAGTTGATCGATCACAGCAACAGACGTTTCACGTTCATCTGTCTGCCGAATGACGGGTAATACGTGTAAGAGTTATACTTGAAACCGTTGCCTATCGTTGGTCTGTGTTCCCCACTCGGGGAATATTGACTTTCGAGACTTTACGAAGATACTTGCGAGACCTACAAGATCGTAAAGGCACGTAATCTTTTCTACCTTTATATGCGCATCGGTGATAAGTATAATATATATATATATATATATATATTAATAATATATTATAACGATATCTGATGGACGGCGTAAAACTGAGAACATTATTTTATTTATAACACTCACACGAGTAATGTTTAACGTAGCCACGCTCGTTAGCCGATTCGTTAATGCCGTCGCGTATCAGCGATTCCAATGTAGTTGGAGGAAGAATACGCTTAGGACTTTATTGTACATGAATAAATCGAAGTACAAAATATTACAGACGAGAGACGTATGTAATCATCGTCATCTTTATTAAATAAAGTACTTGAGGGTTATCAGAATCTTGAAGATTGTATGAATCGAGTTCATCATCTTGGCATTTCCACATTTTTCTTGTCATATAACATTTCCATGACCTTGGCGCATCTGAAATACAGAAAGATTTTGCGCTCGTTACTTGCGAACGTCGAGTCGAAAAATCGGTTACTGTGTTCTGCAAGATTTTCAACGCCACGCATCGAATCTGCCGTTTCTCGCTCGGCGGGCAAAACAATTCTCAAGTACACGGAAAAAATATTGTAGTAAACATTAACACAAAATCTTGTAACGTTGGACTATATCGGAATTATAATTGAAATTACGACGTGTGTTGTAATCTATTCATGTGTTTCATTATACACATCGCTAAAGATTACAGCATTCATAATCATTTCACTGATAATTCCGGTATGGTCCAGCGTTACAAGATTTTCTGGCGATTTTTACTACAATAATTTCTCCGAAGAACACAAAATCACGATGACGGAGTCGAAACGAATCGAGCATCAAAATGAGAAAGAGTATGTTATTACAGTCATTTTTTCATCATTTTAATATTATCGTGATTTTCTGTTTTATTTGGATTATCGTTGATCTTCGTGAAGGGGAAAAATATAAAATCAAAGGTCCAACAGTCGATCCGTGGCCCGAAAATACGTCTCAAGTTCACGCGACGTTACCCGCAACGAGAAGGAACCCATTCGAGTCCGCTCGAACACACTTCCTCGGGCTTGTTACAAACACACTTGCACGTTGCGTTGTCCCAGATCATGTGACGCCGATTATCGCACACTTGTTTGTTCATGCATTCGCACGCGCAATTATCTTCCGAATATTGCTGGTGAACGTTACAGTCGTTTTCCTTCACATTGCAGTGACACCTAAAATTATATCGCTTATAACAGCGGATGCAAACCAATAATATTCCCAGTAATGCGGTTTCGCGTATTTTCTGCGGCTGACTGATTTCCTGACCGCGCCTAACTTCCGCCCTTTCATCTTCCCCAGCAACTTGTCTCGAAGCTTGTGGTTGTCGAGCGAGCCGGAAATTTCATTATGAGAAATAACAGAAACTCGATGTTATATTCAACGTGAATATTTATCATGCAGTTAATATTAGGAATTGCGACACAGAGATAAATAAACGAGACGCGAAGACACGTAACATTTTACAGTGTTGCCGAAAATCGTGGATTTTCGACACGTTGACGCGTTGATTGCCGAGTTGAGTTTAATTGATTGTATTGAAATTTGATTGACGATTGAATCACCAGAAGTGCATCGAGCTTGAGGGAGATTATATTGAAAAATAAAAATTATCTTGTTGCAAAAATTTTACATCTTCACATTTTTTTCTAAAAGCTTACCAAACGGCCCTCGTAACTACCACCGCCTTGAATATCTTTGAAAATTGAAGTAAAATAATATAATAAAAAATCATTGAGAAAATAACAATATTTTATCAACGATTAGATGACGGTGAAAAAAATTGATAGAAGGTGCTCGAATTATAACGACTATTGATATATATCGATGCAATTTTTGTTAGACAGTAGTAGTGAAGATAGTAATAGTTACATCCTCATCCTGTATATTTTTTGTGTCACCTTATTGGCTCTCCATTGACTGTATGGCGGGTTTTTCAATTGATTATATTTTACGCACACCTAATAAGACGTGACAGTACCATCATGTCGGCCGTGTTAATTAAGCCCTTTCGATCATTATATATCAGACAAAGAGATGCGTAAACATACGAAAGATGATCTTACTTGCACTTGGTGTGCTCTTCGACCAACACGTTGTAACATTCCTTGGTGTTGTATCCATGCATTTGTACGGCGACTTTCGTCATGTTGTGAGCGACTGGCATGCATGACTTGCTTCTAACGCAAAAGCCGCCGCATCTCTTCACGCGTGCGTAATTCGGGTAAAAGATGAAGCCCGGTTTCGGTTCCAATTTTACTATAGTATCCCTCGGCGTACATTTTACCTCTTTCATCTGACGGCGCAATTGCATAACTTTGTCTGAGCATCCTGTTGAATGCGAATTGGCAAGTATTGTTCTCGAAAAGTCAAGACATGTCTACCGTATGTATTGTCCAATAGATTGTCATATTCAGAAAAAATAATTATGACACATAATATCTGACCTTGCCTCTCTTTCTCTTTCATCCGTTAATATTATTCGATTGAACAAATAAAGAAAAAAAGTATTAATTACGAAACGTAAGAGTCGTTTTTATCATATGAATATTTAAAATACTGTATCGAACAAGTCTAGTGATTCTCAGAATCGAAAGGTTAATGGTTATCGATCTAAGGCCTGATATCACCAACGACAAATCAGTTCGGCTGACTCGGCAGTGAATTTTTGACGAACGGCAATTCCGTTTTCCTGTTAATTACGATATAAACGCGTGAACACATTATTTCTGTAAAAAAAAAGTAATTGATGCAGATAACGTGTTATCTGTTTCATGTGAAAATCCCCGATACTACTGACTTACAAAAAGCGGCTCGAATAGAAATCTATCTAGTCAGCCTGAATCAGAAACTAATAATTAGCTAGTACAGGCTAGATTAAATTTTCTATCTCAGTGAGTAGTTCATTACTGGCTGACGACTTACTGAAATGTGGAATCAGTTTTGTAATCTAGCCATTGTCTAGCCGTTACGTGTCAAATATGATAGAATAGATGGCACTGTCTATTCTAAAATATATAATCTAGCCGCGGTGTGTACTTGCTGTTAACATTAAAAAATAAAGTAGCAAATAACAAAGTGCGTTATTCCATAAAAATCTTAAGAAAACAAAAATGAACTTTACATCACCGTCTGACAACTACTTATCATTTTTCTCATAGTTTCTTTCGTTTAACCGTCAGCTAAATTATTTATCTAGCCATTATCTAACCGCTACCCAGGTAGAACAGAAAACGACGATGACGTGGAAATGACGAGAAAATGATGGATAAAACTTATTTTTCGATCATTCTTTCGCCACTTTTGCCATCACTTTTACGCCATTGTCATTTTCTCTTTCATCAGGGTAGGAGAAGTGAACGTTACATTATCGGCTAATAACGACGTTAGATTTAAATTTGCTACTTCCGCTGGCGAGACACCCACGGGGTTCACACTTACTACCTGGAGTCTAGCCTTTCTCTCATACAATTTACCGTGCGCGGAGACGAACCGGCGTGTGATAAACAATCTACTCAAAAGAAATTCTCGATCAATACCTGTGGTGTAACCTTGGTGCGGCCGCCATACGTTGCTGTATTCGTTATCGTACCAATGGGTTGTGCATGTCGAAACCATAGCGAAACACACCAAAGCGAGAAACCTCATGATTAGCTCGAGACACACGGGGTCAAACTGAAATTACCGGCGGTGACGCTCGCACATCGTCAAGTCGACAATGATCTAACGTTCTTTCCTCGTTCCTTTATAACGGCCGGAAGACACAAAGTTGCGGCGTGCGGTCAACATCGCCGCAAAATGTTGACCGATCGGCGGAAGGAGGGAGACGTATTATAAAACTCCACCGCAGCGATTATTCCGCGAGCCCGCGACAATATTGTCGGCGAATAATTTATTACCCGACACACGTATATACACGCACATATACGTGGAGGCGGAATCGAAGAGCGACGCGAAGGGGTGAACCGGTCGCGCCGAAAATCAAGGCGAGTCGCGCGCGGATTGTATCTTGTAAATAATATTCGTTTTATTACTTAATCTATACATCATTATTCCTTGGGCCACAATCTCATCGACATACGTACGAAGTAAAATAGAAAAAGGACAGGAGAATGTCGAAATCAGAGGATGGAATACATTATGTTGTCGGCTAGAACGTCAAGATAGGTCCTTCCCGGTGATCCAGAATGTCTGCAACGGAGACGATCGTCGGGAAATTGGTAGTGCAGAATTCATTCGTTGCATCATATTTACGCGAGATGCTGCGTACTTCGCGGCCCTTATTCTGTAACCTTTAACTTTCCCGCAACGTTTTACCACGACATAACGTTGCACGCGTCGCGAATCTTCGCGCGAACGAAACGGTACCACGAGATAGCTGCGCAAAGATACGCCGACGATAATGACATTTTTACGAGTTACAGAACAAGGGGGCGGGGGTGAAAGCTTTTGCTGAGCCTCGACTATTTTCCACCTCACCTTTGGCTATGCTCCACCAGGGTAACGTGATGTACGTCAGGAAGGCGTTCAGAGGCACCGACTGCGCCCGCTTCGTTTCCTTCCAGAAGTGGAAAGTCTGGGTGAAGCCGCGCATCGTCCAAAGCGGGTTGTACGCACCGTCGTCCAGTTCTGGCGGGAAGAAAACAATACCCGTTAATCAACGCGGCGTGTCGGCGAGTCGCGCACGTCGGATTGTGTGTGTACATTCGACGTCCTGGAACACAATTCGAGACGTTGAAAAACTAGCGACAAAGCGATGAAGTCGTTTCTCTTTCTTTTTTCTATTTTGCATACAGGACGAACATCAGCGGCGGGACACAGAAAGTCAGACGGACGAAACTGAAAAGCCGGGTCGAGAATGCATCCTCGAACCGTTAGTCGAGCGGATGAGCGGCGATTCGTGGCGCAATTTCGAACGGTACGCAGACTGTATATGTACAAGTGTATGCGTGTGCAAGAGCGACAGACAGTGTGAGGGACGCATCGGGAGTCTCGCAAGGAGCGTACTGGTTCCTCCGTTCAGTCGGAGAGCCACGCGATAAACCTCGTCCTCGTGACGGGGACTCCTCGGTCGTACGAATCACACGTATACACGCGGACAGAGGACAGACGCAGGAACGGATCCTCACCGGCTGAAAGGAGCTCAGCACCGGGGGATGCGTCGGAATCTAAAGTGCGCTCTACCTGTGCGCGACAGCAAGCTGGAATGAGCGTTTTACTTTCGTAAAGCGGAGCTAATCGTCTACCTGCGTTTCGATGACTATGCTTATTGCCGGTGGTGAAATTCACGGTTCTAGAATGATATCGCGCGCTCTCCGTCTCTCTCCCTCTCGTGGCTCGCGGATCGCCTTCGGATCGCGCGAGTGCGCCGCTTTCTACGAATGACAATGCCGTTCCGTGATGCCGTCGTCTGGCGAAACCACCACCACGTCGCTCTCACTCCGGAGCGAACGATTCGCACAGCCGAGAGAAGTACCCACGTTTCACCATCCCATAAACACAGTCATTCGAGCACGTCGTGCGGAATGCTCTGGGCTACTTTGTTTTTTCTAGTCGGGTCTACACAGCGAGGTCGGTTAGAATGGAAGCGAGAATTGCTCGGGATTGCTGTTATCGGGTTATCGGGAGATAACAGAGAAGGTGGGAGAGGGGAGGGTCGGACGAGAGAGAAAGACAGAGAGAAAGAGCCGACTTAGTCGAGGGGGTTGTCAGGGTGGGATAAATTTACCCTGTGAGCCGGGGCGGCGCGGGAGCTCGCACCAGTAGTAGATCGCGGTGCCGTCGGGCGTGACCCGGTGCGGGGGCAACGGGTTGCCGGCGAAGCTGCCGGACAGCGCCCTTCTGCGTCGTCTTCGGGGCAACGTGGCGCTCTGCCTGCGCGCCGCCGCGTCGCTATTGGCGCGCGTCACGCGGGCGTTCGCGTTTCTGTCTCTGATCGGCTCGTCGTTCTTGTTCAGACCGTTGCTCGCGGTGGTGTAGTCCTCGTGATCGGATCCGGCGGATCGCAGCCGGCGCCGTCCGTCCGCCCGTCTCACCCTGAGGAGCTCATCGTCGCTGAGCCGGCGGCGCTCCTCCTCGTCGTTCTCCAGGCCGTTCAGCCGGTGCTGCTCGTGGTTGAGCAGCAGGTGGCCGGCGCTGTACGGCCGTCGCTTCCGGTTATTGTCCTCCGCCACGTCGTAGCCCAGCGGCAGTTCCTCCTTACCGTGCACCAATATGGCGCCCGAGTCTAGCTTCTGCCGGACGTTGTCGTCCGTCAGGCAGCCGCCGGCCGGCACTAAGATCTCGCTGCCCACTTCTATGTGGTGGTGCTGGTGGTTCTGCTGATTGTGCTGGTTGTGGAAACCTGCCGCGAGAACCACGTCGTCATTTGACGGCGATTGCACCCGTGTCGCGACTACAAACGATCGTGCCAACCCGGTCTCTTTGCGCTTTGCCAACGACGACGAGGGAGTGTTTCGCGCCGGGAAGCGAGAGGGTGCCTCGAAATATCGAAGAGGACCAGCGTCCGCCTTCGGATATTTCAGGCTGACTTTTCACTTGTTGTCTCAATATTTCGCCCGACACGGTAGAGACTTGACTTTTCTTCGCGTCAAACGTCAATCGTTTCGCCCGAATCTCGAGGAATAGGATAACGAATGAACGTCGTCGACGATTCTGACGAGTTTTGGAAAAGTACTAAGTCTTCGACATCGAGAATACGTCCCGGACAAGTGTCCAAAGTCGGGGCATGAAACGTTTTCGAGACGTCTTAAAGATATCTCAGAGACGTCTTGTGTCCTGGTTTCGGACACCGTGCTGTCTGGGGATTGATTTCGGAAGTCGAAGCTTAACCGAGGCGCGGAACGCGAGCTGGTACTCCGTAAGAAAGAGTAACTAACGGACAGACAGTGGTTCTACCAGTCACAATAAGCGAGAGCGTTGTCAGAGCAGAGACAGGAGAGACGCAGACTGATCGTTTTCAGCGCGAACGAGCACACTCACCGTGTGTCTCGCGATAGATCTCCTTGCGAATCGGCGAATTCTCATTCCCGGGTCGTTCCCGGGCATTACGTTGCTTGTGGACGGGCTGTTGTTGTTGTTGTTGTTGTTGTACTTGATGTTGTTGTTGTTGTTGTTGTTGCCGTCGGCCCGACAACTGAGGCGATCTTCGTCGACGAAGCGAGCAGGGACTCCTACGAGTTCCCGGTGAGCCCCGGCCGCCCCAGCTGCTATCCTGTACATCGGCTACAAAGGAAAGAGCCGGCATGGCACGTGCCGCTGATTAGACACAAGAAGAAACAACCTTCGCTCTCCGTTCTTTTCGCTTTTCCCGGTCTCGCCTTTCCCGGTAATGCGCGACCACGCGGGTCGAAAGTTAATGGCGGTGTGGTGGTTAAGTGGCGGGTGGTGATGGTGGTGGTGGTGCAGGTAGTGATTAGTGATCGTGGTTGTGATGGTTGTGATGATGTTACGGTGGCTCTCGGTGATAACTTAACTGTTCTTTTCTCGGTGTATTTCTATTATCCGCCACATCGCGTCACAATTTCGCGTCAATCATCGTGTGACATCGTGTGTGCTACCGCTAAATCTCTCTCCGGTCTGTCTCGCTTCGGTCCGCACATTGTGCGACGACGCCTTGGGATCTCGGGCGTCCGGAAACGCCGCGAGTGAGTCTAGAGAGGCATTCGGAAAAACACCGTGATGCGGTGTAACGCCCGACGACGGCGATCTGAGGTACATGGTGTATGAAGATCGGTGCCGAATCACTCGAGTTTCTCTTTCTATCGGCGCAGTAGCGACGACGAGTCGCGCACGAGTTCGTGTACGAGAAGGTAGCTGATTACAGACAGCATGGTTGGGATGACGCGAGTCCGAGGTGGAGACGACTAACTTTAATAACTTTGTGCATGCGTTCGCTCTCTCTGTCGCGCTAATGCGACCACGGTGTCCACATCGAGAGAGTGTTTCGATCCTCCTCAGCCTCGAGTCTATATATATATATATATATAGAAGTTAATAGCATTAGGAGAAGAAAGTGTCATTGCCGAGAGAAAAAGAGAGAGAGAAGGAGATCTATATGCTTGAGATAACACATCCAAGGCAATTGTGCATCACACAGATATAACACAGGAGCATGCCGAGCAGACCGAGAGTGGATGCGAACGAAATACATTGAGAAGAGAAAGATATTATAAAGCCCGTATCCATGTCCCGCATCTAACGCCCGACGTTGCAAAATACCCGCTCTCCGATCTCGTATAAGTAAATAAATAATAACAACAGTATCGTTTACACCGGTTTCCTCACGGTGAACAAAAGGTATATTCTTTCTCGCTAAATTGGCCGCACCAGCTTGCGCTTTGTTTCTCTTCTTCTCTTACTTCCGTCAGGTCTTAACTGTGTGCAACAGTTTTTCATCCGATGTGGCTTCCGAGTTGGCGCCGCGTCTTCCGAGGATTTGTATTCGACGTTTCGTGAACACTAGTTCTCCAGGTCGATCCTCACCCCGAAGAAACGCCGGACACAAATCTTCGAAAGACGCGGCGCCAACTCGGAAGCTACATCGAATGTTTCCACATAGCGAAAGCTTAAAACTTCAGATTGCATGTCTATCTCTTTTTAGGTTCTATAAGTGTACACTAGTTTAGCGAGAGAGAACAGACCTAAAGAATACAGGTTTGTTCGTTTCAGCATAAGATTTCACTTTTCGCCTTTAAAGTGAAGCAAGTGTACAACCTAGCGTCGGAGGGAAAATGAAGAAAATTTCAGCGCAGCACTAGGTTCAGCCGAAAAACGAGCAGGCGTTGTGCGGACTATTTCAAACGGTTGCATCTAGCGCTAAATGCGAGCTATGGACGGCCAGCCTCTAAGAATGTCGAGATCCAAAGTCTAGGCAAGTAAGATAAGTAAGTAACAGTCGTCTCTCTTCTTCGGCTTCGATCTCGCGCGAGTTGCGTCCCGGATAATTACCGTCTCGCACGTCGCCGGCCTCGATCTCGCTGAGACCGTTCGCCATGGAGTCGAGGCCCTCGTTCTCCGACCTGGCCTTGGTGGCCACCGTGTCCGGCTTCGTTCTCCAGCCGCCGCGCACGAAGTTGTTGAGGTTCGCGCTGGGATCGGACAGCCTACGCTGATGGCGATACATGAACAGCTCCTCGGCGTCGTCCCAGTCGGCGTCCCAGAGAGCGTCGGTCGCGCAGTAGCCCGGCTCCGACGTCGGCGTCTCCGCGCCCGAACCCTTCGGCTTCGTCACCGCCATCTCCGCGTGCCCCTTGCCTATGAAGCAGTGCGATTCGCGTGTGCAAATTGTGAGGAATTCTCGTCGTCACGCTGACGAACAAGGAGAGGAAGCATGAATTGCACGAATCCAAATAGATACCTCAGACAACACGATTTCTAAAATCGGGACGCGAAACATCTTAAAGACGCCGGGATATGAGACTCAGTGCCGGCCTATAATAGGTATTTCAAGTTTAAAACCTTGAGAAATTGACCGATCACAAAAGAATGATCGACTGTGACTAGTCAATTTCTGAAATCTTGAGTCTGAAAACACTGTGTTGTGGAGTTAAAGACGTCTCAAAGACGTTTTATGTCCTGATTTTAGACACTGTGCTGTCTGGGTAATTAGATCGAGATTAGGTATCGCCAGTCTCGTTCACGTTCCCCGAGGAAGAGATGGGAGAAAAGGTAGTGCTTTAATTAATGAAGCGTACGTACCACGTGGTCCCTTCATTCGCACGAACTCTATTCGCTGCGAAGCCGCGCCGGAGAAAAGGCCGAACGTCATCCGTTGCGCCATTTTGGTGCTGAGACTCGACTAAAAATAATCAGCCGTTATTCCGTGCACATATAAGGTCCGATAACGTCACCGGATGCTGCCGACCACTCACCCTAGCGTCGTATACCTTCTTCAGAGCGTCATATCTGATCGAACCGAGGAATATGACACCTTGGACCGCGCCCTCCCTGTCCGAAGCGACTAGCTCCACGCACACCATCTCCCCATCCCTGACTAGAATATCACAGAAAACCTCGTCGAAGTTGTCCACCATGAAACATATGTGCGGGTAGGTCATTTCCTCAAGGTCACCCTTCGCATCCATACGCCGTCGACTCGGGCTGGCGTATACTTTCTGTGAATGCCTTCGCAGTACCTGGAAGGAGTCGCTCGGTTTGCGCGAGGTTTTCCGACATTTCGGCGTTTCACTTCGTTTCTCGCGCGCGTGATTGGAGATTCACCCCTCAAAAATTCAAAGACACGAATACAAAATATTAATAAAATAAAAATATTAAATAAACAATAATAATAATAATAATATTGAATGAATATTTCTTCTATAAAATATCAATTGTATGAAAATATATTATTAATATTAAAATATTAAAATATTTCTGGGTTATATAATTTTTTTGACTATATGTATACAAACAAAGATTTTGCACAGAAACCACGCGTATTATCCTAATGTACAATCGAAATGTAAAGTAAATAAATGCGTAATTTATGAGAGATGGATGCAGTCTCAAGAGTTCTACATTTATAAACAGAATATCTTCGATTGAGTTATTTTTAGAGACATCGTCAGACGACGAGTTCGCGTATCAATAAATCTACACGGAGATAAGCGGACATCACCCGAGTATATCGCCGGTGTGATAAGTGCTCACTTGCAATTCCTTGGGACTCGTCCTCGTGCAAATCGCCAGGGTGAGCGTGTAGTCGAACTGATGCACGACGAGATTCAGGTACACGGTTTCCTCCCAGTCGATGTCTGGATCGCCGATCGGCAGTTTCTTGCTGTCCTTGCGAAACACGTCGACTTCGGTCTCGAATTTCGGCAGGTACCTCGACGATGTCTTCACGTGCTTCTTGCGCACGAAGAAGAGCAGGTCGTCGCCGTCGATGGTGTGCTCCGCTTGAAAGAGGAAGTGCCGGACGAACAGGTCCGTCCAGTACGTGGTGCCTTGAAGCACGACGAATCCGGAGTCTGGCAAAGACGAGAGAATTTGCGTGTTTGCAAGAGAGAGAGAGAGAGAGAGAGGGGGACACTCTCGTGTCCAGCTCTTCAAGGACGCGTCGTCTGTTATTACGGCCAACCAAATTCACCCTCGATCGATTCGACGATACGAAGGGGGTGTACGTCGCGCGGGACAAAGAGAGGGAGAGATATACAATAATGAGCGTGAGAGGCGGGAAATGCTGGGTAATCGATACGTATATATATATATATGTATAAAAAAAAATATATATATATGTATAAAATATATATGTATATATACACGGCGCGCGCGAGTTATTGACGGAGAAAGTCTGGGCAGAAATACGACTAATAAACGCTTTCTGATTGCTGCTTCGTTCCGTTCAACTCCGCTCTTTTCACGCGGTGTATCAGGCTCGTTGGGCGCCGACAATGCGCGTATTCATACGCGATATCTCTCTAAGCATACGCGTCTTAGAGTCTAAAAAGAGACAGAAGCGAAACGTAATGCCGAGGCTGCGAGTCTACGAAGTGGAAAGTCTTGATGTTGCACGTACACATTATACACACGAGAAGCGAAATAATGAAGAGGTGTGCGAAACATAAGACGACGAGGATAAATAAGGATTTATTAACATGTTATTCTATTATTTACATGATCACCTGGGTAATTCGGTATCTTTAACATAACATATAAAGGGACGGGGGATACGAATAACGGATGACGTAGCTCCGAAGGGAGGCTTCGTAATTAATAATTGAATTGGAAGTTATCACATGCGGCTGGGATATTTTTCCAACTGATTCGTCAAGCGATCACTTAGTCGAAATGTGTGGCTAATTGCAACAATTAACAAAAGCTTGATTGTTTTTTACTGAAAGCATAAATAGGCAATCGGAATAAGGTGGTCTTCGTTAGGATTGCATTCGGAAGGACGAAGTCTCTCGGTAAAGCCGAAGAAGAACCCTCGAGAAAAGTTCCCCTTGATCCACGTTGCGTGCGTGAATTCCGACACTCCGATGCCCTGAACCCGCCGATTATTCCATCGGAGTCGCATTTAAGTCGTTAAGCAGAATCGGCCAGAAATAGCCAATCAATCGACACTTGATCAGTCGGTTAAATTAACCGGCCGTAACGGGATCAACCGATCGCACTGGTCTAATAGCTGAATCGATCAATGCGATTGATCGTTTCCGTCGTGTTAATCGTTCGATTTCAACCACGACGGTATAGCCGGGTGTAAAGATAAAACCGGCCGACACGAGCAACGATAACGAAGCGGTCGCGGCTTCCCTCCAGTCCCCATACAGAGCATTCCGACACCCTGTAAAACGGGTCAAGGGGGGATCCGGACGACGGAGGAAGAAAATAAATTGAATTATTCGAGACATCTCCCAGGAGTTCCAGCCTATTTCCCCGGTGGCGGTCAGTCAACCCCTCGAAAGTGAAACACCCTCTGTTTCATCCGTCCGGAGCACACCCTGAGTCGCCCGCGCGCACTCTCACCCTCGCCAGACAGCGACGTACGCGCGCCACACACACACACACACACACACATACGCAACGGTCACCCTTCTATAACGGCACAAACAAACAGAGCGACCGCACCGGTCGCATACCAACCATCCTTCAGCATCTGCCTGAGCTCCTTCGTCCTCTGGAAATTGATCTCCTCGAGTAGCTGCTCCAACATCGTCGGGGCTCGGGTCAGGCCCGACGACGAGCTGCTCGCCAAGCTCGCCATGCTCGAGCTGGGTGAGTCAGCCGCCGACGTTTCCCCGTTCAACGTCTCGCTTCACCTCGCCTCTGCAACTCCTGACTGCGTCGTGTTTACGAGGGCGTCCTTGGCCCCGACTGATCGCCGTACACGGCCGAGCGGATGCTATGCTGAGAGGGACCGGTGAGAGAGAACCGCTCCGGCGAACCGTTGACGGGACGATGATGACGAGGAAGAAATCTCTCTCTCTCTCTCTCACGACGCTCCCATTTCGTCATCCGAAAGCCGTCGCAGCGAGATCCGGCGAGAAGCGCGCGCGGCTGGACGCGATGCCTCGTAGATGATGAGGATGAGAGACGGCCGAAGAGGGAGAAGAAGCAACGTCAACTCCGTGGACACCTCGCGCGGCGCGGCTTGGCCGCGACTGACTGTGCCGAGCGCGTTCGTCGATAATATGACGCATGCGTGGGTCACGTTCCGTAACTGTCATTCTCGCCGCGGCGCGATATTCGAACGAGAGAGACTCCATGTGGGAGCCTCGAGAGGGACCTCCGAGGTTTTTACCGACGTTGAAACACCGATGAACCTCGTAAAGTGCGACCGGAAGTCGCTCACGGGGCCGGCTCGTCCTGCTCGCCTCCTGCCGATCTCTCTGTCGAAATGGTCGACGCGTCGATATTATCGGTCGTCGTCAATCCGAAAGTATTCGTGAGCCCGCGTGATTTCGAATTCGAGTCGACGGTCAGTCCGCAGAAGCCGAAGCTCGAAGGGGGAAAAGAACGCGGGAAAAGAGAGGTCCACGGTCCGTGGGTGTTTATCGTGGCGCGTTTCAGGCGCTATCGCGCGGAACGCGTCGGAGCCTGAAGCGATACCACGTTGACCTAAAAGCGACCTCATGACTCCCGATAATACTTTCCGAGTAGCTGCTGCTCGACGGCGCCCAGCGCGACGTAGTACACGTCCGTCGATCGCCGCTATCGATCTGTCCGGCGGCATCTCGCAGGCATCGCGAGGCGAACGCTCGGTGAGTACCCGCCCGTTCGACCCGCGATCGAACTACGAACACCGCTCGCGATCGGCGATGATCGAGCTCAGAACGCGCACCGTGCCGTTCGTGGTGGTCCACCACGTGACTAATCTGCGCGTTTATTGAAGCCGGATTACGCAATTGCGTGTAACGTGCGTTCACCTCCGAGCGGTCTCTGTGCGCGCGGAATCTAAATGGGGATCTCGATCGAGGCGAGATCGAGACGATTGACCGTAGCGCGCGCAGTGATTAATAATATTGTTAGCATCATGGAAACCCGACGATTAATGCCGAGTCGAATGCCGAGTCCTTGCGCGTCTCTCGTTCCATATAATTACGCATGTAATTATTCGTATAATTCGTATCTTCGTATCTTCCGAACGAAGGTTTCATACGCGGGAACGTTTCAAACACAGGGGATATCGGTGTCCGCGATTATCGCCGCGACTCGACGGAGCCGCACAGCGTGTCGCTTCTCCCGCTTCACCGTCCGTCATCTAATCGCCGACAATTTCTTCTTTCTTTTATTTTTCATCTCGTCTCTTTAATGATAATAATTATCTTTACTAACGGGAATAATCCTTTAGAATACAATATTACGTAACGCACAGCCGCGGATAGAGACGAACTGAAAGTTTTAACTTGCGAAATAAGATAAGACAGGCGAAACTGGTGAAATAACATTGCTCAGCAAGATTTCCGTATCCGGAATGAGAAGAGGCGTTCCCGAACGGTTTTCGTCCGCCGAGTGCAAATCCGTTGTCGAAATTTCCCTGTTAGATTATAATTTTGAGAGAAATGACATCGAAGAAGCCAATTTCGATGGTCTTCATGACGTTCAAGCACCGACAGCACAATTTTTTTCCTACATTTCGTTAATGTCGCATAAAAGTATCAACTTTTAGCTTTAAAATGCATTTCGTTTCGGTATTACTTTTTCAGTTCAAAATACAAGTAAACATGATATCGATATCGAGCGCGCGTGACCGGTGTTTTTAATTTTATAACGTACGATTCTGTGAAAAATGAAAAAGAGGATATCGTCTCAATAGTTTAGGCGAACTATTAATTTAATATATTTGAGGACACAATATATTACTATATTACACAAAATATATTATATTACTATATTAGGTTATTTTTAACGTAACTAAATGAATTAAATTTAAAAAAAACCAGCTTACCCAATCCTGTTCAAATGTAACGCAAAGATTATATAAAAAATCAACACAAAATTGATTTCCATAATATGTTATTAGGCATGAAATTATAAAATGTGCTGTCTTAGCTTTTACACATGTTGAATATCGACTCAGTGCAAAACATATATTGAGATAACATAAATACAATATGATAAATTACTGCACGTGTATGTTAAAAATTTCGCGCAAAAATTTTAACAACGGCCGATTTTAGCACTAACACAAAAGTACTTCTTACTGTGTTAGAACGATTTATACACGCGAAAAAGGCAGAATATTAAACAAATGCAATCCAAGAGAAAAGGAAATAAGCACGAAGAAAGTAAGAAGAAAATAAAAACGAGATATGCTTAGATCTATTTAAATGCGTAACAATGACGCATCTAAATGTAGGAAATGAACATGAAATAACATGTCATATATGTCCATTAAATTATTATTATAAGTATTTCCAACTGTAGATAATCAATGAAGCAATTGAAACTTCCCGTAACGAATTCTACGTCTTTTCGCACGAAGGTATGGACGTATTCTGAACGACCTACTTGGAATATATGAACGTAATTAAATTTCCGTGAGATCCACGATCGTGCGTCGACGATCGTGAAGCAATTGAAACGCGCGAACCGTACCAGGTTTCACCGCGGGCGAGCAGGTAAGCACCCCGAAGCGCCTACGGAGCGCCCCGCGAGCGCGTGAAAGGGTCGCCGTCAATAAAAGTAGCCGCGCGCTGCGACATCCCGGCATTCCGCGAATTATGACCGACGAGGATCCGCTCGATAAGCGCGCGTGCTTCCGGTTTTGCTTCCCTTCTTCGAGATACGAATGCGCATCCTCGTCCCGCAGTGTATCGAACGTCGAGTGAACGATCATGCTTTTTGTGCCTCAGAGAGAGACGAACGCCGCAAGGAGCGTTGCAGTGTGTGCGCGCAGCCGCCCTGTCGGTGAGCCTTCGATTAACAGCCGGGCGATCGGGCGTTGTTGTTTAAGATAGAGATAGGACTGATCGAACGATGCATTCATTAATCAATATGTATCAGTTCCCAAGCATGTCGCGTTATCAAACCGGTACCGAAATCAGCCGTCTTTGGTATTAGTAAATTGGTATTGGTAAAATTAATTTGCTGCATTTCACGCGCGTAATATTGACTCGATACGATTATTAAATGGTCATAAGGACGTCGACAAGACGGTTTACCGCTTTATACGCTTTGCAACGCGATCTCGATCTTATACTGATCTTCTAATCTTGATGAAAATGTTATGATAAAAATTTATTTAAAAGTGTCGAAAAAATCGTGGGTACAGCAACAATTGTGATTTCAACCTTATTTGGTCGTTCTCATCGTTATTAACCGTAGCTATAATTATTTTTGTATTAATTTTATTATTGATAAGTTGTGAGTTATAATTACTAATTAATATTGAACAGATAATGTATAATTGATATGTATTGATACGGCAATGTTTCGCGTGTTTCGATACACCGCATATTGCTCCTGAATATATCTTAGAACGAATTGGCACAGAAGTATCAATTTCAGATATGAATGCATCGATAGTATCAAGACTGGTTTCAGTCCCATCATTAATTTAAAGGGCGAAGGGGACCTGCACGAAATAGCCATAGGGCGATATTGATTCGCGCGCAAATAGCGTCGTGAAATAGTTGATGAATTAATAAACGACGACACACACACACACACACCGACGCCGCTTTTACAGCGTCGAAAGACGGCGAGTCGAATTTTCAAAAGACGTCACGTTGAAGGATTTCCCGGAAGCTCTGAAGTGATTGAACTTTGCACGTGAGTCGATTGATTGATCATTCAACGGCCCTCGAGATATCGTGGCGATATAAACAAGACAAGTGTGTCATCACATAAGCACGCGCACGATGAATCAGTCGAATGTGATCAGTCCGCGTCGAGATATCCTCCGGTCATACGGGCGGCGGTAATGATCCTTGCGAAATCTCGCGACGAACAACGAGAGCAGGCTTGCTGCGGGCTGAATTACAACGTGCGTTTGCATTACGGCTCGTTAAAATTGAAAGATGGCCAGGAGTCATAGAGTCACCTCGCGGCGCATATGCCCGTATAATTAATTCCTAATTGCTGACCTGAGGTTCCAGAACACCCCGTGACTCGTGTAAATGCGATCATACCGGTTGTAACAAAGTCACACAGCCGGCTACACGCACTCATATACGATGAATATGATCTTCGTTAAAAATGAGACATCGCAAAACTCGACTCCGCGTCCGAGGAATCCGCGGAAGAACAAAGCTACGAATCTTAATTCGGTTTAGCAAGGAATGAAATAAAGAGGCTAGGATTTAAATATGGTTTTAAAGGCTCGGAAAAAGTCGGTTTTTTTCATTTTAATAGAATCAATACACATCATAATTGATGGGATTGCAATTAATGTTTTAATTAATAGAAATTAATACAAATTTTCATTTCCAATAAATTCCTCCTTTGAGATAATCCTTTGAATTCCTCCTTTGACGTGATAATGAACTATAAATTCTAAAATTTACGATGAGCATATTTTAATACTGTCGTACTAAGAAAAAATATTCTTTGTTGGATACAACTATTATTTAAAAGAAAGAAAATTATCTGAATAGTCGTTTTTCTTAGCAATAGAATGATATTTTTTTCTGTACAATGTTTAGTGGTTGACTGATAATTAAATTTCGAGACGTTTAATGATCATCGAAATACAAATTAACGTAAATATTTGAGCCGGTCGATAATTATAAATAATAGAATTATTATGAGTGACAATAAAAATTTATTGGGAAATAGTAAAAGTGATCTCGTTTTAAAACGTACTTACATCTTATTTCCTGTTTCTTTCATAACGTTCTTAATTGTAGCTTATTTCTAATATCTTACATCTAATTCCCTGCATTTAATTCCTTATTCCTTTCATTGTGTATGAATCAAATCACGCTTATACATTTACAATAGACAGAATTTGCCAAAGGCGAGTAATATCGTGGGAAACGAAAGCGCGCATTAATTAACCGCTCGCGCTCCCGATAGATGCGGTTGGTATGAGATAAAACACGATCGTGCACCGCGAATGCGCGGTTGTGAGTTACCGCTACCTGTGTATAAGGATGTCGTGATATCATGAAAGTATCAATACTAATATTGAGATGGATATCAAATCAAGAGTATCGATATCATTAGTGATATCAGCATCAGGACAAAAGTATTGATACCGACGGATATCAGATCAAGAATATCAATATCATTAGTGATATCAGTATCAGTATCAGGACAGAAGTATTGATACCGATACTGATATCGAAATTGAAAAAAAAAATTAATATTGGAGGAAATATAAAAATCAAGGAAATATTTGTCTCACAAGCTACTTTAAGAGTTTTGTACGTCTAATAATAATTTTACTGTAGTGTAAAAGTACTTCTACCTTCTGCACTAGACTTTCCATGGTTTGTGACTTGAAAACCTTAAAAAGGATGTATTAAGGTTCCTGTGTCCTCGCTATGACTGTTTGGCGACGTTAGAAGCGAGAGATCGCAAGCCAGAAGTTATTGCGTGGAAACAAATATACGCAGAAAATAGCGACTCATGATCGACTCGGTACATCTGCAAAAGTGTCCGGGCGCTATCTTTTCATTTCAACAATTAACATATAACCGTAAAATTAAGGTAACAGAAATTATGAGAAAAGATAGTTTTAAAATGTAAGTTGCACGTTACACTAATCTTCATGAAGCAAAAATGCATGTCTTGACGATCGACTGAGCGAAAGATTAAAACAAGAGGTATCGTAAAAATATCGATACCAAGTAATACCGATACGGGTACGAATATCTAAAGAGAATATCGATGCGAAAGTAGCTGAAAGAGAAATATCGATACCAACATTATATCAGCAGCATCACAACATCCTTATCTGTGTAACTACGCCGTCAATGTTTCATCATTATTCCGCTAATTGCGAGCGATGTACGAGTGCGCTGTGACACGAGTAATTCACCCACGCGAGCGAGTACGTAGTAGGGGACCACCGTCGAGAGACACGTACGGGTTCGTCATATATGCATCAGTTTTCACGCGTGCACACGTGAGGAAACGGCCGTCGTCGTCGGTCGAGCTCGACACAGTCCGAGACGGTCAATTTCGGCGAAATCCGCGATTAATTGTGCGCGACACACGCGGAGTGAAACCGTGAAAGTGAACATCGATTACGGCATCGATTACGAGGCGCGCGTAAAAAGCGCGCGGACAAGGCCATGGGAGCGCGAGGTGATCGACAGCGACATGAATGATGCTGAAATTCGTCCGCGGAAGCACGCTCTGCGAAAACGCCTGTCGACGACCAGTCCGGCTGTTTGTCGATCGTCATAAAACAAATATGCGCATATATTTCTGTCATAGATTAATTTAATCGTCGGTACAAAGTTAAGTGTCTCCGATAACGGTGACGAAGCGAGAGGTCTTTCATTTTCGCGATATCTTCGCGATGTCTCTTCGAACACACGTTTTTATTAAAAGATTGATAGATAGATAGAGAGAGAGAGAGAGAGAGAGAAGCATTTAACGTTGACATCTGACCCTAGGATTATTTATTTATTTATTCATTAACGGGACAAACTCTTTAGTGTACAAGAAATTATAACGATCGCAGGTGACAGACAAAAACCGTAGTACGTTTAATATCAGAATTTTGAAGGAGAAAAGAAAAGAAGAAAGAAAAACATCGTATTTTTATTATTTCTCCACGGCGGACGATCTTCTTTTATCTGCTGACAAAATTCTTGTCGCATGAGGATGCATCTTAATATACTTATGCTAGTCATGATGCGGACAATACATGGAAATTTGACAATATATGTTTATTCAAGTTTACGCCGACCAAACGTTTGATTACCATAACTAAATAATTTGTAAGTATTTCGTGCACTGTGTATACACCGCACGGAATTATGCAGTATATACAATATACGAAGCTGAATGATTTGGTTGCAATGATCAAATGTTCGACCGACATGTGTCAAGCAAATTTTGCCACTTGTTACCAAATCCTCCTTTCAGTGTGGATCCGTGCGTCGGAGACAATTAAGGTTTCGGTTCGAAGCTTCGCCAGAGCGAGCGCGCGCGCCTCTTCGTGGGCAATTTCAAGCGCATGCGATCGTAGGTTCTCCCGCTCGAGACGTCGGGAAACGCGAATTTCCCATATCTCTCGCACACTGTCCCATCCGCGTCGCACGGTGAAACGAAGCGCTTCCGCTTCCGCGATGGACGAAAACGTCTCGCTGCCACGTGCGAGCCGCGCGAGAGATGCATCCAGCGCGCGTTGCGTCTGCAATTTCCGCAGGGTCGTCGCCGCTGCTCTTTCTCGCTGTCTCGTCCGCATCGAGCCGAGCTAGCGTTCTAGAAACCTACACCTACATGGCACCGAGAGTGCCGATCTCGAAAGCTGGTCGGAGCGGATTGGCACGCGTCCCGACCCAGTTCCCAGCTGTTCGTAATCAAACGCATCGAGCGAAAATGCGTCGTCGCGCGGACGACACGCGCACCGCGTTGTGTGACCGCATCGAGCCGCGCCGAGGTTGAAGTACCGATCTGAGGAATCTCTCGGATATTTTTGCCGACGTTTCTTGACCTCGCGAGAAACGCGAAAATCCGCCTCTCGCGTCTCGTCTCGCGGAGAAATGGAATGCGGTCGTCGGCCTCTTTTCGACCATTATTTGTCTGATATTTTGTCCCCGATTCGTATCCCCGACACGTTATTTCTCGCCGATTCCTCGGCTTTCTTTGCATTATTCATTACACATTCAGACTTCTGATCGATTCTTTCGCTACTGTCTTGAAATTTCGCTAATAATCAACGAACGACGCGGCGACACTCACTTGCAATTAATAAGTCGGCAGCGTTTTTCTTTTCTATCGTACGGTTTGACATTTTCTTATTCAAGCTTCCACGACAAAAGTATTTTATTATGCTGCGAGGACGTTAATTAATTGTGATAATCGCGGGCGGCGAGCCTCGTTTCGCGGAGAATCGAAAAGCGAACGTCGGTCTCTCTCCGACCGGTCGTTATTCGTCAGTAATCTTTTCTTCTCATTTAATTATCTCCCGACGAACTACTTCTACCGTCGATTTTTCGCTCGCTTCATACTCATTTATTACACATTCAGTTACTTTCTAATAGATTTTCTAACAGGCTGTCTTTGTAGATTTTGTTAATAATCAATGAACGATACGGCAACGCTCGCTTGTAATTAATGAGCCGTCGGCGACCCGAGGCATTTCTCTTTATCGTGCGGTTCGAAGTCTTCTCATTTAAGCTTCCACGATGCAAGTATTTTATTATACTACAGGGACGTCCATTAATTACGATAATTACGGGTAGCGAGCCTCGTTTCGCGGGAAATTGAAAAGCAAGCGTCAATCTCCCTCCGATCGGCCGTTATTCGTCTGATTATCCTCCCAATTCATATTTCTGCCGACGAATCGCTCCTCGTCGATTCTTCGGTCGTTTGTTTCATATATCCATTATATATTCAGACTCCCGATAGATCCTCTTCGTATTATCTCTGAGAAAATGGAGACACGGAGGAAAAAGTTTCTTTGGATTTAGTATAAGTGTTTGTCTGACATTTGCTTAATACAAACAACACAATTTAATATCATTTTGTCCGAATGAAAATTCTGTTACTTGATAAGAAAAAAGCAATATTATTCGGAGCGAATAACATTTGGTTCTAATGAAGAGAATTTACTCCGCTATATGTTAAATATCGTTCCATCGAAATAAATTCTCTAACATTTTTCTAACACAGTGTTACTTCTTACAAATAATGTATTTTTTGTGACAACCGTTGTAACGTTTGGATGACAATACAAAAACCAAAAATACGTTACTCGACATGAAGATATTTATTGTTCGAGAAACCAAACAATCCTGCTTGTTGAATCAAACATCCGTTCGTTTGCTCCGTTCCAAGAGACACGTTTCTTTCTTAATTAAAGAAGTTTGATTAGATCCGGATTAAGCTTTTTTCTCTCGGTGTGGATCGTGTTAATAATCAGTGAACGACGTCGTTCGCCGGCGATAAACTAGCCGTCGTGCCCGAGGCACTTCTTCTTACCGTCCCGCCCGAAGTCGTTTCATCAAAGCTCCACGACAGTAGTGTCTTATTATACCGCGAGGACGTCTATTAATTGCGATAATCGCGTCGGGTAGCGAGCGGCCGTGCATCTTGACACGGATCGTGATCTCAGACGCGGTTTAATCTCTCGCACGCGATCGCAGTTATCATAAATTTTCGCGGGCTGGCGCGGGGGGAGGCGGTCACGCATGACATCGTTCGACATCCACGATGAGGAATGAGGAAAACGCGAGTGCGCGTCGATTGATCATCGACGGACACATCGAAGTCCGATCGCAATTAATTGCCCCGCCTCCCCGCGGAAAACCCGCGATTTACGGGCGAGTCTCTCTCGCGAGAGACTCGGTAATTAACATTCTCACGATCCCTATTCTGCGATACGAAAGAAACAAAATAAATGCCTTCCCCATTGTCGTCACGCGAATCAAGTATCGCCGGTCGCGAATGATGTGCGCAATAGCTATTATATTATGTCGTTGAACTCGCACGATCGGTTTCGACATCGCCGGGGGACCGGAGAGAGATCTCTAGCTGTGCGCTTTCGCGATCGAGCGACGTCGACGACGGAGGTGGAAGAGGGACGAATAACGCAAGTTCATTCATCATCCCGAAATTTATCGGCACGGTTATCGCGCGTGCGGTGACGCGCGGCCTCGATCGGATGTACATTCTTGCCTCAGAGGGGCTCCGAATTTCCGAGCGTTCTCTCCTCGCCCACCGACGGGACACCGAGACGTTGCCTAACCCGCGATTCGTCCGCAATTACAATCTCCGTTCTCCGGGATTGCGTAATCGGTGCTTGACTGCGATCCGCTCGCGATCGTACATCGCGAGCCACTTCGCAGCTCTATGTAGCACAAGGTATTCCCGCGGCGATTTGCCATCTCGAACGTCGACACGATCGATGCCTCGACGTTCGAAAGAGAGATCGCCCGCTCCGGACGGAATTCAAACAATGGCGCGCTTGAGAGAAAGAGAGGCCGGCTGAGATTCGCGCCGCTCCTCCGCGCGTTTCCCCTCCCGGCGCTCAAATTGAGCTCATTGCGAGCGTTTCCGCGGGAAACCGAGAGCAAGGCGTGAATTCAAGGACAACCCCAAGCTCTGGTATCACGAATTTCGCGGGAACGAATTACGACGGCCTCGTGCCGAGTTTCTCGATCGTAACCGTCGCGGCCGAAACTTCGCGTGGCAGCGCGGCTAATGATTACGGTGACATCGCGCGAGTTGTCCTGAAATTGCGACTTACTAATCTTTACGTGTCAACTGAATGAATAATCCAAGAAATTATCATTATTATCGCCGTTGAGTGCGATCGTGCCGAGCACGCCGAGAAATGCAACGTCGAGCGGTCGGAAGGATCGATATGGTACAGCGAAATTTTTCAGATTCCAAGATGTTACCCTTGATACTGGCGGCGTGCCTCCTGGCCGTAACGCAGGCCGGGTGTCCCATGAGGCCGACGGTGGAGCAAACCTCCGCCCCGAGGACACCGGGCGACGGCGGCTACAGGATCCTCATGAGCGGACAGGCGAACGGATACATTCCCAACGCGGTCTACACGATTAGCCTGCAAGGTTGGCCGTTTTGTTTCCGATACTACCGATAGGCCGATACGATAGGTTGAATTCCGAGTGAACGGTGCTCGCGGGTGAGAATTGGTCCCGCGGGACGAGACGACGGCATTTCACCAGGTGGAATTTCAGGCTCGCGAACGCACGAGAGGCTGCAACAGTTCACGCGGTTCACGCTGACGGTGCATTCCCAGCACGCGCCGAACAATCCCGCGGCGCGTATCGGTTACTTCCAGTTGTTCCCGGACTCCTTGACCGGCTTCAACGAGGACTGCATCAACACCATCTCCGAGGCCACCGATTTCCCGAAGTCGGAGGTGCGAGTTCAGGCGAACCGTCCGCCCGATCGGGCGGATATCGCGGAAACTTTTTCCAACATTTCCCCATCGTTCGCTTCGTACCTGCCCAAAATCGCTCATGACGAAGGTCGATTAACAGTAGACTCGCTTCGGAATTGCTTCGGCAGGTCCAGGTGATGTGGCGGGCGCCGCCCACCGGTGCCGGATGCGTTATCTTCACCGCGATGATTCTGGAGAACAACGTGCGATGGTACGCGGAGGACGGCGCGCTCTCCAAGACCGTCTGCGAGTCCACGAACCCCGACGCCGAGAGTCTGAACGAGAGGGGGTGCTGCGCTTGCGACGAGGCGAAATACTCGGTGAGCCCGGGAAAACCCTTGTCATCTTGTTATCGCGTGTGGAGATTGCCAAGGTCCAAGTAGGAAGTAACTGCTGGCGAGGTACCGGTTCGATATCGACTTTTAGTGGATAATACTAAGTGTACCAATTGAACACCGGTGGAGTACCGGGGTGATGATAGCAAGGCTCGAGGAAGACGGTATTGTTACTTCTAAGGTTGAACGTCCTGGCCATTCTCCGTCTAAGGAATGGTACAACATACGTGACACCGGCTGCACATGCAGATGTCCATTTTTAACATCGTGTGAGGTGAAAAACGTCGGAGCGAGGCAGACTCGGCGGGTCTTCCGTTTGGCAAGCAACCATTCTTACCACTGAGCCGCTCAGGCTCCACGTTAGTGACTTCTCTCGCTCTCTCATTTAAGGCATTGATATCGTAACCGTGAAATCCGAAATCCTTCAGTACTGAATCGGTACCTCGCCAATTCCTATATGGGATTCCTATATGGGAGTGTTAATAATCCAATAAAATATAGGGAATCTCCATGAAAGGTCTACTATCGAGCAGCCTTGACTCAACATTAATCATTCGCGTTCCCTCCGTAAGGCTCCCGTAACTCTTTACGAGAGTGTCGCTCCTTATTTTCGCGTTAAATCGCAAGCCGCAGAGCACGGCGTAAGACGCTTTACGACAGTACACTTTGCGAGAGGCAGGAGAACGAAAGGTTTAACGAGCATAGCAGCCACTCGAAGCGTCTCTCGCCTCGCGCAACTTTTTCAGCTAACTATGGAGGGCATCTGGTCGAATAGAACTCATCCGAAAGACTTCCCCTTTTCCGCTTGGCTGACCCACTTCAGCGACGTTATCGGCGCCTCTCACGAGCCGAATTTCTCCTTCTGGGGCAGAGATCACGTTGCCACAGATGGTTTCCGACAACTGGCTGAGTGGGGTTCCGCGACGGGCGTCGAAGCGGAGCTCAGAGCGAAAGCCAGCCAACTGAAAACCCTTATCAAAGCTACCGGTCTCTGGTATCCCAATGTCAACACCAACACGACGACGAATTTTAGGTGAACGTTCTCTCCCGCTGTGACGCGAATCGTTCGAAACGTCGTTTTCGTAAACGACGTTTTTTTTTCACATTAACTTTATATTCACATTATTTTATTTATATTCAACAAATTTGGTGAAATAAGCCTGTAGAAGCCAACACCGGCTGTATTTTGGCGAGTACATAAATGGTAATTATTTATTCGTAGGACTAAAACACATAAATATACTCTGTCAAACGTTTCAGTCATGTTTATAATTTTTTTTAGCGAGAATGACGCGAGAATAACAATTCGGAATTACGTTAATGATTCTAAACGTCAAATCTATAAAATAGCAGTCTAGCATTGAGTCTTACTCGGCCAGAAATGAAAATCAATTCGATGTCAAGTCGGCATCGATTCGATTTTCATTTCTGGTTGCGTATAGGCTTATTTCACCAAATTTGTTGATTATATGTGATTAAAGCCTTATAATTGATCTTTGTTCGATTTATTTTATATTAATTTTTACATTAATATTATTCTGATTCTGCCTTTAATACGCCGTCATATCTGAATGACAATAATGCAAGTCATTTTTTTGACCGAAGAAACACCTAAGGAATTTCTTCGACGTGCGAATCAAGCATCTTATAATTATCGATAGACAATTTTCCGTCTTCGCGGCTCCAGGGTAGACCGCGGACATCCTCTGCTCTCGTTGTCGTCCATGCTGGGTCCGTCTCCTGACTGGGTGGTGGGTGTGAGCAAATTGAATCTCTGTCAGAGCGACTGCACCTGGGCGAGGAGTATGATAATCGACCTGTATCCTTGGGACGCCGGCACCGACAACGGCATCACTTACATGTCGCCGAATTCCGAGACGAGGCCGCGCGAGAAGATGAAGCCGATCACGACTTCCTACCCGGAGGACCCGCGTTCCCCGTTTTACGACCCGAGCGGCAGGCCCATGCTGCCGTTGGCAAGGCTGTACATCAACCGGGAGAAGATCATACCGCGCGGATGCAGCGAGGAGCTTCTGCAGCAGCAAGTAACCGAGCTGGAAGTGGCCGAAAACACGGAGGACACGTCGAGACGTATGCAGGCGTTAAGCCGTCAGAATTTTCCTAACAATCGCGACCCCTTCATCTGTCCGTTCACTTAACCGAATGCTCGGAGTTATTTGTACTTTCGAGAGCTACGATTGCGGGAGTTGAAGCCAAATTTTGATTAAAAAGTTGATTTTTTAATTATAGTTTTCGTTGTAATTACAGGAGTATAATCGCGTTGACAGCGTGTAAAAATAACACGCACCGTGAACCAATTTCAATAAGAATTCTTCCGAAATTACGGAGAGTCTTGCAAATCTAATTGACGATCCTGAAATTGAGCGCAACGATCGTCAGTCGCCTGGCTCAAAGGACGAGCGGGGGAGGTAAGGAGGAAGTAGATGTAAAGTCCTCGGAAGATTACCTCGAGAGTGCAAATAATCCCGTGATTTAACTCACCCGTAGAACCGTAGTCGCTTACGAGATTCGGGCCACGAGATCTTCGATTTCTGTAGCATTCGCAGAGAGAAAGACGCCGTATTCACTTGCTCGAGTTAGTTACAGCCGTAGGGAATAATTTCGCTTTGTCTTGTTACAAATTAAGCGGAATGCCAGACGACGGAGTACACGGAGTGGTCGTCCTGCTCGGTGAGCTGCGGTAAGGGTTTAAGGATGCGCACGAGGTCATACAGAATGCCCGATAAAGCCATCATGTTCCATTGCAACAGGCAGCTGGTCTCGAAGGAGATGTGCGTCGCGTCTATAGCGGAATGCTCGTGAGTGCCCTGTATGAATAATTCGCGAGCTGGCGCGCACACGCGCGCCACCAATTGTGTCTGTGTGAAGAGATTACAGTCACGGAGTCTGCGCGCAGTCCAAGTTCAAATCTGCCGGAGGGGGGGCGGGGACATTTCATTTTGCAAACGTCGATCTCGCTCTCTCGCGAGACAAATTTAATCACACCCTTGTGATCGGAACTTCGCTTGTTGCATCAGGGGTGAGGAGGAAAGCGAGGACGTAACGTCGTTAGGGAACAATGACCCTCTCTGCGAGACCACCGATTGGAGCGAGTGGTCGGAGTGTTCCAACACGTGCGGCGTCGGTCTGAAGATGCGAACGAGGAGATTCCGTGATCGTCGAGGCCGCAAACGTTGTCCGCTCGTGTCGCTCGTCGAGAAGGAGAAATGCATGGAGCCACCTTGCCAGCCGGGAACGGAAGAGCAGATTGATCCGCTTTGCAAGGTGCGCGTTCGCTCTTCCCTTTTCTTCCTCTCTCTCTCTCCCTCTTTCTCTCTCTCTCTCTCTCTCTCTCTCTCTCTCTCTCCCTTTCTCGCTCGCTCTCCGTCTCAACGTGAGACGAATTGGCGCTAAAACACAATAATCAATAATAAACGGTCGACGGCGATTTAAGGTGACGGACTGGTCCGATTGGTCACCATGCAGTGCTACATGTGGCAAAGGTGTGAAATTACGGACCAGGTTGCTGATGGTTGAGCCGTCACAGCAGGAGGAATGTTCCGCGCGCGTGGAGCTACTTCAGCAACGACCGTGTCTGGTCCAGTCGGATTGCACATTCGACATGGCCACGGCGAAAGGTAAGAGACGAGCGAGCAGTATAATTATATTAAAATATTATTCGTTTTAATAAAAGAGAAATTAAAGGAGTAATCTGTTAGCAATAAGAGGAGAGAGAAAAAGGCAAAAAGGATTGCCTTGATAATATTAAAATTAAATTAAATTGTATAAAATTGGAATTAAATTTTTAAATCAATTATTAGGTAGTTTTTTAAATTACAATTACATTTTTTAATTAATTAGTGATTAATTTTTTTTTGTTAAAATTAAATTTTTCCCAGTAGAAACTGTGAAGTGGGTATGTCTAATTGCGGGGTAATAAATTTGTGTCTAATTTTGTGTCTAATATCGCTACTAGCCAGTAATGTAACGCTCACTTTCTCTAGTAGGTAGAAAAATACGTTGTTTGATGGTTAAATAGAAGAAATTACAGTTACGAGATGAAAAATCGTAATTAGTTGCCGGGCAGTTATATAACACTCACTTCTGCTTTTTAAAATTTTCTGGAATAACGCGCCCTCTATTTTCATTTGCTACTTCATTTTTAAATGCCAGTGGCAAGTATACAGCAGCTAGATTATATACGTATTTTAGATTTTTATAGACAATTTTATGGACAACATCATTTACTCTATCATATTTAACATGTGGAGGAGAGTTGCCTAATTTACACCAATTATCTAAATGCATCCCTCGTCATTTTTTCTATAATTACTAAATATAATCGTGATCCAGCGGTATATATAATAAATGAACAATAAGAAACGTAACCAAAACTTAAACGAATTGCATTGTGTTTTCTGCGTGAAGTATAAAGCACTTAAAAAATACCTCAAATAATACGATTTTGGCAACTCGCCTCTAATGGCTAGATCGCAAAACCGACTCTACATTTCGGTGAATAATCCAGTAACAAACAGCCGATAACAAATTAACAATGAGATAGAAAATTTGATCCAGCCTACTACTAGCTAGCTACTACCAGCTCTTGGCTCCGGTCGACTAGATACGTTTCTACTCGGCTTGTGATCCCATGCAAATCAGCAAGGTTGGAAGGCGACTTGAACGTTTCAGACTTCGAAGTGGACGTCTGATTGCTTTTGCAGTTGTCTGCATGGAGGAGGCGGACATCGGGCCGTGCAGAGGTTACTTCCAGAGGTGGGCTTTCAATCCGCAGAAATTGATGTGCCTGCCGTTCGCGTACGGCGGATGCCGCGGCAATCGGAATAATTTCCTCACGTCGGACGAGTGCAACAACACCTGTGGCATAGTAAGCGCGAATCGCCAGTCGGGATCACCGGAACGCGAGAAGCGCGGTGTCATCCGAGCTGTTGTTTCCAGGTGCGAGCCGCTCTCACCGGCCAGCCTTTCAACGAGACCGTGATCCAAAGTCAGCTACCTACCGAACCGTTTAATCCTCCTCCGGTGGACTGCGTGATGACTCGTTGGTCAAGCTGGACACCCTGCACTGTCACTTGCGGCGTCGGTAGTGTACTGAGCTACCGTACTGTCAAGGTAAGCTGATTAGCTGCGGCCAATTAGCCGTAGTTACGTGAGAATAATCCAATCCACGCGGAGCACGTTTGGAAAAGAAAAGAAGATGGAAATTTAATGCACGATTTAAAAAGTATAGACAGCACTGAGGTTCTTCGTAATCGTTCAAGAAGTCGAGCATGGTCGGTTTTCTTCATTTTGAGGGTATTCATTGGCAAGCTTAACCTTTGAAATATGAATGAAAAGGACGCAGTTAGCCAAAAATTACGCGACTAGTAGGAGATAAAAACGGTTTTTTTTTAATTAATTTCAGCGAATAAGACTCGAATTTTTCTTGCTTTATGTAAAAAGACGTAAGGTCTAATCGTAATTTCGTGGGTTGGATCATTCCTACATAACAATGGCCAATTATGCTCTCGTTATTTTAAATTGACGTGCGAGACGTGCTTTCGCTGAAATTGCACGAACGAAGCACGCTGACTTGTGGAACATTTTGCTCTATCTACATCGTGTCACTTTTCTTTCTTTGTTCAGCAACAACCCGAGAACGGAGGTCGTCCTTGCCCGAAGAGGTTTACTCGTCGTTACCGGTGCGAGCTCGCTCCGTGCGATAGTTAAAAGGCAACGATATCACAAGCCCGTAATGAGTGCGAGTTACAGTTAGGATATACGTAGAATACACACAGAGAGCGAACGTCGCTTTCTGATGATGCGTTCGCATATCGATAAAAATGAATCTCTACAAAAATAAGTTCTCCTGGGACGCGCATGACTTAAGTCGCACACGCGAGTGCGCAAAGTGGATCATCGCCACCTTCTGCTTGCAAATTGAGCATTTACGGCTCACCTTAATCACCTTCGCCTTGTAATTTTCCATGAGATCGTTTCTTTGCGGCGACGAAAGTCACAACAGAGGAACGAAGCAGTTTTAATCAGTGAAATCGATCGAAGAAATGCTTAACTGTCAAGTATCGAAACAGGGAGGCGCTACAATTCAATAAACATGAGACGATTTATGCCACAAAATTGATCCACGTCGAACGTTACGGGATAAATATTAATCGATGCTTTTATTGACTATCGGTGTACATTACTGCCGGTCGTTCACTGCCGATATTGCTTGTCTCTTATTTTCTCTTTTCCCCCTTTTTTTTTATTCAATCAATTTGAGCGACGAACGTCACACGTCGCGTCCTATCCTCGGTAGAAAATAAGCTGGGTACGGAATTAAGCGGATGTATCAGAATAAATGATATTTTATTAATGGTCATTTCGTGTCGATTTCGTGTCTGCTAATTCCCATCGAATTTCAGTCGATACTACATTGCGGAGTGTCGATGTAATCGCTTTATATTGATCGGATCAAGTATTTGTCCGTCGCTCGACGAATCCGTTTAAGCTCCGCCGTTCAATCGCGAACAAATTAGCGTGACGAGCCGGCGATATATCGTAATATATCGAGTTCACGGCGTTGCGCATCCAGTAGAAAAGAGCGTCCCGCTCGCTCGCGTTTGACTCGACTCGCCGGCGTTATCTCTCAATTAAAACATGTGTGTGTGTGTGTGTGTATGTGCTCGTGGAAAAAAACGATTGGAGATTCAATTTCGATCTGTGGATGTCCGATCGCTTCTCGCCGTCCGGCTGTTCGCGCCATCAGTTCCGCCGCCGCCACGTCGCGTTTTGAGACGCGTGGGTTATACATCGCACTCTCGAACAATACACGCACACACACACACACACGCACACATACACACGCACGAACGTCGTCGCAAACGATTAATGCGTCAGGTATCGCGCGTTATCTTTACCTTCCGGCTTGTGATTCATACGCTCGTAATTCTCAGCGCGGACCTGGAATCGCGACCGGCCGCCTTTGAAAAACATTCGGAATTTCGGAGCTCGGAAAAGACCGTCCTGCCGTGAGTTTCGCTCGCGATTTTCTCCCCCGGTTATTTATCGTTCATGCGTTCCCGCGTTTTCGCAAGTTTCCACGCTTTCCTTCGCCTCTCCCTTCTTCTTTTCTTTCTTTCTTGTTCTCGACACGGTGTGTGTTCGCGCGATATATGGGGAATGACTCCGTCGTCCTTACGTCTGTAATCGTGAAAAAATTCGATCGGACTCGCAGAGACTCCGTCGTTATTCAAATAATGTATCGGAGACTTTTTTTCTTTTTCTATCTCGCGCGAGCTTAAACGTCTATTTAAAGTCAGTTGGTTCCGCTTTTATTACTTCCTTCCGTTTTTTCTCGTTCTCTTGTTTCTTTCCATACATTTTTTATTCTCTCCCGCGCTTCCGGTAGGTGGGTTTTTCCTCGCGTCCTTTTATCCTCCCCCGTCACAACGAACACTCGCTACGACTCATCGCCAACTGGCGATATCTAGCTTCACAGTTACATTAATAATCTCATATAAATAATACACGTAGGCGGTATAACGACTAGAATCGCTGTACACCTACTAAGAGCACCAAACTGGCATATTGGTATCCTGGATACTTGACTAGACGTAACTCCTGAAAGATCGTGGTACGTTTGCGGATCTACCGTTAAACATAGTTCCTTTCGCGTGACTCGACATTTCGACGGTACCGCACGGAAAGAAAATACCGTTGAATCGATGGGATTTCCCAACAGCGCCCGTAACTGGAGCAAATCTTCTCGATTGAGTAGCGACATCGTTGAAACGAATACCTTAATTATTGAAACAACGCATAACACAGTACACTGCTAATCCTTTCACCGAGAAGCTTTTATACTTTTCTCACGCACCTCTCGTCGTTTGAAATCGCGTCACTTCACGCGACCGGACGTGTTAATTTCACACGGTCCAGATTTGTCGTATTTTAATTTAACACGATTAAACGTTTTAAATAACGCAAGCTAAATCGTGAGCGAGAAAACATATAAAACTAACTTCAGCCAAATGTGTCATTTTGAGACGTTGATGCGCGTAAAAATAACACGCTTGGATTCACGATGTAGCTTCGACAACGTTCGTCATCGAATGAAGAAGATTCTCACTCCGATCACGCTGCTTTGAAATTTCATCGATTCAACGACAATTGTTCTCCCTCGTGTGTCACCAATTCGTCGATTACAAAGTCCATTTGTGCTACCGTCACGCGTGTGCTGCGCTGCTCTTCGCTTAAAGTAACGTCACTTTGAGTAACTGTGTTCATGACGCACGACGGTGTTCGGCTCGCTTGGTAGGCGTACAGTATACTTCAATAATGACTATATCTCCTTTTTCTTACGGCGCTGTCGAGACCACGGGGGAAGATCGATGAATACAGAGAGACAGAAAGGCNGCTCCGCCCGTGGTGCTGACCGCGCGCGCGCGATTCCCTTTTAACATTAACGATATAATAATCATCATCATTATAATTATAATTATTATTAACGTACATACACGTAATATCTATAGGAAATAGTACGGTTACTCTCGTCGCACTTCTTTTAGGCCACTACTCGACTATGCTACGGCGTGTTCTTTGGTCGTGCCACTTTGTTCCTGCTTGCGTCCCCTGCGTCTCTCTCGCGAAGGATCCCGGCGGGGCGCTCGGCTCGATCGGATCGGTCCGACGTCCCCCGGCGGTTCGACGACGTAAACGAAAGATCTCTCGTAGCCACTCTCGATAATCTTTAGCGTGCGGGCAGATTGCAGAAGGTGCTCGTCGGATCGCTGAAAGGCGATTCGCGTAAACGCGGAATCGCGAACGTTCTCGTCGTAGGGATCGTTAAGACGACGCTCTTGGCTCCCGGGAGGAGAGACAGAGCTTCCAGGAGGTCCGACCGTTCCCTTCGTGCAATCTGCGGCGCGATCACCTCGCGGAAGGAAACATACACCTAATTACATTCTCGGCCTTAACATTCGTGGCCGTTGTCGCTAGGCTAGATCGTAGAATAAAAAATAATGAAAATCGTCCGCCGTACGACAAATAATCGCGTCGACTGGAAAGTTTCGTGACTAGGAGTGAGCCTGCGTGAGAGATGACTGCGGAAGAAACGAAGCGTCGAGAAGAGAAACAACGGAAACGATCGCTCGGGTCAAGAAGCGAAAGAGCCATCGTTCCTTCAGTAGACCAGCTCTCTGAAGGCGTCTCGACAGATTCTTCGACCTCCCATTCGCGACTTCTGCCCCGACGCGGGTCCCTCCCGTCTCGTTCCGCGACGGTTAACTTAATCAACGTGCGATGATTTCGTCGTTTTTCCTGCACCGTTCCCTCTTTTCTCTTTCTTTCATTGAGATCTCCTGACTAATGTTGACTAGGCTATTTGCCGCCGACCCACGTGCCACTTCCGTTCTGGCAGTAGTAGTAATAGTAGTAATTTCTCAGTACTATCTACCGTCGATCGTCGCTCAAAGATACTCATGCGAGAAGGACTCGATCGATGCGATCTCCAAGTGCGATGGAAACGGAAGAATTCGTGAATCAATCGGTACGGTCGGACCCGAGTCGAAATTTTCGATTCTACATCGAGTCCTCGAGCAGAGAAGACGGGAAGAATAACTTCCCACTTACGGCGTCCAAGAGAGCACGATAGAAGCCCTTTGAGGGCTTAATATAGAACTGAATAGATTCAACGTAGAACGGATATCTCGACTCGAGTTCCACGCGAGTCTTATCGCGAGCGATGAGACGCCGTACGTGATTAATGCGTTTATCTAAATTAAATATCCGAAAGTAAGAACCAACCGGAGTGATCACCGAACACGAGACACTCTCTTTCTCGGGCACGTGTAAAACCGCACAGACTAGGAGACAAATTAATTCGTACGTGGGGAACATTAAACGAAGTGCGAGAAATATAAAACGCATGCTGACAAGTCGTAATACCGAGCTGTGTGCGCGCGCGCGTTATCGTCGAATACACGGATCGAATACGACGAAGACGAGGCCGTGCTTGTACCTGGGGATACTCATTCACGAAGGAAGAGGGACGTCTCGGTGGGTCGTCGACGCGGGAAAGAGGAGATAGATAGATAGATAGATAGAGAGAGAGAGAGAGAGAGAGAGAAAGAGAGAGAGGGGGAGGAGGGGTTCTTCGAGATTCCCGATCGACGTCACTCTTACGTTTAGTCGGCATGGCGCGAGAAAGGCATCATTGTGCGTCTGCCGACGCCGGGACGGTCGTGCCTCGGTTGCTACGATCGTCACGTCGGCGTCGTCCTAGCCTCACGGCCGTTGAAAACGAAGCTCGGTGAGTTCCGACTGGTTCTTCCTGTGTCAACTGGTCTGTTGCCGCCCGCCGGCGACACGCCGGTTTCCTCAGAGCCACCCGGCCGACACGTCGTGGCCGGAAATCGGCTCGATGCCAGGAAGACGTTGCAGCTGCGTCGCCGATCCGTTTCGCTTCACGGTGATCGACGTCGAGCCGCTCGCCACCACGCTCTCCTCGGTGGTCGATGGTGTCAGTGGTGCCATACTGACAACACCTGGAAATCGACCACGAGGCGCGTCATGAGCCTCTCTCCTCTCCCCTCTCTCCTTGCTTTCCCCTCGTATCGCGAATATCGAACTTGAGAAAAACTCCGAAGGCTAAGTAAGCGTAAATCATCTTCACTCCGAGTGTCCGTGCGCACGTCTCCGTTCTCGAAATTTCTCGGAGTGAAACCTCACCTGCGAGCGTGGAGCGGAGTGACGTTTCACTTTTCACGAGTGAGCGTTTAACTCGTTTAAAACGGAGGTTTCGCTCAAAGAAGAGCGAACGTATCCGATTGCGGAATGATTACAGTAAGGCTCGATTATCGCGTCGCTTCTTTCCTCGACATGTAAAATTTCAGGTCAGGCTAAATTCGGCACGGAATGAAAATATTCACTTCACGACACGGGGTGAAAGTCATTCTACTAACTCGCGTGATTCAGTGATCGCGCCATTTTTATAGCGAAACTCCGCTCCGCGTCACGGAGTGAAAGAATTCACCCCCTTAAGAGTGAAGATCACTCCAATTCGAGTTACTCGGCTCCAGGGCCTCATGAAGATCCCGCTCCGAGAAATTTAGAGAGTACAATTTCAAGCGCGAAATCGGCTGGTAACGAGCGTTTACTTTCTCAGCGTCTCCGGATGATGTGTCTCCGGTGTAACCGTGGCCTCGCTTATTTCTCAGCTTCGCCCGAATTGCGGAGTCTCGGTAGAAGGTCGATAATCGGCCGATTAGACGCGCGACAGCCGATAGGTGGTGGTTGGCTTATCTTCTACGCGCTCTCGCGAAACAACAGGCCGCTGTACAACACAATATCAGAGGTCTCACCTTGCTGCTCGGTGATACTGGCGATCTCGACGACGTCGAGGCTCGGCTGCTGGCTCTGCGTCACCTCGTGCCGTCGCGCCGTTATCGCCTGCGGCGCTAAATCGGGACCCCTGGTGGGCACGCTGCTGGCGCGTTGCAGCTGCTTCTTCGTCACCCTGGACATCAGGGCGCTCGCGATCGGATGCATCGCGCCGCTGCTCTCCGCGGGGTTCGTGTTGGTGCTGCTGGTCATCGCGGGCGTCGAGGATCTCGAGACGGAGAACTTCTTGCGCTTCTTCCTCAGGGCAGCCAGAGCCGGGCCCAGGCCGTGGGCGAACATGTGATGCGTCTCGTGATGATGCGCGTGATGATGCGAGTGATGGGGATGCTGCGTCGTCTGTAGGTCGTGGCTTGCGGTGGGCGTCTCCAAGGAGGACTTGGAGTCCGAGGAGCCCTCGGATCGCGAGCCGCCGTCCTCGGACGCCGGCGAGTACACCGAGTCCTCCGAACGAGATCTACCTGGGAAGAGGCAACAACGTTCCAGCCTATTTATGAAGTGCCTCTCTCGCTGTCCGGCGCGGCAACGAAGCGGCAAATGCATACGAGAAAGCGGGGAATGCACGGGAAAGAGTTAGTCTCGAATCCAAAATAGATGCTTTCATGCTATAAATATGGATGTCGCGGATCTCCTTTCAGAATTTTCGTCTCGATTTGTTCGAATTTACAACTGGCACGAGATCTAAAGTGGATTTGAAAAGTTCCAAACTCACACCGCAAAATAATACTGTCCGGTAAATTATTTCAGGCTAATTTGTTATTTAAGAATTTACGGGAAGATGACTCTAGAAGAACGTCAGCACATTGAAAAATCAACGAACGCCAATAACGTAACCAAAGGTGCTTGCAAGCTGAAATTGCCACTCCGCCGATATGTTTCATTCTTACGTCAGTTTCGCTCGCTTTTCTTTTACTAATTAAAGGTAGGAACGCTAATGCGAGGTAACCTTGATCGACTTACCGATCAGTCTCGAGACCCTGCCGGCTTTCGCCGCCTCGATCAAAGTGCCCCAACGCTTTTTCCTGGAGCTGCTTCTGCTGCCGCGAATTTGTCGCGGCCCGGTGGCGAGCCCCGGTACGCTATTAGTGCTGGTATGATGCGGGCTCTTCTTCGGGGTCGTGCCCGGCCCGAATATGCCGCTCAGAGTGGAGCCAAATAGCTCCTGATGGGAGTTCTCGCTCTGCACTTGCTGCAGAGACGCTATGAACTCGGCGACGGGCGGCAGGGTGCCGCTCCCGCCCGGCTGCGGTGCGATGTTGAAGCCCTTCATCAAACGCCGCTCCTTCTGGCGGTTCTTCTTGCCACCCGCACCTGTGGACAGCTCTCTAAGGATAGCGTCTACCGGCGAACGGGAAATCAACGGCCGGCCTGAAAACTCTCTACCGAGAAACTCAAAGAAACGACCAAGGACGGTGCTCGAAAATCAATTTAGCCACCGCCAATGGCGACATTGGAAATTACTGGTATGCTGCGTTTCGTTTCTCCCACCAATATAAATCAGCTGGCGTGTTTTAAGAGAATCGTGTAAGTTTTCCGATTTGATTATGAAAAACATGAATTCTGATAAATTAAGCAACATTGAAAGATTCCGATATAAATGAGATTGTAGAGGTTCAGACAATATATTGGAAATAATTTATAATTTTTGGAATTATTCTTTTTTCATGTCCACTATTATTTACTAAAATATTTTGCAGCCCTTCATCATTGTCGTCACTATCACTCGAGGAAGAACTGCCAGACGAATCAAGAATAATATGTTCAAGTAAAATATGTTTGTCCACAAAATTATTTCGTATTCTATTATGATTTTATATTTCATTTATAATTTATAAAATATTATTACACGAATAGTAAAAATCTATATTTTTTGTGCTTACCAGTCTATCTTTAAGTTCAACTTCTTTTTATCAACTGATTCATTAGTGAGAGAAACGGAACGCAGTATCAATAATTTTCGATGTTGCCTATTTTATCTTTTTTATTGGCAGCAGCCAAATTTATTTTCGAGCACGCCCTAAAACGAGATGCCCTCGGATCGCGGGTGACGATTCGCGCATTCGCGATTCGAAAACTGAATCGCCTCGGTTAACGTTTCTTCAATTAAGACGACGTCGCTCGCGAATAAAACGTCCGTTCGCTTCGATCGTGTTCGTTAATCGTCCTCTCCCTTTAGGAACAAGCGGAGATTCAAACTGACGCGATGCCCGAACAACCACCGGGAAATCCTTAATTACGGCAATTAGCCCTGAAATTCCTCCGGATGATTAATGTCCGCATTCTTTAACTTCGAATTACAAGAAAGGCTGGTCCGTGGGGTGACAAATGCGGCGAGCGCGAATAAAATAATGATCCCGCGCGCCGTCGGAGCGGAATATCGTCGCAATGTTAAATTCGAAAGTTTCGATGTTTCACACGTGACATGATTAACAATTTGCGGCGAATATATCGAGGACGCGCCACCGTTGCTCGTATAATTTTCCTCGTTAACTCGGAGAACGCGCACGTTTGTTACCACGTTGAATGCGCATTTGTTTAGAATCAAAACATTGTTAAATTGTATCTCTCCCGGAGCAGTGGGAGATTAATGATTCTCTATATTACGTTTGTACATTATTACGAGATCCTCCCATTTAAACGAAGTTTATAATGAGATACTGTTTCGATCGAATATATTAATTTGTACGTTCGAGTTAACGCTTGCGATCGATAACGGCTGCTCGGCTCTTGTACCAGCGAAAACTACACACATGTACATGCAGAGAGAGAGAGAGAGAAGATTTCTTTGGATTTAATAAAATTCCTTTAATTGAAACAAATTTGTCTCTTGGAATGAAGCAAACAAACGAATGTTTGATTCAACAAACAGGAATGTTTGGTTTCTCATACAATAAATATTCTTACGTCAAATAACATATTTCCTTTGTTTTCTATCCGAACATTATAAAAGTTGTCATAAGCAATAAATTATTTAAAAGAAATAACACAATGTCAGAAAAATATTTAAAAACTTCTTTTTCTGTCTCAATAAAACAATATTTGATATATAATAAAATAAATTTTTTATCGAAAACCAAATATTATTTCTTCTAAATAATAATGTCTTCTTTTTTATCAAACAACATGGTGTATTCTGGTGAAATAGCGTTTTTCATTCAAACAAAATGATATTTGATATTAAATTGTATTGTTTATATTGAACAAATCGAAGTCAAACAAACACGTATATTAAATCTAAAGAAACTTTTTTCTCCGTGAACATGTGGAAAAAAAAATAGTCTTAAATCAACGATAGATATTCTCATATGCAAGAATATTATAATATAATATTCTTAGAAAATTTATAGCCTTTAATTGAGCGCGAGTAATACTAGCGTGGCCCGACAGTCCGGGCCTAATACAATACGAATTCAATCAAATCGAGATTAAAAATCTTCTAAGAAGATTATAATATTCTCGCTCATACACGAGAATATCTATCATTGATTTAAGATTGATTTTTTTTCCCGTGCACACGCGCGCGATTTCACACGCCGCTTCATGCAGAATCCTCGTATAATCCATATTCTCTTTTTTTCTCGTCCGACACTCACCGGTGCCGCTGCTCGCCGCGGTGGAGGTATCGATGCCGGAATTTTTCAGTATCTCGATGAGCTCGCAGCGAAATGCGCTGATGTCTTGCTTGATCTCATTCACGTCGTCCTCTGTGACGCCCTCGCCTTCCGCTTTCCGCTGCTCCACGGTGACATATCGCCTTACCAAATTTCTCATGATGCTCTGGTACCTGAAGTCCCGCTCGGAAGCTTGTTTCACCTTCCGCTGAGGAAAGAGTTATTTCTCCTAAATAATTGAAACCTGAGTCATTGAAAACGTAATTTCTCAGGAAAGCTCGTTACACGCGCGCCCTGCACAATATATCCCGGACTGTCGGGCCACCTTTCAACTCTTCGGACGCGCGCTCGAGCTCTCCCCGGCGAGAATGTCGACGGAAACTAATGTCTTCGCATTGTCGCGTCGTTTTACGGATTTTCAGTATCGCGTGTCTCAATTCCCAAATTGCAAATCTGTTGGAAATGCACTGGAAATTGGATGAAATATAAACTTTCGCGATTCCCCGCTTGAGAAGCCTTTCGTCTTCAACCGATTGTAACTCGAAACTTGTTGTTGGCAATTGTCTCTGCTCGCAAGTACCGAGATTGTCTCTCTGGAGGAATCCGTGGGTATGAAAGAAAAGACAGTTCGGGGAAATTCCGTATATACGTTCAATTTATAAGTTTACACGACGCAACGGGTAGTAGGCGACCGCTAACTTCACAGAAAGAGAGAGAGAGAGAGAGAGAGAACTTCCCCGATCTAATATTTCCTAAAAGCTCTAAAAGAGGTGCAATCCTCCCTCCTCCCCCTCCCTCTCTCTCTCCCGGCCTTTTCTAGTACATGAAGTTTTTCCCCGGCTATTCCCTCTACTCTCGTCGCGTGTGCAGGAATCAAATTTTAAAATCCAAAACGGCGCTGCACTCCGACGAAATTCGCGAAAATGCACTCGTCGTCGTCGTCGTCGACGTACGACGGGGCGGATACATTTTTCATCGTTTTCTTAAAGATTCACCGAACCGCTTCGCGATATCCTGGTACTGACATCTTATTTCGCTGCTTGCTTTACATTTTCGTGGAGAAGGGAAGGAAAGAAAGAGGGAGAGAGAGTGAGAGAAGGAGCGGAGAATTCGAGTTCAGAAATCGGTAGTGCGCTCCGTCGATTCCCCGGGGGATTCCGTTGCAAAGGCGGCACCGAGCGTTCCGCTTTCGCTGGAAAGTCCGGGATAACGGGTCGCTTACCCGGATCGTCCGCATGTGCTCCTTCTTGGCGGCCCTGCTGTGTCCACAGAGCTTTCGGTACAACCACTGTCCGACGTACCAGGCGCTTTTCGGGGTCGGTATGATGTTAAACGGCGGCGGCACGGTTCCACCCTCCTCGAAATAGCTGATCCAAAGTTTGCTCCTCGCAAACTTCCACTCGACATCGGCGCGTTCCTGATCGGGAACACCGAAGTCAAGCCAGAGCCGGCTAATTAGCCTCGATTTTGATTGTAAACGCGGAAAACTGTCGCACGGTTCTACAGCGTAATTTCGCGCCGACGTTGCTCCACGGCTTCCGAGAATCTCGCGTTTATCTTCGCTAATTGATCCCCCGGCAAATAAATTCGACATGAGTAACGATCGTGTCTGGCGCTACGACTAACGTCAGATCCCGCGTTTTGTCATTCGGCTAGTTTGCTTTAAGTTTCCGTAGGAACGTGGATCGTGTGTGCAGACATATATGCGGCGACGGCGCCGTGTCGCGAACGAGGTCAAAGAAACTGCACTTACGGAGATTAACTGATAGGAATGATTCATCATGGCGATCAGGAGATTCAGGAGGACGACGATGTTGATGACCGAGTAAGTGCCGAACATCAGCATACCCCAGAACCTGGTGAACACCTTGATGCCGTCCAGCTCGAAGCTCTCGAGGTCCACCAGGCCGAAAACCGCCCAGAAGAGCGTTTGGGTAGTTTCAAACAGACTGTCGAGTGAACAAACGTAACGATAGAGAATATTTCAGCTGCGAAATATAGAAGATAAGCACCAAAACTGACATAGGTACGGTAAACCGACATACCCATGTTTCTTGGCTGCAAAATACTAAACCCTGTTGAACAGTACACGAACTTCGTCTGTTGTGTCTGTAGTAGTTGGCGCTGAAGTGGCACTTTCTGTTTGCAAACACGCTCGATTATGTTACTAGCATCGTTTGATTTTTTCGCTGTACCGAAGTTTCGTTGAGCTTTCTTCTTGTGAACAATTAAAATAACGAATCAGCGGTAAATAGTTTATTTAACAATGCTGCTTTACAGTGTAAAAGTTTCGGACTTTCTAAGCCACTTTGCGTCTTGTGCCAATATCTATTCTGTCACTGAACCACGCCAGGAAAAGTTAAGATTATGTTATTCCGTGGACCGAGACACCTGCGTCTGTATTATAGTCTTTCAACCGACCTACCTCAACTTTACTGTGAAATATCATTTTACAGAATATAGTTGGAGCTACTGGTGATTGATTTTTCCCCGCCTTTCTGTCGGTTTGTTTAAGATAGTCTGAAAGAAATCGGGAGTTCCCTTTTTATATAATAAAGGAGCGATATATATCGTAAAATGTTTAAAGTTTTAACAAATATGTAAGATTGAAGATAACATGTAATGTAATAAATGCACAAAATAACGTAATTTCAATAGTTTCATTTTATTTGTCCGATAATTTCCTATAAATATCATGGGTATGTCAGTTTTGAGGCTTAATTTCTGGTCAATCCTCGAATACCTGAAAAAATAGTTACTTGCAAGGAAATAACAATTTTCATAAGACCGCCAACTATTGCTGATTCGCATCCATGCGCATCAATTTTTATTTTACATCTTCAACAAGGCTTTAGAGTCCAAGGATTAAATGGTATGTCAGTTTTGGCACTTTTCCTCCGAATCCTTTATACGTCGAGATCTGCTTTTCGTCCTCTCTTATCTTTTTCGCTTCGCTCCCTTCGAGAACTTAAATAGAGAACCGCTTAATTCTACACGTCTCATACGCGGCAAAGTGGAGCGCATTATGCATAAAAAATAGATGTGCGTGCAAAAGTTATCTCGCATACTTGGCGAAACGGCGCCAAACGATGCACGCGTTGGAATCAGTGGTGACGTTCGCGTTGGGTAAATGCGCCATCGCCGTGGGGCATCGTTTCTTCTCCATGTCGGCGTAATACCACAGAAGTTGATTGAGACCTGAGAAGAAACATTTGTTTTCTCTCCTGTAGTGACACATCTCTCCCGCAATATCGCGACACTCTCTCTCTCTCTCTATCCTATTAGCGTGTGGCATTACCGCACGAGAAGGCGAAGAGAACCAGCACGTAGAGGAAGAAGAACTTCATGATGTCCATGACCATCCTCGACAGGGAGACTTGCAGCGGGCCGAGGTGGGGATTCACGGAGAATATGTAGACGAGCTTCAGCGAGCTATAACGTAACGTTATTCGCCTTTAATTCCGAATAATGCCGAAGGCAACGTTGATCTTCCGAACTAACTTTCTCTCCCTTCTCTCTCGGGCTCTCTCGCGTAATATCGCGTCTCACGCGATCAACTTTCCGATTCGATCGGTAATTCATGCGCATTCCGAGCGCGGCACGTACGAGGTAGGTGGTATTCAAATGCCGAAATAACGAGATCACCGCTGCCATCCGGTTATCGGGATAAAACAGCGAAATAGTGACTGCTTCTTGACGGAAGAGGCGGCCCCTCAGATATCGAATTAATGACGAAAAGTGATATTTTTGGCCGAATTCTGAGAGTGACCAGAGCCATTTAAGCGAAAAGTAACGTTCTTACCTTCCCAGGTTTACCTTTGAAACTTAACATATAGCGAGATCTTTTCATAATACAGCTTGAAAGTTCGTAACAAGGGAAGATCAAAAGCATGAACGATAGTACAAGTATGTTTTCGCAGCAGCTTCGGAACAGTTTTATTAAGAGAGACGGCCAAAAAATATATAGAATACCTATATTTTACAAGCTTGACGGCGGAGTTTAGGAAAAAAAAGTGACTATATTCGGACGGCAGAGGTGGGTGGAAGTTCGTAAAGAATTAATTTTTAAGGAGAACACAGAATTAGAAAAAAAAAAGCAAACGAATGTCTGAAGAATTCTCGAAGAATTAACCGGAATCAGTTCGTCTCGAGGTGTTCTTCAAAAATTCATCACAATGAATACTTCGCGACTCAACTTCAGGAACACTTGAAGAATTCACCGTGCTATCTGGGTAGCGACCCATTTTGGAGGATAGTGGATTTTTGAGTGACTTGTCAGGAAAAAGTGACAAAGGACGAGCCGGGCGGCAATTCGCTGCGAGATCGTAGCGGTGTGATCCGACGTTATGGTTCACCGGCTCGCAAAATAAATTCGACTTGTGACATTCGTGGGAGCGCGAGAGAGAGAACCGACAACCGTCTCGCTGCGAGATCGTTTTATCTCGCGCACGGAGTGACTGCGGAGGAAATACACAGAAGCGGGCTCGCTCGATTTATTACCTGAAGATGTTGGCGGCGGAGAAGAGGCCCTCGGAGATAAGCATCGGGTCCCACGTGTCCCACTGCTCCCGCTGAAGCTCGATCGCCGGCGATCCCGGCGACTGACCCTCGTTCTCCTTCTGCACCCTGTAGTAAGCTACGACCCTGAGCGCCACCGTGGCCACGTAGAGCGAGTTCGTCACGAAGTCGATCACGTTCCACATGTCGTTCACGTACTCCTCCAAGCCCACGTCCCACAATTGTTTGACCTCCGACCAGATCAGTCCCGACACCCAGGCCAAGATAAACCTGCGGCGCGTCAATCTCTCTCCGGTCACCTCGTTTCCCGATCTTGACGTCGCCGAAGGCGAAAGGGAGAAAAACGCGCTACCGAGTCATCCGCGCGCGCGCGTCAATATATTTCACTTTATGGCGCTCGCGAGCGTTGGATTCAATGAAACGAGATCGGATGAGCGAAATTGATGCTTGACTGGTGGCGACGTAATCTACTTGTTTACACTTTCCTCGTCTATCATCTCTCTCTCCCTCTCTCTTGCAATTACAATCGACCCTTGTACAGGCGCTTCTCGGGTGAGAACAGAACTTTCGATCGGTTTATTGATAACGCGCGCTAAATTAAATGCGAAATCGATCCCGGAGGCGGGATCGAGACGAGCTTAAATTTGCAGCGAGACGTGACTTATGATCGCCCCGTTTCAATCTCGTCACCACGGAGGGAAAGATTCCACGAGATTGCGTCTTCGGGGCCTATCGCTTACTATCGACTTCGCGTGCAACGCGTTCGCCGCGCGCGCGCACGAGAGAGAGAGAGAGAGCCGTAAGCCGCGGGATATTACACGGAGTTTATCGCGCTTACCTTACTTTACTCATTTCTCGCCCCATCCTTTTCATCTTTTTCCCCGACCGCTTTAATCCCCCGCGAAAATTGCTCGCACAGCCCACGCATGAAATTTCCTGCCGCCTCTAATTCCCCCCCGCCGTCTCGGAAAAATTGAGAAACCCGAAGCGTCGTGGCACGCGCGCGCTGACGTTACCGTCAATAACGCGGCGATCTCGGGAATAATCGCGAGAACGGAGGAAGAATGCGCCTTACTTACCATTCCACGATCGTCGGGGCGGCACCTCTCTTCGTCGGCGCTGGTTCTTCGTGCTGCACGACGTCGCGTCCCATCCAATTACCGATCACGCTTTCTATCCGCTGACTAGCCAGAATTAACATGACTGCGCAGGCAAAATTACGCGCGATCATCATCGTTGAAAATCCCGTGCGGTTACCTTTCGGACGTTCCGTCGCGACGCTAAGAATAGAATCGCGCGTTTCCCGCTCGGAATAGACTTCATTTCGGCGGAGATTTAATTTATGATTTAATATCCCCAGATGTTTGACGTTGAAAGTCGAAGAGCCGCGACGAGACACGCGGCTTCTCACGAGGCTTTCCCTTTTTCAGAAACGAGGGTGTTTCAAAACTCGTCAGAGAGGATCCGTCGAGGGAATTCGTCGTCGGGGATGTCGCGATACCACGGGAGTACCGGTAAAAATATCGGTACCGATACTGGTGTCGAAACTTTAAAAAACTTAAAATTGGAGGAAACATAAAAAATCAGGGAGGTATTTGTCTTGCGAGCTACTTTTAAGAGTCTCGTACGGCTACTCGTAAGAATCTTACTATGATGTAAAGATACTTTTATCTTCTGCACTAGACTTCCTACAGTTCGTGATCTAAAAAATCTTAAGAAGGATGTGTTAAGGCAGTGTCCTTACCGTGACTGTCCTTACTTGATGACGTCAGAAGCGAGAGATCGCATGTCGTTGTGACTCATTTTTCGTGGCTTCGTTGAGCTTTCTTAATTATTTTAATTAAATTTAGAAAATTAAAAGAAGAGACATCAAAAATAGATATCGGAAGCGGTACTGATAAGGATACGGATGTGTGAAGGAAATATCGGCGCGGAACTGCCCGGTGTCGAAGGGGAAATATCGAAAGAAAAATATATCGATATCAGTGATCATCACAACATCCCTATCCCGTCGTTACAATCCTGCCCGGTGACGCGACGAATGAAACACTCTGTAGAATATCGGATCGTTGCTGAAACGTTGGGAAAACCAAGCGGGATGTATCGCTCGTCGGGCGAACAATTAAGCTTGCGGCGGTAATGCTTCTTAGCCGTCTCAATGCCGCGCATTAGTGCACGACTATTATTGGTAGCGGCACCGAAAGGTATTTGTAAACTGTTTGACGCTCACCACGCGGTTGTTTGATCCGCCAACGTGCCGGGAAGTTAAATACGCCGTAGGAAAGAGCTCGAGGCGCTCGTGTCACTTTGCCGAAATACTTCCGCGGGAAAATAAGTCAAACGGGGGGAAGCCGCTACTGTAAATACCGCGCGAAATTAACACCGTTTGTTCGTCATTCGCGAACGAAAATAGGCGGGAACAGGTCCGATCTCGAATAATTACTCTCTCTCTCTCTCTCTCTTGCCTTCCTCCTTTTTGATGGAAGGAAAACCTAGACGTTCGTAAAAATAACACTCGCGTATCTATCTATTATCGTCAGTCCCGGTTGAAAGCGTTATTCTTTGCGAGCCGCTCGCTTCGTAAGGTACTCAACGCGACCGAGCAGAGGTTTAATTGCTCCGTAAATTAATGAAGTGTTGCAAAGGCGGTGGCCGGGGCGGAGGGAGGCGAGCGCGGGAAGCAATGCTATAGACGGTGGATGTTGTTTGTAAGAATGGAGCGGCACCGCCGATATTTCCGGAACGAAGCGGATATTTGGGTCGCGTTGATCAAGTGTGCCGAACAATCTACGAAATAGCGGGTTACGGCCGCCGGATATCGTGCCAAGTGGCTGGATTTAAAGCGTCACACGAAACCGCCCCGGAACGATAACCGATTCGCCGTTAACACCGCGTTCCTTCCTTCCTTCCTTCCTTCGTTCCCGTGCGCGAGCGAGAGCGGGTGCATCAGCTCTTCGGGGACTATCTTATCCTCGGATTTCGCTCTGATCTCCTCGAAGTAATTAATAAATGAAAAGATACCTCGCGCTCGCGCGGAGAGCTCTCCGAGAGAGAGAGAGAGAGAGAGAAAGAGAGAAAGAGCTCTCTAGGTAGGGAACTCATTCAGATAGGATTACGTCGCGACGTACGTCTAAGTACCGTGCAACGAGAGAGGATAGTAGAGTAGACTCACATAGAAAAGTGAAATACGACGCGGAGTTACAGATGAATTTGATAAACGGCTTCCTCATAGTCTGGCCGACCACGCTGTGAGGTGCGATGATGTACGCCACGCTGAAAAACGGGAAGAGGATGCCGATCCGTACGATCTCCAGCGCCTGGAGGAACATGTTCTTCCTACGGAACCCCGGCAGGCCCTCGTACCAGATCGATGCCAGTAGCTGCTGCACGTTCGGATGCGCCACGAACTGGAAATATCCAGGTAACGCGATATTGACCGACCAGTTTCCGGCCACACGACGACCGTGGAAGGTGACAGTGGCCCGCAATCGGAGTTTAAATTGCAATTGCCGTCCGAACTGTCGTCCCTAATTATGACATTAAACTAACGAACGTCCTCTGTCTCCGTCCGCTGTTTAATTAAGCTCGATTGTGCCCGCGCCAGTAAGGCCTTGGAATGTTGATGTCGCAATCGGACGAAGGACTCGAGATATGATTTTTAGAATACGAGTACGACAGCGTTACGAGAAAACGTTTCCCCACGCTAGAGATGCAGGACGATCGGTTAAACCTGCGAAATATCCCAGAAGCATCCTGAGTAGAAATCGGACCTCGCTGCCACGAGATAGCAAATTTGTGTCTAACGTTACTACTGGCTGGATAAATAAGTTAGCTGATGGTTAAACGAAAGAAATTACAGTTACGGGATGAAAAAATCATAACTAATTGCCAGGCAGTAGTGTAACGTTCACTTTTATTTTTTATGATTTTTATGGAACAACGTATCTTCAATTTGGAATTCCTCCATTTTTTAATACTATTGGCGGGTTTATAATAGCTGGATTATTTATTTTAGACTACACGACGCCACCTGCTCTATTATATTTGTATAATAGCCAAGTAACAGTCAGATCGTCAGATCACAAAATCGACATTCTGGTGAATAATAACGAACTAATAACGAGCAAGAAGATTTAATCTAGTCTGTACTAGCCAGCTACTAGCTTTCGACTCGGATCGACTGGATGTGCTTCTACTTGACTACCGTTGGCGTCAGACGCGGCTTTACGCGGCGATGATGTCAAGAAGAAATTTACAATTCTGATATCATTGCGACGCGATTGTAAAATGGCGGAAAAATGCATTCTCGCCCGAAGTCTCGTACCTTTTTCTGTCTGAGCTTAATGGCTAATTTTAAGCGGTTCAGATGCATCCTCTCCCCGTGCTCAAAGGCTGGTCCCGTTGGGTCGTGATTCAGCAGGACTTCGAGCTCGTAGGAAGTTCTAGTGTGGTCCAGCAAAGCGGTGGCGAAATCTTGGCACTGTCTTCGGAGTTCCTGAAATCGAGTGACGTACGTTCGCTCCCGATCAACAACAACAGCGTAATGCGGTCTCGAGAGCACTCTCGTCCTTCCCCAAACATTCGACCGTTCTCCTCGGAGATCGTTGAAAATAATCCCCCTAATTCCGCGTGGAAATTCGGCGAATTCTTCGCCGCCGTCCCCGCGTGTCGGGAATTGCGAGTCGAGGAGGGACTCGAGAAAGCCGCCGGCTGATCGAACTTTCAGGCTCTCCCCCCTCCCTCTCAGCTGCAAGCTCGACAAGCAGCGCTCGAGACACCCTATCCTAATCGTTCGCCAATCTTTTCCAGGGCCCGATTGAATTCTCCTCACGTACTCGTCGTGGACATAACGCGGTCGTCGAGGACGCGTCCCGCATTGTCGGCCGGAAAGGAGCGCCGACCGAATTCCGCGCTGAGAAGTTTCGTTGCCGCTTCATTGAAAGGCGAAGGTAACGCATGTCCCGTTGTTTGTCCGGCCGGTAATCTATTTTCGTTAATCTACTTTCGATTAACCCTTTTAGTGCCGGGCGAAAAAGAGGTGCTTATGCGAAGATAACCGGCCGATTTTACTAGGATTTGGTAAAAGGCTCATAAAAACCAAACGAAAAGCAATATTTAAAAATTATTTATTTTAATTCTCTCGTAATGAAATTAGACTATTTATAACGTATTTTAAATTTATTTTGATAGAGATCTCTCGCAATGCGAATAGTAAAGCGCTACAAGGTGCGGGCCGATATATCGGCTCTGGCACTTCTCGCCGGTGTAGCAGGAGCCGATATATCGGCTCCCGGCACTAAAAGGGTTAATGGTTTGCCGATCGCAGGGTGAACGCCTGTACACCAACGAGAATTTATCTCCAAGAAGTCGACATTTCGAAAGTACGAAGTTCCCGAGGAGCCCACGGAGGCCGCGGGGCGGTTGCGGGAACACGCGTTCTTTCGATCGAAGCAAATGCATTTTCTTGCACGCTTGTTTCTCACAGAGGAGGAGGCGTCGCGTGAGTGTAGACCGGGCGATCGAAAGGGTTATATTTCGCGTTTACTGCTGCACGGTTTATCGCGGGGAAATCGTTACCCCGAATCGCACTTCGCGACATCGGGTCGTCGACCTCCAACCTCGGCGGCGTCGTAAACCCGAGCTAACTCGCGAAACGCGAGAACGCCGATACACAACACGGCGCTTTATTTAACTCGCGTCTCGATTCGCTCTTCGATGAGAAATTACGCACACGGGATTAAATTAGCTGGAGGATTAATGTCAAGTCTGATTGACGAGCCCGGTGTAAAAATGAAGATTGAAAGCGCAACTACCGTCGGGACGTCCTCGGGAATCAGGAGGAAGATAGCAGAGTCGGGTAAAACGAGAGAGAGAGAGAGAGAGGAATCGAGAGGGATTCCCGAAGCAATTCGTCAAGACGTATTCGCGTCTTTATTCTTAGAGACGTCTTCACCGGAGCTGTTGTCTACGCTCGACACTTGAAAGATTAGGGAAGATACAGCCAGCGGGAAGCAAAAAGGTGGACTTGCCATTGACAGGAAGGATGAGCGAAAGAGGGAACAAAAGGTTAAAGAAACAAGGCTGATGACGGTGCGGAAAGGGTGAGCGAAAGGCTCGGGGAAACTCAGGAGTGTTGACGACGTCGGAGGGGTGAATAAAGGGCGGACCGAGGAGACTATAAAGCAACCCGATAGCATGTTGCTCGGTTGCCGTATTGCGGGGCGCGATTTATGCACGTATAAATCAAAAGTTACTCGACCGTAGCGGACACTTAAACTTTCGTCACTTAGGCATAGAGAGAAAGAGAGAGAGAAGGGTGAAGAAAGAGGAAAAAGGAGAAGCTAAATAGACTTTAAAGAACGCGCTTGACTCGGTCGAAAAGGATATAAAGGGAAAGGCGTGTGAACGTACAACCGTTAAATTAAGGAAAACATATGTTAACTGCCGTGCAGTGCCTGCAGGGGTCTGGCGCTCAAGATAAATTCGTTCGGTGAGAATGAGATGTCACCAGTCGTTGGGGAACATCGCCGAGGAGGAGCCGACGGCGTATTAATTCGCGGATCGGTCGGAAAAGTTTCTCTCGCCTCCGCCTGACAAAACTTCCCCCTCCGCGCCGTTTATTACGCGCGACGAAAAGTCGACCCTCATTTTGCGCTCCGCTCGAAATAAGCCCCCGTATTTCCGTCGCGTCTCCACGGCGATTTCCGCTTGACTCGTGTAAAAACGCCCTGACGAAAATTACGAGGGAAATCCCGTGTATTTTTAACATTTCATTTCGGAATAACCGGTCCGCTGATCCGCGATCACTTCGGTAAATATTGAATCTCGCGAGTGTCTAGCCGCGAGGTGATTAATGTCGTGTTCGATGTCGCTCCTAGCCAGTAAGTCCGAAATAGATGTAGTAAGTTTTTAACCTTTCGTTCGGAGCGATAGAATGTAACGTTTTCCGATTTCCGGTAAAAGGCATTTCCCGCGTTGCCGAAATAACAATTACGCTTAAATCTTAGAAATCGCAGCGTCTGGTAGCGTTGAACACGCATTTTGCTAGAAACGTTACAATCTACTGTTTAGAGCAAAAGGCTTAAAGGCTTACTAATGTAACGCTCATTGTTACACTCATCACTATATTCTTATATAGTGCAAGTTTCGACGAATTCTTGAAAAACTTCATTTTATGCTACAACTATCTAAAGTCTGAGGCAGACATCGTCGTGTTGATGAATATCGTCGTGAAGACACTACGCGCGAAGAATTTGTCAAACTGAGCGTCTTGATCAATAATACACCCTGAAGACTGTATTGCTCGCGAATAATGGATCCAAGAAACGTCTGTTTCTCACCTGATACTCGCACTTGAATTCGTGCTCCAAGAACGAGAGTCGTCGAAGTTCCCAGGAGAGCTCGAAGGCAGTCAGAATGGGATCCTTAGACGACAGCGCTATCAAGGACGGCGACGCCAACGCCCGGTAGGCGTTTATTCGGCTCCTTGAATGCCTCAGGGAATCCTCCATCCTCGATGTCACGCACTCGTCGCATCTGCAATAAATAACAAATGGCAACAACAGCGAAAATGAAATGTCCCCGGTAGCTCTCCCAGCTGTTTCTCGCGCGTCTCCCGAATATTTCCCAAGATGATCGTGTGTCGCACGCGACGTTACACCGTCCGTAATCCCTTCTATCAACATTTTGACGGTAACGCGACCGACGGGAAATCTTGCGTTCGAAGTGGAAGAAATGGAAATGGCTTGCATGTACAATTATTATTCCGGAATTTCGCATCGCGGGATATTTTACTTTCGCGCCCGCGCAAACGCACACGCGGGCAAATTTGGATAACGATATTTCTCGCGGGTAAGTTTCGCGTGAAGAACTGCCATTTTTCGAACAAAAGCGGTGCTATAGGTAAAGAATGTGGGTACTCAGCACCGCCGGTGCGGCTTTTGTAGTGAAAAATGGCAGTTCTTCACATGAGACTCGCACGAAAAATATTATTATTCAAAACTGCCTCGCTCTTGAAGCTGCTGCTCCTCCCCTCTCTCTTTCTCTCTCTCACTCTCTCCTCCCTTGTTCCACATTGCGGATGGTATTTATTTTTAGGTCTACGTTGTACTGCGCGAGAGTAAATGTTACGGTGTTACTTTATGTAATAACGTAGTACGTTATATATATATGTAATATGATGCGAGATTCTTTTTCCTTCTTGCTTCTACATATGTACGCCGGCAGAGAATTCGGAAAGTTTCCTATTAGTTCAGCGCGAGCTGCAAGAGAACAGGATTTATGAGACTTAACACGATGCTATTATCACTGATTAAATTCCCGCCCGAATACATGATAGTGGTAACGCAGCACTCACGCACGCTTAGCCTAATTTAATTAGCTTTTGTCGCGGCCGCGCAAAGGGACAAGACGGTTAAACCGGCCAAGGGGATTAATTAGCCCAAAAAGAGCGCACTTACTTAGGGATCGACGACGGATACTTTTAAAACACTCGCAGAAAGAGAATAGCGATAAGCAGACTCTGAATTAATGTTCGCGGTATGACGGATCAAGCTTTTAATTGGGCTTTTAATTGGGCGTCGAGTAATTCGAAAATTCTTGACGCCCCTCGTAAATTAAATTCACGTGCCGTAAGCCGGCAACGTAAGCCAGACGAGACGATGCGAAATTATCGATTATCGTCGGAAGCGTTTAATGAAGTAACAAAGTATCTTACCCGCAGCGCACGTCGTGCGGCATCGGCAGAGTGGATCCGCGATCCAGCAGGATCTTTATGATTTCGTAGTTGTCCCGGTGAGCCGACAGGATCAACGGCGTGATGTCGGGCGTGAACGTGGCTGTTTCAGCGGGCAGAGCCTCCCAGCTCTGGGAGGGGATTAAAGTGGAAGTCATTACTGTTCTGAAATACCGTCGCTGAAGAGCGAACGCTTCTCTCCGGCCGAGTACGAGCAATTTTTCAACTCTCGTCAACCCCCATCGGTCTCAAAATTCGCTTTCCGCCGTGACCGACTCTCGGCAATAATCGCGCTTCATTGCGTACACCCGGCGTTCGAGTCATTTACTTTTCAGTCCCGATGAAATAATGAATTACCTAAATCGACTGCCGTAAAAAGAGTCATCTCGTCTCGCGCGGACAATCGACAAATAATCCCCCTTCGCGCCGGGAACTCGTCGGCATTGACGTAGTCGGCTTAATCAGTCATCGTCACGGGTGGTAACCCTTTCCTCGCAGGGATCCAATTCTCCCCATATAATGAATTCGCTCGCGCATTTTCTACCGTGCCGCGGACGGATATCATCCCCGAAGTTCCGCGTAAGCTGATTCCTCAGCAAAGCCGATTAAAGCGTCCGTTCGAAATTTCGCGTTCTTCCAGTCCCTTTGCTTTTTCCCTCCTTTTCGCGACTCGCTCTCTCTCTCCCTCTCTCTCTCTGTCGCTCGAACTGGTCGCGTGTCCGCGGGGGAATGACTCTTCGGTCGTTCCCTTCGGCGGAATCGCCTTTACGACGCGCAATACGACCGGTTAACGGCGGGACAGAACGAAGGGAAAATCGCTTGTGTAGCAACCGAAACGACGATCGATTTACGACTTCAATCGGCTTTTGGTATCTGCATGTCCATCTGAGCGTATGTCGGATGCAACGATAGCGATGTAATCAGCGATAACGAATAATATACTCGTTGCAAGTACGATCGGAAAACGGATCTGTTTTTATCTCGCGCATTAAAAAGAAGAAAAAAAGCTGCGTGAACGTTATCCGTCAACAACTCTGCAACATCGCTGCAACGTCGCCGAGGGCTTCGGGAAAAAAGCGAAAAAACGGTGTATCATTGAAAATAAAATCGTTAAATATATCCTATCGACAAGTCCTTACTTCCTCTATGTCCGCTAAAGTCGTGTTCGCTTACATAGGGTGCATATGCGAAGGCTTACATGAGGCTCGCCATTCCTGTGAAGGGTCTCCTCGTGCTCCAAAAGGACCTCCACCGCCTCGACGAATTCCTCGGAGATAGCGTGGAGGAGCGCATCCTTGGTATCGACCTTGTGCTCTATTAAAAGCTCCACCATCTCGAGATTTTCATTATCGATCGCCATGAGCAGCGCCGATCGTCCGAGAGGATCCACGCAGTTGATGTTAATATCGGCCTCCTGAGCTTTCTGGAGCATTCTGCAGTGACAGGGGATATTCGGGAGGTTGATAAATTGCCGTCTAGGATTCGTGCACGCCGATATATACACGTATTGTCACGTAAGCACACCGGGGCGGAATTTTTCACGCGGCATCGCAATTTTGCCGCGCGCGAGCCCAGGCAAACGCGCCGATAAATTCCACGAGAGTGAGGAGTTAATCACAGATCGCAATCAGTTTCAATTACGCGAGCGTGAAGAGCATAGCGGAGGGAATTCCAGAAAGTTTCGAAATCGCGCGAGCGAGCTTCGTAAGATAATCAGCGGATCCTTTGGCACGAGCGGATGAAGAGGCAAACGCCCGCCTCGTACTTAGGGAATGCGAAATGGCGCACGGTGATGCTTCTCAATAATATCAAGAAATATCCGTCTCTTCGCTGAAGCTAAGTGAAACTCGATTAAACGTAAATTTAGCGAGACGACAAACTTTGTGTTGAATCTCATGTCGTCTCGTCTGTATATAATATAGCTAATATTTGAAGGACGGTAACGCAATTAGATCAAAGTCGTGTTTTTATATTAAAAAAAATGCACGCTAAAGTCGAATTAATAATGCCGGGAAACGATACGAGACTTGCTACCGTGTGGAGGATTAAACGAAAGAAAATTGTCACGCTGTGCGGCAAACACTTAGTTTCGCGAAACACGTTGATTGCCATCGTATTTTCTCTCGTACGGAAGGAGAGAAGTTTGCCTCGCAGGGTTGCTACTCGCGCGATGGGTTTTCCACTCGGCACACTCGCCATCTCTGCGAACACGTGCACGCGCACGTGCACGCTCGCAACTAGGAGAACGAGGAGGATAATCGAACGCTTAATTCGAGAAGGCGTGAGAAAAGGATACACTCGCGTGACGGAAATGAAACCGTTTTCACACAACCGAGCTTTCCGCTGAAGTGAAAATATTTTATACAAATAAAGAAAGGAATTCAACCGCTTCCCCACCTTCCTTCTTTCCTTCCGATAACACATACAGGATATATCAATTAATATTTATTTCCACGAAGGTCGACTTTAGCCCGACTTTATTCTGCTTTCTTTTATCGATCGGAAAGCGCCTTGAATGTGGCTTCTCAGCCGATCAGGTGGCTTTTAACCCACTTTTGGAAGCACTTTTGTTAATAGAAGAGAGTTCAGAATATAAGCCTTTGAGTCCAACGAAAGTGCGACAGAAGTTTTAGCTTTCCAACGAATCCCCTTTCAAGTCGGCAGAATAATCTCGAGAAGAGATATCGACGATTGTATCTCGACCGCCACGCTCACTACCAGCTCTACTGCGTAAGCGCGCCAGCTATTATTTACTACTCGCGCGCGAGCACGCGCTTCAGCAGCCACGTGCTCTCGAGCTGTCAGCTGACGCGGCGTAAAAGTGGGGGCAAGGCCGCGTCACGTAGTGGGGCGCGGACTTATCTCCACTCCCGCACGTGCTAACTCAGCTGACAGCTCCGTCACGTGGTCATCGCTTCATTCACGCGCGCAACGCCCGATAAACACGTCGCCCCAGCGCCGAACGTGGCGCAAATTTCAAGGCTCGCGACTCTCACGAACGAGTCGCCGACACAAAATGACAAGTGGTTTCCTTTGCGCGCGATCCCGCCCGTCGTTTCTATATTTTAAACACGTACGCAATAACAGTTTCGATTAATAGCTGAATGAAAAAAATAAATATGAAAATTAAGATAAATTTAATTTTTTGAAAATTACTCGTTATATACACTAATTATTACTCGTTATATACACCTATGTACATATTAGGCGTATGTAAGTGAATAATCGAAATTTTTCGACTAAATTCAAAGTTTGTTTCAAGGAAAGTTTATTTCGTTGTCCGTTGTCATACTAAAATTTTGCATAATACCGGTATAATAACGGTAATTACGAATTTCGATACGATATCGTATCGATATTTTGCTGGTATTATTATCACGTTATTGACTGTGAACATCATCAAGTCAATTAGATTCATAATATAATCATAACATATATTTTGCAAAAGAACTTGGAAAGGAAATAAAATGTATAAATTCGGAGAATCTTTGGTAGCAATATCGATATAAAAAAAAATGCCGACATTATGCCTATATCGTGCCGAAATCTATACCGGTGTTACATCGAAATTTTCTTGATACCGGTATTTACACAAATCGGCTTTTTTCAGTTGTTGCGTAATACCAAAAAATAACGGTATAAAAACGATATTTTTTTAGTATCAGTCTCAATCCTTGGTTTATTTTCACAGAAAGTGAAACGAATTGTTCAATTAAAGTACTCGCCGTTACGTTTTATAACTTCAAACCATCTTTCAAGCGGATTATGAATTTTATTTCGGAAAAATGCTGTGTCTTTGAACATGAAGTCGTCAAGCCATTTTTGAATTTCAACCGTTGATTGGAAGTGTGTGACAAGGCGTGTTGCATCGACCGGAAGAAGTGGTAATCCGAAGGAGCTGTATCCGATGAATACGCCGGGTGTTGCAACACCCCTCAGTCAAGATTCATTATGGTGTCTTTTGTCTCAGAAGCAATGTGTGGCCTGGCATTGTCATGCAGCAATTTCACAAAACGTTCTCCTCTGCCAGTATACGGGCGTTTTCGTTCCGATTCCTGGCACAAGCGAATTAATTGGCGTCGGTACAAGTTTGCGATAACTGTTTCATCCGACTCCAACGACTCATAATAAATCACGTCTTTGATATTCCACCGAATGCAGAGCAGAACTTTCTTTACGAAGCGTTCGGGTTTTCGACCGATGTTGATGGCTTGCCGGGATTTACCTATGACTTTTTGCGTTTCGGACTGTCACAGCGTATCGTCGAGAAAAGAACAAATCGATTCGCACGCTTTTGCAGCATTTTTTCCTTGTTGGAATTTGTAAAGAACGCAATGTCGAATATGCACTTTATCTGTTGCCATTTTTGGCGCTATTAAACTGAATACTTTTTAAAGTTATGTTGGAGTTTTCTGCCATAAATTAACATTTTTAATAGATACGTGCCAACGCTACATAACAGCAAAAATTCATTGCATTTATTTGTATGCTTCATACAATAATACAAATAAATAGTTTCTAGAATGAAAGTTCAATATTTCAAGAACAACTGCGAATCTGTGTTTATTAAGATATTTTTATTTGCTATTGTGGATCCTATTAACGAGTTAAGCCTTCACCTATCATTCTGAAATACTTGTGTGTATATAAAATATGTGAAACCTGTTTAAAGTATTTTCCAAATGTTAGAAGACAGAGATTATGGTTGGAAACAAACCATGTTAAATAAATCTTTATAAGGCTCTTCCGCTTCATTCACTTTATTTCTTCTCCTAGCTGATGAAAAAAGATAATTCGGACAAAACATAAATTCTGTAACCATAAATTTCCGCTCACCTTCTAACGGAAGCCACGTCCCCACGCTCGACAGCAAGAAGATATTTCTTCTCCTGAAGCGAGAGGGTGGCCATTTCCTGATGAGGTCTCACCACGTTCTCTTCCTCCATCATGCCGTGTATGCTGTGCCTCTGAAAGCGTAATAATTTCGTATTACACTTCCAAATGCGTAAAGACATGTTCTCTCGCTGTTCACATTGTACGGTGGTTCTAAACCGTTAAACTGTGGAAATTAATAATGATTGCCAGTCGTAAATTAAGCACGGCGGCGTTTTGTAAGCGGCGGATGGCACCTGTTATTTAAGGAGATTGTGTGAGGCTCGTATTTTTAGTAGCGCATTAAAAGGGCTATTCATAAATTTAGTATTTATCAAACAAAATTAATTCTCTTTCTCCATATTTTATTAATTTTACGTTCCTCCATATTTATTTCATTACTTATATAATAAATGTTAACTTGAAACTAAGTTGAGGTAAACATATATACGGTTAATAATTCTGAAATTTGTGCATAATGTCTGTATATTAGTTTTACTTTAATACTTTAATACTACGATAGATTTTCATTTAGTATTTAAAATCTTATTTTTACCTTAGAAGATATCAAAAATTGAAATTAAAAATAGCACGTTAATCTCTCAAGGAACGCGTGTGAGAAGTGTCAACTTTAATCGCAAATATCTCAGCTCTCGCATGGTCTATCAAACACGGTGACGTATTAAGAACGTCAAGTGACATACTAAAAGCGTACTAATGACGTCACAGGCGTCAATGTTACATCACCATGTTTGTTGGGATGCAACTACATGTAGAGCAAAATTACCGGATTTATATAAAGTCATTTGTGAAAAACGTAGGTATACTCCATTTACGAAAACTTTGTCCAATGTTTTTCAATGATTATGCTATAAACAAGTAGAAAATAAATATTTTTTAAATAAAACAATTTTCATATTTTCCCACTTTTACATTTTAAACGCCCAACGTAATTATATACACTCAGAAAATCGTACTTCTCGACGGCCAGTTAGATCCGGACAAAAAATTGCTCATCAGGAACGTCCTTTGAAACGACTTTATAAATTATATCTTACTTCAACGGGATTGATACGCGAGTCTTAATACCGGAACCGCTAAATCACTTTGATCCACTTACAGATTCTTTTTATCCCATTTTTTTTCATTTTCGTCACCGAGAAGCCTCCTCTAACATAAAACAATTAAACGGTATCATGAAATTAAAAAAGCCGGCGTATTTTTTAATTATAAAAAATTTAATTACAAACGGGAAGATGGGTAAAAATTGACCCGACCGCGGTTCTAGGAGAGGAAAAATTGTCGCGGTTCCGGTGTTGAAGGGAGTTAATCAGTTCCGTACAAATGCGGGGCGGAAAATCCTCGGCTCCCGAGCCATGATTTCCGTACCTCGTCGCCGGTGTTCCACACGACGAATAAAATCGCGTCCTATTTCCCTCTCCCCTCCGTTTTCTCTCTTCACGCATTTCTCTTTTTTTTTTCGTCCGGCGAACGCACACGGCCGTGTTCTCACGTATCGCCGACGTCCGTCTCTCGAAATGTTTTCGCGCGCTGCCACTTATCCGCCACATCGCGCCATTGTCGCGAGTTACACCAAACGCGCATTAAGTTACACATATTCCCAGCGCCGTTTCAGCGTCGTTCTCGCCGCGCCGTCGTCGTCGTCGTCGTTACTGCAGCCACACGGCGATTCATCGCCCGCTATGCGACTTCGTGCCGGCGCTCCGTACGGCGGAATCCGGGCGCAGAATTTGGAGAGCGAATTCGCATGCGAGAGAGCAGTTTAACGAGGCGAGATCCGCCGGGCTGGAAGTTCAATCGCAGTCTCCCGTCACTGAATCCGGGGAATGTGTAACGCGAGTTTCCCGGTTACATTCTTCGCAGCGTGCTCTACGTTACAATCCGTTCGCTTCAACGAATTCCTACGGCGAATCCGAAGTCAACTCCAACTCGATCGGAATCAATCAGCCTCGCCGATTCTTTTCCCAAAGTGTCGGGCAATTGTCTTGTATTTTTGTAATCCTCGCCCGGTCGATTCTAATCTCGTTAACGTTAGCGCTCGCTCGTAATCAAGTTGAAGCCGTGGTGGCCGAGGCGCTTTTATTGCGCGCGCGCGCGCTCGTTCGCTCGCATTGGGAAAATAATTTACGTCACGAAGTTGATTCGTTATACTATCAGATTACCGGTGCGTAAAACAATATTTCCCCGCGGTTTGCGGTTAAATGCATCGGAATTACCGGCGGGAAAATAAAAGGAAAAACACGGCGAAAATGGGAATCGTCCGTTGATGACCGGCCAAATTATATTTCGCTGTTCGCGCGCGCACAAATTAGTCCGATCCTATTTTCCGAGATTTCGGACGTAAATGTGAAATCCGTTCAACAGCGTGTTTTTACGCAATCCGGTGGTGTGCGCGCGCGCGCATCTCGCAATCAATTTTACATTGTCACGAGCGCGGATGCGTCCGGCGAAACGGATATCCAAAGTCGTGAATTAGCAATTTTACTATCGATTATCGAAAATCATTCGGGACACCGATGCCGCCGACGTGCGGGCCGGCCCCTCGCGAATTCATCCGCCGATCATATCTGTCGTTCGCGAGCGAGCGATAGAGACGCGTGTTAAGGCGGGTGTACGTTGAGCAAACAACGAACAACGGACGAACAGCGAGCGTGCCACACGAATGTGTACACGAGAAGAAAATATTGCCGCCGTACGTTAAACATTGGTTCGATTGAAAACGTGTCGCTGCTGTGCGGTAAAAAACGTTACGACCGTTGCAACCGTCCAGCGACCGATGCGTGCAGCGGAGACGGCATTTTATGTTATTAGACATAGCTTTTAGCAATTCAGCAACGGTAACTGAAGTTTTAGTTACAGCAGCGAAACATTCGTCAGCTAAACTTCGACATCCGGCAGCGAGAACTTTTTTATCGCGTGAATCCGCGCCCAAATGAAGTGCACGAACTTCTTGTCTCCGACGAACCACTGTCACGAGCGAATCGGCGAACCGGAGCTTTCGAATTCGTTGCGGCGTACGCGACGTTTACGAGTCGTAACGAAGAAAATTTGCATTCGCCGCTCGTTCCTCGTTCGTTCCTCGTATACGCCAGCTTTACGCGAAACCTGACCCGCGAGCACATGTGCGACGTGTCGCCGGCGCGCACGAGCGAGTCAACGCCGACGTAAATCCTGACGCAACGCCGTGCCGACGCGACGTCGGTGTGTTTCGCGTGGTCGTCGCTTCACCTTGATGAGGATCTACTTTCAGGAAGGACAGGAGTCGCGTGAAGCTCGCTGGCGAAAAAGGGTCGCGCGGGCCTTAGGGCCGGACTACGTATGATGGACGAGTTTGCCGAGGGTGTGCCGGTTCGACAATTAAGGCGCGGCCTGGCAAACACTCGTTGTCGGCCTTCGCGATATTATATCCCGTTATTTCGAAGACGAGTGCCGGCTTGTCGCGCTAGAACCAGCTTTTTTCTCCCCCGTCCACTTCGCGTTTTACCATCTCTCCCTCTCTCTTTTTTCCCACGAGGAATCAACCAGTTTCGGATTTTTACGACCTAGAAAGCGGCGCGGCCGCTTATGACCTGGAAAATTGAAGCCGTGGATTTACGAGAGAAGTGCTATACTCCACGGGCCTTTAATTGTGACTGCAACCGTGCTGCGATCGTCGTTGAAGTAGGACGACCCACCGTTCGGTTCGAACGAGATGCACGGATTTATCTGCCCGTCCGTCCGAGCATAGAGACAGAGTACACACAGGCGCATCGATTGTACTCGGTTGTATCCGATTTTCTGTGCTGGAGAATAACGAACCAACTTGACATCCCTTTCCGTTTCTTCGAATGAGCCGCGAAGAATAGAACGTTGGATGGAACTTTCCGCCCGCGCGGTCTGAAAGCGTCGTCCCATAGAGCCCTCGGAAGTGCTTCCGCGCGTTTTATCGCGTTATTCCGCCGCGGAGAGGAGCCTCCTCGCGCAGAGAGTATTCGGGGATGGGAGGGACCGGCAGCTTTGGATTGTATCGACGCCCTCAATCTCGGATATTGATTTGCACCCCTCAAGAGAAAGAGAGAGAGAGGATTCCTAGTCGTTATTGTTCGGGACGTTTGTTTTCACAAGGCGGCGAGAATCCCGGTGGATTCGCGCGCGTGCGAAGTGAAGAGACTCGCTCTCTCTCTCTCTCTATTTCTCTCTCTCCCGCGAAAAGATTCGCCACGTCGTCCCGCTGAAAAGCCGTTTCCGGTGGAACGGATTTATAAACGGCGGGCGGATTAGACCCGGCGGAGACGCGCGAACGCTCGCCGAGATGCGGCACGGCATCGCTCGCCCCACCGTCGTGGATTAAATGCAACGCTTCAGTGCTTTGGTGAGAGAGGGAGAGAGGGGGTAGGCACCTTAAGGGATCTCGGCGCGCGGCATACTCGCGCTGAATAGCGCCGTCAGCTAACGCGCCTCGTAAATCTCGGGATTCCTCGGGAAGTCATGCGCGACCTTCGACGCGTGTCGGGCGTAGAGCGGCTCGATGAACGGACGGAATCCTGCGTGCGATCGAAGTTTCCTGCGATCTTCGGGGCGGAAATCGAAAAATCTGAAACTATGGCTATAGAAATATTTTGCAGGTCTAAATTAAAGTTAACGGGGGAAAGAAGAAATGTAAAAAGCAATCGAAATTGTGGAAAATAGGTCGATATTAACATGAGTAAACAAGAAAAACTCGCGCGGGCGAGTATTTGCAGAAATTAAAATTCTCGCCGAGAGTCCCGGCGGCTTGTGCAAACGAATGACGGTCCGTTTTACACGTCCGTGGGACGATAACTATTTCAGGATCGAAATAAATAATTCGCTTTTTTTACGGGAAGAGAAGAATCACCAACCGGGAACCTCCCGTTATTCTCGAAGAGGACGTGATTCACGTTCGGTTTCGAGAAGACTATTCGCAACGGCCAGTATCGGCAATTAATCGATTGAACACGCACGCAGCCGTGTCAGTGTTCAGTCAACCTACTTCGCGCCCGCCTTAGACCGCACGGACCGTATCTACTGCTTTCGGTGGCCGCTTAGATGCTGCCGTTCCCGCCTATACTCGCTTCCTATTTCTACCGCTCGCATTCGACCGCCTCCACCGGCGCGTACGCTGTCTGCACGCGCACTGTCTGTAACCACTGTCTGCGGCCGACTGTCCGTATCTACTGTTCGCGCCCGTTGCATTCGCGCCTCGGCGACGGGGTTGCACCGACGATAAATACGGTGACGTGATGGTGACTATGGTGACGTATTATATTTCTATTTTCATCCGTGCGTAATACACGATGATCTACTTTCGACGTATTATCGTCTGTTGTCATATTTCTAAGAATGCACACGAACAGTGCTGCAGAAATTAAGTGAACGAAAGAAACGCTCGAGCGAGTCGGAAAGCCCATCAGAATAATGGAGCGTTTTATAACAAACGTGGCACTTAGGGGGAGAACGGGTAATGTGGGACAGTCGGGTTATGGAATATGGCACTATTTCTAGCTTATTAAGTGTTGCAACTTAATGGATAGCAGTGGAATCATTAGCTGCTGGACTCCTCTAATTTAGTCTACAAAGCGGCGACCTGGTATGACATCGTGTGCAGCGTGCACGTGCGATTTTAAATTGTCTCACTATTTCTATCGGGTAAGTTTGGAAACTTTCATTTAACAGTAAATTTATTTCACAGATTCTTAGTTATTTTTCTTTATATAAAGCTGACGTACTTAAAAGACGTAAACGGCGTGATGAAGTTAACATGTGATCTTGCATACATTTATATGCCATTATAACATTATTATAATAGAAAATATAAAAATATAAGTTTGTAATAGATGAATATAATAAATATATATAATATAGTAATTACATTATAGACTATTCGGTCGTTAATCCATTTCAGGTCGGGCTACAAAAATGGAAATGCATGAGATCCAAGTGCCGTACCAACACCTCATCATAATTTTTCAATTTTTTATTTGATACCGTTTTTAATTAATTAATTAAAAAGGTGAGGCAATGAATTAAAGAGATGTGTTTCGCAAGGTTATTTTTCACCCCTACCTACTACCGTGGTGATGAGTGGTGGCCAGGTGAAATTATTTCCTAAAAGGCGAAAGTTCAAACTATATTTCAATAACAAAATCTGGGTCAAAGTCTACCTTTATCATAGATAAAAAAACTTTTTGAAGATAGGTAAATTTGCTGTTCCTATATGGGAACGGGGAGAGGAATGGAATAGGTTAATATTCATCGAGATACGAGAAAAATTACTCTTTTTTTTGCAAGATAAACGAGATATTCCGTTTTACGCGATCCATTCCTTATTACCCTTCCGAAATCTACAAAAAAGTTGACACAGCATCAAACTTCCTGTAGATAAACGAGATCCGTTAGAAACACTTACAAAAAAAAAAAAACACTCGACATTTACAACCCTGTGAAAACTAATTTCAGTTATAATTATTTAACAAAACTCGATTTATCTTAAAAGGAATCTTTCAGGATACCCCATAATACGTGCGCTTCTACATCGCAAGGAAATCGCGCGATTGAAAGTTCTTAGACTCCGACATTTCGGCGTCAGGAATTATGAAGCGACGGCTTCGATTTCCTTCCCTCTTATCATACATTCTAATCCCCGAGCCGCGCCACGGCCGTCGCTCGATTATTCCGATCTCATCGATGAGGGCCGTGCGCGAAATTCGGTCACGTAATGCATCAGAATTCAGTGCTCGCGGTTTTGCCGCGCGAGCTCGCCCGGGGACATTTACGAGGCACTAAAAGATGGAAGCATCCGGTGCGCATCGCCGGGCCGCTTTTCATCCTCCGAATAAATTAAACGCGCACTCGCGCGCTCCCCCATAACCGTGCGCAGAGCCGAGTGCGTCTCGGAATGACGGAACGTTACGAGGACGTAATCAGATGATATCACGGAAACGGGAAATCGGCGGAACGGCCGGCCGCTCCCATCCTTTTAGGAAATCCAACCGGCTCGCGTCGGTTTACGAGACGATAAAAGCGAACGTTCCCATCAGCAAGTCTGAACCAGTGAGAGGAGGCTGTGAGAGGAGAGGCGGGCGCGAAATATCCCGCCCGTATCCTCGCCGGGAGCGCGATCCAGACTGACCGTCGACAGAGGGAGAAAAAAGTAGCCGCCGCGGGCTTCACACCCCGTCGTGTCCTTCGTCTTCCGCTCTCTTCCTCTCCCGGCCGGCGCGCCGAGACGGTGCTATCAATTATACAGAAAAGCGCGGGAAGCGATTTGAAAGCTCGCGAGCTATTCGCGGACCGCGTCGCTGAATAATGCAGCCGGCTGGCGGGGAGCGAGCGAGGAATTCGGCCGAGGGGCCTTATCCGAAGGTTAAACCGTCTGTGATGTCGATCAATCGCGCCTCCGGCCTGCGATATTATATATATATCCTCGCGGATGCTCGACCCCTATGCAAAAATAATCGCCCGGTCTATCGTTGTGTCGTCTGCGCTGTGGACGCCGCTATCGAAACAGCATTAAGGTTTAATTTAACTTGACCCGACCGCTGCCGGCGCCTTCCTTCCTCCACAGCCCGGGAAATAAGGGGGAGAGGGGGGAAGAGGCAAATCACTATCGGGCGACCACCGGTGCACCAATAAAGGACTCGGAAGAAGAGCAGTCGCGCGCTTCCTTCCCCGCAGCGGGCCGCGCAAATTGGACCGACGATCGGAACGTCGTTATCGGCCGGCCGACTTTCCCGTTTCTTTCTGCGGCTCCCTCGATTCAAACCCGATGAAGCTCCCCAGAGGGAAAGAGGGGGGATTTATGCTAAGAACGGAAACCGCCGGCGACTTATTCTCGGTAGCCGGGGGGAACCGGACGACCCGATAACCTTTCCGGGCCGCCGCATCTCGCGATTTAAATCGGTGTTGCGACGGGCGCGACTTACGTTACGCTTCGTGCGAATCGGTTTTTCTTACGTCGAGAAGCCGGCATGAACGGAGGGGAAACGCCGAGCCAGGTGAAGGATGGGTCAGATTATTGAAGGATGAAGGAGAGCCGTCGCGACATTCAACGACTAAAAGCTGAAACGCTGAAAAGAACGAGCCCCCCGAAGAAGTATGAGAATCGTAAACGTCCGCTCGTTGAATACGTAAAATTTAATATGACGGCGAGTCCCTCCGACGAAATGATCGCTCGCGACTTACCGCTCTTTTCACAAACGGTCTGAAGTGAATTTTGTATTCGTACCTTGACTTTCTTGTCGACTTCCGGTCGCTCGAGCAGACCGGTCGTCTGTTGATGAACGGCGTGGGGCGGCGGTGGAGGCGCCTCGGGGTCGAAGTTCACGTGCTGCCCGGCGGCGCCTCGGAGGAAGCCGCCGACGGCGGTGATCCGACCCCTCGCTGTGTCGGCCGCCATTCTCAGAGGGAAGTTCGCACTACCTCCGCCTGGTCCGTCGTCCTCTTCACCGACGACGCCTTCACCAGGGGTTGCGCCGCCCCTGGCGAATTGCTCCTCATCTTCGTACGCGCTTTCTGAAACGCACAAATGACATCGATCAAGTCCCACGTGATAAAATGATCGACGAGGGTAAACACACGCATTGTAATGTAACTTAACTCAGTACTTATACTTTTATCACACTTAGTGTGACGAAACTGAATAATCATACTCGTGATTTAATAGGACGCGTCGAAACGTCGTAAAGTCGGCCACCGGTGATCGTCGTTTGATGCATTAGAATAAGAATTAAAATCAATCGACGCCCTTAGTTTCAAGGTGAGGCGTTAATCTCGTAACATCAGACCTCCTTTCCGCTCTTCCTCCTCCCTTCGTCGTTGAATACATCATGAATGCATCACGGGGATACAAGTCGCGCGCTCGCAAGAGTGGTCCAACGACGGGAACAGCGTAGACGCGGCAGAGTCCCCGATGAACTATTCGAAAGAATGATGGATCGGCTGATACACTCTCTTTTATTGCTCGTGAGCAAACACACGTTCGCGCGTGCGAGAAGACGGCTGGCCTTTTTTTTGCTTTTACGACCGCCCGACGTGTAATTCCCGGGAGGACCGGCCGCGATGCGCGCAATAATGTGCCGATGTAACACCGCCGGGCATTTTACGTCATCGGCCGTCATCAAAGTGGAAAGTTTAATGGTGAAAGTCGACGACTATTAACACGTCGGACGAGCAACGCTCTCTCCCTCCCCCCGTCGCCCGGCCGAGACAATGGATTTCGAAAGTGTGTTAGCGCGCGGGATTGTACCGGAGACTGTAAAGCGAGATCTACGCGCTATCATCGCGTATTACTCGCGCCGAGATGCCTATACCGGGCATCTCGTTCCTCAATTACCGACTATGTAAATTCTCCTCGCCGCAGGGGCGAGCCTTGTTCGCCCGGCGGCCCGCGGACGAGCGAACGAATAAATGAACGAACGCTCGTAAACGGCCGCGCAAACGCCCGCGAAGAGGCCGCCGGGAAAAGAGGATAGAATAATCGCTCTCGAGAGTCGGGGATCGCGACCGCGTCGAGATAAGCGCCGTTCGTAAAACGCCTTTACAGCCGCGACGAAGGGAGCATTTTCGCGGATCGATTTTATTAATAAGCGGGAACGCGCGCGAGGTATGACCGGCGCGCTCCGGGCGGTCGGGCGATCGGGAGCGGTTTTATTTCGTCGAGAGTGAGAAAGAAAGAGAGAGAGAGAGAGAAAGAGAGAGTTCGTCGTGCCGGCGCATCGATTCGCGACAAAACAATCTCGTCGACCCGTCGCGTTCGCAAAAAATAATCCGCGCTATTTATCGACGCTAAAGTCGCATAACGGCTGCTCGCTCGTAAAATCGGGCCGACAATGTCGAGGTATCAGCCGGGGGGGCTCCCGATGAAAACATACGCGCGTCCTCGCGATTAATGAACGGCGGGTCGAGTGAGAGAGAGAGAGAGAGAGAGAGAAAGAGGGGGAAAAAAAAGTGCGCCTTTATTACCGTTAAATTCGCGAAAGCGGTATAATTGTACGTCCCGTAATTCGTGACCGTAATACAAGTCATCTCTATTTCCTTGGACGCTATTAATCCCGATTGCAAACGCGCTTTATGGGGGCAGAAACTACCAACATTACCCCGTCGCTCGATGCCATCGCGGCGGCGCTCTTCGCAAAATGAAATTGCTAAGGATAAATTTGCACAAAGCCGCGGCGGTCTGTGCAACACAATAATAGATCCGCGCGATTCGCGATATCCGTGTACTCGCGATATCCGCGAATCGACAGATTCAATCGGATAGCTTTATGCTGTAATTAAAGGGAAAAAGAAAGGTTAAAACAGAAAAGAGAGAGAGGGAGAGAGAAAGAGAACGGGTGATCGCTTACCAACGCTCCGATGTGCAAAACGCGCATATTACACACGGCTAGTAATTATGAATTGTGCCAAGTTAACCGCGAGGCGAGCGGCGAGCGAACGAACGAAACATAATAGCAGTAGCAGCAACAACAGCAACGACGACGGAGATGATTTAATTTCAACTTATGCGCAACGTAATCGCGCGGAATCACCCAATTTATGGCGTTCGCGCGCGATAAATGCAATTTAAACGACGCGGAATTGCAAGCCGACGCGAAATCAGCAAAATTGCCGTTCAGTGCCGACCGAAGGAACCGCATCAGTAACACTAATGGGATCGACATCCAAGGAGCAACCGCGTTTACGACAATACAGCTGCGCCGTGTAACTCGAATAATTGCTCAAAATTATAATGCACATCAGGGGACGAGCAAGGAACGCGCGTGCGAGATAACTTGCAACGGCTGAGATTGTGCTGAAAACGCGGTGACCCGACATCTTTCTCTGTCTCTTTCTCTCTCTATCTTTCTCTCTCTCTATTCCCATCGTACCGCATGGACAAATTTATTAGACGATTCCGATGCGCCATTGCGCACAGTTTAATAATCGTTTAAGGAACTCAATCCTACAAAGCGACATCAAATTATTCGGCGATGCTCCTGTGCGGACTTTCGCGTGACTGGAAAGCGAACTATTAACTGGGATAATTAGCTGTAGGGGAACCTGGCGACACTTGATTCATCCTTTTGATTTTGTCAAATATCATTAAAATATGAAAGGTTAGGTTGTCGGACTGGCTGGCTTTATATTGGGCAATATATTTACCCAATGAATGCCATAACCGATGTGGGGCTAATATGTCGCCAATGAATTATGCCAACAGTCTATGGGAGACTTGATCCATGAATACTCAAGTAGCACTTTATTAAAGTTTTCATTTTATTTTTGTAAAAAACAAACTTCCGCCGACTAATTTTGTAACCACCTCCTTAAAGCAACCAACTTTTCACTTCATTACGGAGTTTTAGTAATCTAATTATGAAACCTAACAACATAGAAAATAATTGGATACTCACGAAAAGAAGAATCGGACACATCGGAAATAAAACACATCAGCGGGCTAAAAACTCGAACTTCTAATCCTCTTATCCCGAGTGCAGTCATCATCGATATATTTGTATATATCGAGGCACTTGTTCGCCCGGCCGTCATCGGTCTCGGTAATCGCGTGTTGAAAATGAACGCGGAGCCACCGCATTAATTTATTTACGAGGGCCGCGTTTCAATTGAATTAAGTGTTCGGCGCATCGCGAAGATCCGCGAAAACTGAAAAATTGCAAAGACCGGCCGGCAAGCTGATCGTCCGTCATATTTTCCCGTGATAAATAATTCACGATACGCCGGCCTAGCTCATAATGGATATGAACATCCGACAAAGTAGCGCTCTGCTCGCGGACTAAGCCCGGTATTGTTGTTCGTCGCGTAGACTCCTCCACGGTTGTAAATTGTTGAAGAGGCTCCGCGGAAGCGGCCGCTTTGACGTTCCTCGCCGAATGAGAAACGTGGGTGTATATCCCCCGGAGATAAATAGGGTGTCCCGGCGGATATCCGACCAATATTCCGAGAGTGTGTTTAGAGATGCTTTCCCCCCCCCCCGCTGTACCGCTTTCTTTATACCTCATGATGTCGGGAGAGCACGTAAAAATTGAATTGCAAAGCATAAAACCGCGACGTTCTAAGAGCCGTCGTATATCTTCATAATGTTGTCACACTCTACATAAAGGTGTAATATATATACATAAGGATGCAATGTCCATGATAAAGCTTCAATGTTTCCCATTTTTCTATTTCAACTTTTTCCAATTTTTCCCACTTTTCTACTTCGATCATCGCATACTACGCGATATTGGGTCCCAATATTATTTAAGATATTATTTGAGTTTTAATATAATAAAATGACGAATTTTCAATGGCTATATTAAAGGGTCCTTAATAAATCTATTATTGATTATTATTATTATATTAATTTATTATCATTATTATTACAAGTTTATTATTTCCTATGACTATATTTTCGAAACGAAATATGCAATGATTCTAAATTTTTGTACGTATATCTATATTAGTCCTTAATACCACGGTAATTTTTCACGAAAATCCGAAATGTTGTTTAGAGGAAATGGAGAGAAGTTAAAAATTGAACATTAATCTCAAGGAACACGTACAAAAAGTGTCATTTTCAATTGCGAATATCTCGGTTTCCGAACGGCCGATTGTTCTCTAATTGCGCCGATAATTAGACCGTACGCAGTCTATACGTAGTGCAGGTCTCAACGAATTCTTGAGAAACTCATTTCACGCTACAACTACCTCAGCGTGGAATCGTCCCAGCGTGTGTGTTCGACATTTCCAAGCAAATTTTATCGAGCGTAGACGTCTTCTCGTTTTACGGGGAGGAATAAAGCATTTAACGATGCAGGACGACTTTTAACGTTTAGTTTTTCACGTTTGCCGCACGCCGAGGCCCGGCAATTTCAAAGGTTTATTACGGAGCGGAGTTATTTGGCCGATAAATTACACGCGCCGCGGCGCGGAACAGAACGCCGAGCTTAAGCTTCGCGGTTCATTGACAAGTTGGTAATGGAATTACTCGGCCGAGTTTCAAAATCTGTCGCNGGGGGGGGGGGGGTTGCGCCTGAACCTGCGAGATACGATAAATGCGCGAGATACGATGAATGTGCTCGCGGTAGATTACCGCGACGCGCCGAGAGCTACCGTGCGGTTCGACGGGAAGCTTCCGGATACGGTTTGACGCAGACGGAACTTCTGAGCGAACGCTCACGTTTTATTCCCAAAGTTGCATTATTTCGTTAACCTTGTGCGAAGAGTTGTTAACGACACCGTGTGAGTGTTGGACGATCAGCACTGAGAAAAATTGCGAGCGATTATCGCCGATTGTATCGCGCTCGACTCGCGCGAATCGGAGATGCACTCTGCGCTTGCGAAAAGCCTGGGGATATTCAGCTCGGCCAACTCGCCGGAGAAAATTGACGTTGGAAGCGCCGGTATTACGGGGAAAATTTCTTGATCAATTGATTAGCCAGCCGGACCGGACGGACGTACCGTTTAAGCCGCGCGGCGGAGTTGATAATAGAATTAACTCCGAGCCGAAATCTGCCACTTAATCGACGATCGGG